GTCAAGAATGTCTTGAATCGACCAACACCACCATCTGCAACTCTTTCACAACTACCACCAGCAACGTAAGAACTACCAGTGAACACAGACCCTCTGAGAGAAGCAGAAGTTCTGAATGCCATAAAACTGCTGAAACCCAGGAAAGCAGCATGACTAGATAGAATCCCACCACAATCAGTGACAACAGATGCAGAGACATCAGCAGCGGACATGCTGATACCACTACTGCAGAAAGTTTAAAAGGAGGGAAGTAAAGGTATCTGTCTACCGATTGGAAGGTGGTCTACCTTGTCAAACTCCTAAGAAGGGAAAATAAAGTCTTTGCAAGAACTGGCGAAAATCGTGCTGCCATCGACCCCAGGCAAGCAAAATGTAAGGCCGCATCATCCTGGAGAGATTAAAAGATGCTCTGGATTCAAAAACATGACTGGAACACACTGGCTTTAGGAAAAACAAAGCATATGCGGATCAAACTGGGATCCTTCGTTACACAACATCATATAACAGAGCATAGGATGGTAGTCAACTGCTTACCTCAACTTCATTGATTTTGGAAAAGTTTTCGACAGCGTCGACTGAGAAGTAATTTGACAGCTGCTTCAAAATTACGGTTTTACTGCCACAAACATCTATCAACCTCATTAACAGCTACATACCACATGAGGATACTAAACGCCAATGATCCACAATGGAAAGCTCAGTAACGCATTTGAAGTGAAGACAGGAAGCAGTAAGACAAGTCTGCCTACTATCACCCATGATCTTCCTGATTGTGGTCGACTGGATCATGGAACAAACTGTGAGGAGCGAGAAGATGGGCATTGGCTGGCTGAACCAATGAAAAGACCCCAGAAGAAGGTTTTGATTTCGCCGACGACTTGTGTCTCATGTCTTGTGGCACAAACTCGAAGATCAACAGGCGAAAAGTAACAAGTTGACAGAAGAGGCGTGTTAGGGCAACAAAGACGAGACATCCTTCAGGTGAACGTAGAGAAGATAGAGGTGGTGAAGATACCCAACCAACAACTACAACAGAAAGCACCAATCACCATCAACGGGCGAAACCTAAATGAAGGAGTCTCTTCCACCTACCTAGGCAGCATTGTTTCAACTACAGGCAGCACAGACGAGGATGTCAAGGCCAGGATCGGAAAAACAGCAATACAGGCTTTCATTAATCTGAAATCAGTGTGGAGATCGACTGCACTCAGCATACAGCGTGAACAAGATCCTGATTTTCTACAATAATATCAGTCAAGCAACTCGGTGCTTCTATGTGATTGCTCAGACTTGGCGCGTAACGAAAAACACTTGCAACAAACTGCACATATACATCATCAAAAGCTGTCGCCTAAGCTCATTTGATACTGAAGATCAGATCAGAAAGCCTGAAACAATAAGTAACAAGGAATTCTGGCTGGTAACAAACCAACCAAGAACCTATCACCCAACAAATATGCAGTGGAAGAAAGTGGAGATGGATTGGATTGGATTGGACATACACTGAGAAGGCTGATTAAGGACATGACACACCATGCCAGGCCGTCGAGTTGAACCCAGATGGGAAACGGTGAGTTGGGCGTCCGAGGCGAGGGTGACATGGAGGAGATCGTGTGAGGAAGAGATGACAGGTTGTTGGCAGTGATGGAGCCAGGTTCAAAAGATTGCAGAGATGGGAAGAGAGTGGAATGGAGACGTGCTGCTGAAGCCGTATGTTCCACTAGGAACCCAAGGGAAAAATAATAATAATAATAAGGAATAGACAGCTACATCAAACATAATGTGATGACTAATTTTTAAGAAACATTATGAATTTGATAATGTGATTCTTGCCTTCTGACCGAGCTAAGTATTATAGAACCCTTTCAGGCACTGTCTATAGCTAGCAAGGACAGCTTAAAAGTTATAAATTTTTACGATGAAGTCGATTGCTGTCTGGCTTTCTAACTATCAAAGGATACTTTAGTGAAAACTTGATTCAGTAGTCTTATTCTTAGGCTTATGAATTCGGATTTAAATTGACACAACTGAAAGGAGATATATTTTTAATGATTAATTCAATCAGGATATTTACTGATCTGAATACATAAGGGTGGTTGTTGAGGCTGAGAAATCTAGTTCGTCAAATGGTTCAAATCACAGGTATCTGGTTCACTGCTGCAGTGTTCTACCAAAAGAACCACGATACCAAGTTAATGACTGAATTTCAGTTATAATCCTGTAGTCGGAAGTTTTGTGTAATCGTCATTTGAATGACTGATGCATAGCTTTTCGTTCATCATCATCACACTAACTCTCCAGTCAGGTTTTTCTATGCGAAATATAGATAGATTAAGACAGAAATAAAACAGAACAATATCACAGTGCACATTCATGAATCTTGTAACACAATCTCCAATTGGTAAGTTTATCAATCTCCACAGACCGTGAGAGGGAAAATAACAGAAGTTACTTCATATTGGACTGGTTCTTTTGATTACTTAATGCACACAATTAAAGTCACTGGTAGGATATCCCGAATATGGAAGGATTTGTGTTCACGATTAAAAATGTATACATAATTGGTGATCGACTTCCCAATGAATAGGTCTTTTGCTTAAATTTTTTACTCCTTACTGAGTGAGGACGAAATATTAGTTCTGAATGATAACTGGAGATTTTTTCAATCACTATAGGCATCGAAGTCAATAAACACAATGAATGTAACACAACTATTACTACACTACTGAAAATGAGGTCATTAACTCCTAGTAAGTTGAAGTGAGCATCAACGATGCCATTTAAAACTTAGAATGATACTAGTGGCAGTATTATTTTGCAGACAAATGAAAAATTATGGAGGACATTTTTAACCCTGGATTCAATATATCACTTGGAAGGTGGTTCTCATTTGGCTAAGTTTTTCCCCTTTAATAAGACACAAATATTGAAGTGAATATTTATGGCCTAGGATGTGAATTTCAAGAGTGAGTTGTATTCTGAACTATGGTTTTAGTTGGCAAACGTTTCTATGTCACACTACACATCGTCACCAAAGCTTCACAAGGAATGGAAGTGGTTTATTGTCCTCGGGTATTCATTACTTATTTTACCCGCCTATAACCTGATTGTTTGCTTGATGATGGCATGGGGTATATTTTGAACCCGGCTGGCTAACTTTTTGCCTCCAGTTTCCTTATTGAAAAATTAAACTATATGAATAGCTGGTCTCTTTTGTATATATCCAGTAAAGTGAAATCGCTTTGTTGTGATTCGTTGGCCCTTGATCAGGGAACAACTCGCTCTGAACATATGAATGTGTACATACACAAGGCTTAGTGCTAGATAGTAAAAACTGGCTGGCAATTAACTCTGTCTCACCTAAATTTACTCCGGTGACTTTAAAGGCCATTTAAGCAACTACAAAAATAACCAATCAGAATGCAGTATTTTAACCGGAAAGGTAGTTCTTCATGGAATTACGAAAAGTGGCTGGTTGTTTCAGCAGTTGCTAGTGTGACCTATACATCCACTCAATTTACTGCTTGTCGGCATTAATATTCAGAAATCTTGGTGCTTGCTTTGAAATCATAGTCTGCTGCATTTGGAGTAACTTTAAAGGCCACCTTAGCAACAATTGAAATAACCGAAATGAAGAAACCTAATTTGTTGTTCCAGTCCTTACTAGGGTAGCCTTCAAAGTTACCCTCCATCGCTCTTACTAGTAGATATTGATCTTTACACACAATCTGACTCACTCCACATGTCCAAGCCTCTTATAGAAACTTCGTAAATTTCATCTCCAGGTAGGTCGCTAATGAGCACCAGATTTTGAAGATAGTTGAATTACTTCTTGCTTCTTATTGCCCTATTCTATGCAGTTAATAGTAATATGAGACGAGTTGAATCTCAAAGCATATTCCACAAGTTCGAATCCTTTTTGCCAGTCATGAAGACAACACAGTAGGAAAAGAATAAGAAGAACGGGAATACAATCTAAGTGAAGACTACTTTGACGAACATTAGTTGATTTCTGTAATGTAGGACTATTATTCCTAGATTCTACTTCAGTGTATTGTTATTTAGAACAACAAGTATTGATATTTACTGAGATTCACATCACTGTTGTAACTCCATAGCTTAGTGAATGGCTCTTTTGTGGTGGAAGTATTGGGTTCTGTAGTCGAATCTCGGTTAAACAGCATCACTCACTGGGATGAGGGTACATTCAGCTGTCTGATCCCAAGAAAAGTGCGTCTTGGTTTTCCATAATGGTCATCACCACATAAAATGATGATATTTTTATTTCATTAAAAAAACTGGGTACACTTTTTAATACGCTAAACTCTTCCCCTTCTACTTATCTTAACATCAATAGATGACTTCAACAAATCTCTTTTTTGATGAACTACGCATCGAGGGTATAGTTTTATTTCTAAACCTGTAACTGCTATATGAGCATCACAATGAATGTTAATATTATTGTCTGTAGAAGAAATTAGTAATTAGTTTCCACTTCCCATCTGTTCAATATATCATTTCTCAAAAGTTACTTCACCGTTATTCTTAGATTATGTTATCCAATAAAGACTAAAGTAAGAAGAGTCATTCTGCTTTATCGACTTGTGATGGCTACTTTGTTTTGTTTTTTGCTTGCTTTTTCAATGAAAAATCATTCAATTACAATAGTTGTCACATAACCTTGAAGGGTATAAACAATATAACCAGCATGATTGCACCGAAATGCTTTCAAGGTCAGTGTGTACAAGGAGCTAAACCAGTTGACATTGAACAGTAATATACATAATATGCATTTGCACTTCATTCAAAAGTCCAATATTTATTAGCTAAACTGATATATCACAATTGTATGTATGGTTAAAAATTAGGCCAGGAGATTGATTGGTAGGTGAGTCACCTAAGATTATACCAAATGCACCAATATGCTTTACGTCTTATGGTTGACTACAAATGATAAACAGTTGAATGATACATAAAAATTATAATTTGGAATATTTGATGTTTCTAATAAAATTTCATGGCTATGAATTAACTATTTCCGAATTGAACTGGACGAAAACTATAAACAGATTTGTTTCCGGAATATCTCAGTGAATTATAACATCATCCTTGTTAGATATTTGTGTCATTTGTAATGTCATAAATAGTGCTTCATTCTCACCGATTTTTCAAGGATATTTCCCTATTGCGCAACGGTAGGTCTAATATTTCGGTGTTCCTTCCACGTGTTGGTTAGGGTCGAAACCGATATGAACAAATATCAAAATAGCATAAGTTTTCATTAACACCCACCATTTCCCTTTCATCTTCTGCGTTTTCCAACAGTGTTGAACCTGTCAGCAATAGAAATCATGATGTTGAATGTCTCAGCGTTTGGTTGCCTTGTGGCCTTGTGTTCTAGCAATTAGCTGAACATAACAGTCCTGTTTGCTATTGATTAATTTAACAATGTGATACTCATTTCATGATGTGATGGATATTGTTGTCGAGTTTGTAATATTAAGTATTGAAACAAACTTCCCAACCTATGATAATTAATACATGTTTGATTCTAATACTACTACGAACTACGCTATCTCAAAATTTCAGTCGATGTCCTCATGAAATTTAATACATTTACCGTTCTGTTCTCTAAACACTAAGATAATTATTAAGATCGATGCAGCAATATTAAGAATTTCTCAGGTTTGGATACAGCGACTGCTAAGATATTACTCATGAAGTATCGTTTTGAAAAGTACTGAATGGCAGTTAGTTATATAATGAATATTTCTGTTCTCATCAGTGCAAGATTGAACAAGAGACGAACACAAAAGCTGGTGCCTTTATGTTTCCACAAGCAAGGTGCTTTCCACCCAAAAAACAGTCCTTATAAAACTTCATACAATTGAAACTGAACGCGAATTGCTCACTGTATGCTAACCGATCTACCTATCAAGTTTGTAGTGTACAGCAATAATCAAGCCCAGTCAATCATCACTGAAATATCATCACTAAGCGACGTGATATGACAGTGGGGCACAGTATATCTCGTTATCAGATATTACAAGTCATTTCGGAGGAAGCTCTGCTGGATACACGTCTCATGATTGTGGACACTGTTTACATGATAAATATGTAAGCGAGCACAATTTCGCCTTTCCCTAGATTTGATGCCTTCGTTGCCAACAAGAGTCGAATTCAGTTTCCTGTACGCTTCATAGTGTCTTAGCACGATTATTAATCCAATCCTTTAAAAAATTTGAAAGTTCCACGAAAACCATAACAGCAAAGCAAAGAATAGCTATTTCGTATTACTGTGATACAAATCAGTTACGGTTGGGATGAAGTGTAGGTCCTATGTTTCACAGTGCACAACGTCAGGGTGGTCACTAGCATGGGGAGGAGAAGAACTGTGATGAAGCAGTTGCTCGTTCCTTATCATTGTCCAATGGTTCACCAACTGGTGTTATTTCATGAGGATGGTTTTCTTCAAGTTTTCAGTGAGTTTTGTAAGAGTTAGATGCTATGGTATCTCCCGTTGAAGGCTAGTATTGCATAAGAAAACCTGGTCATTGATCGATCTAAGAGCAATGTCTAGAATGTGTTTGACAGTACGATATGGATAATCAGCTGTTGTTTCAAATGCACTTCGTTCATTCGATAGGAGTTAATCTTACATTCACTTATCAAACACTGTTGTACTGATTTATTGGTTTCAAGTAGTGCATTAAAGAAAGATAAAGACGCCTCAAGAAATTAATCGTTTCATCATGTTTATACTATTAAATATCATTTTTGAGATCACCGTTTGTCACGCTTATACGCTTGGGAATATTTGTTTTTCCAAAATCTATTGACCACTGACGGAGACCATATTTCAAATTAGCGACATATTCATTTGTTATCTTGCTATTCACCTGTATGTGCACATTGTAGACGTTAAAAGGTTTATTTACCAGGATAATAATACCTGAATCTAACCATAATCACGAAAACACTGCCAATATATCACTAAGGATTGTTATGTTAATGATGTAGTACTGTTTATGACGTCCCATGAATCACTTTACGGGGACAGACAGTCCGTGTACCTATCCTTCATTGTTCACAAAGTGGTCATATAGAGTGTTAGATGACTGAAATAGCTTTCAATGAGTAGGCATACATCATTGTTCAGATAGATGATTTTTCACTAAGTATCGTGATGAAAAGCACCTCCATAAGTAGCCATTTCACCTCACTTTTCAAATCTAAGTGTTATGTGGAAAAGAAGGAACAGTTTATACTTCAAAAATTAATTATATTGTGAGCATGGTTCTTAGAGTAAACCAGTAGTGAAATAACACAATTAATTGATTTCATATCTTATTGAAGAATGAGTTCGTTAGATGCCTTCCCGCCTATCTTAGAGGTTAACCTTGAATGAACATTAGAATCACCGAAATACCTAATTCCCTTTGTTTTTCTCCTTAGTAGTGTACCTTATTCAGCTATCAGAATACTCTGATGTCTATGAGACCAGTATTTAACTACAGTTAGTACAATATCTCGCCTGAATATTGACTAAGTACAAATATAAATGATCACAGAATATGCATAGAGTTAAATATATGAATTTAAAGTTTGTATTCCTTTTCCCCTTTCTTCTCATCTTTTCTTTCTTTTCGAAAACGCCTTTTTTTCAGTGAACCCAGCACCTTAGTCACACCCTTTGCTCAAATCCTAGCGATTCTAAATAGGGCAAGGGATTTTCTGTCCGATTTCACTTCAAGGTGAGTCAGAAGTTTTTAATAAATCCTCCATTTTTATTTTCTGCATTTGGTTTCTTGCTTATAAACATGCCGTTTTTTTTACTTATTATTCCTTGCTTGGGATTTTTAGCTGATACAACTTGATGTTATATCAAATGAATGAAAGGTACCAATTCAGGAAAAAGAGAGAGAGTTTTCAAAAGAACACTTGATACCCGTTACACAAAAGGTGACTATCGTGACCCAGTGGCCTAATGGTTAACGCGTTTGAAATAATAATAACTAGGTTTCAGTCTCAGTGGGAACAACATCACCCGCTGGCCTGATGAGTCTCAGATAGGGCGAAACGTGCATCCTGGATTCCACTGCTAGTCACTAAGATTACTATAACAGAGATGGAAAACAGGTAGTTTGTTAGTATCATTAATGTTTCCAAGAAGCCTAACTTCAGATGTTAACCAGATTGTGGATAAACTTGTTATTCTCAATAGAATATAGGCTCATTGGAGTTCTAGAGAACCATAATGGTACCAGTAATTCCATAGACTGAACTGAATATATTCACCAAGAAACCAAGTTAAGTAAGACTGGAAATATTTATAAACAGATGGAATGATGAAGACGCTTTTTTAGCTTCATTGTTGATGATTTTATTAAGTTGTACGGGCGAACCTAAACAATTCCAAACGAAATCATAGATTGTGACGCAGCTTATTCCCACCCTAGAATTAGTTAAATAACTAATCATTGAAAGGCATATAGTATGGAAGAAAAAATAAACTTATGAACTGTCATAGTTACTTTCAGCACGAAATAAGAACTTCTTTATGTTGTCATTAAGTAAGTTTTCCATCCTAGAGATTAATATCATGAACACTTCTCTTATGAGATCAAATAATTTGTCACTTGAAACCAATAAAAACCTTGAAAAGCTTTACAGTCGGCTACTAACTACTTCCACATGATTAACACGTAGTGAAGAGTGAATGCACACAAAACAGACAATTACTGATGGCGAACCTACATGACAAATTATATACGCTTTAGACAAACAATCAGTCTATTTGATAAATTTAGATCATTTATTTCAAACTTCTAAATCTAAGCATGTCTTGTTTCTAAAGCAAGTACAAAATGATAATTCTAATTAGTTACTAGGCTGTTATAGATGTTAATTTGTCGATCACTTAGCGTTTGTGTACTAACCGAGTCTTTAATATATAAAAGCATTGAATAATTAAAAACTCTGCTTAGATATGACTGTAAGTCGAAGTAAAGGTGAGTTGGCTAGACTATCAATCGATATACAACCGACGTCGAACAAACAGTATCTCACTTATAAGATAAATGTCCAAATTATCCAGATTTTTGTGTATCCATCTTACCAATTTCACGTACAATTAGACTACACGTCATTATACCATCCAGAGTTCTATAGGTTGGTTTCATGTATGTATATATAATCAGCTTGTAAATAATAGACAGGATCATTTATGTTTAACTGATTTTGAGTCATTCATAGTTTCAGTCAGTACCTTAAATGCGGTGATGCTGAATCAAGCATTTAACGGTGTGTTACAGTAATCTCTGTAAAGCATATTCACCCTAATAAGTTCATCCAGTATTAATACAAGCCTGCCAAATCATGGCTACCTCACATAGTCAAACTGATAAGCATTGCATATAAAATTCTTAAGCCCAGTTTACTGAAAGACCAATACTGTTGAATTGTAAGTACACTGCCAATGTCTATGAATCCAGATGTTGCTGTTAGTAGTATGTTGATATCAACACTCGTGTCTTACAAATGTGATCTGTTTATTTTGCAGATGTGACTATTTACACAGCCACCTTATTCATACTGATTTCTTCATCTATAATAACACACATATAAAGATAAGGCAGGTGAGTGTTCATCATATTAATTCATCAGGTATCCGATTACTAAGTTTGACAACTTGCTGCACACCGGAATAACCTGATACTTTTGTATTGTACAATACATACCACTAAGTGATATCAATAGGTGTAAACCACTCACATCAATCACCATTGCTCGGTAGCCTAATCAAGACGATGTGAACACCAGAAGACTACTTCCCTGCATTAAAATCAAGTTCCTCAATGATGTGTCTGAAATGATTCAGTTCAGATAGACGAATAATTCACGCCAAAAATATCTGTCGTACAACCTTCGCGTTTACAATCTTCATGAAATTTTTCCGTATATGATACATAAAACAACTGACATATGATCATTTTGTTTTTCCAAGGAAACAATGATGAAATGTAATGTAAGAGAGAAACTTCAGTGCTATGGTGGCATATAATTTCATATAAGATTGTTTATTTGACATAGAACACAGTGATACAGTATCATTTGTTGAATGATATTTTGAGAAGAATTTATTGACCACATTCATATCAGAATGTTCAAACAACTTTCAAAACTCATACACATTATCAGACACTCCTTCATTCATTTATTTTCATGGTAGTGAAATTTTTCAGATATCTCAGATATATGATGAATCATTCCTGTTACATGTGTGTTAGATGTGGATTCAATGGACAAACATTCTATAATCAATCCCTCCCTCCACCAATCCAGCTACACTGGGTTTTAGAATTGTCATTCCATTCCATCCTATAGTATGATTATGGGGCGGTACCTGTAGAGCGATAGCAGAGTTTTTCTCTAAATTGATCACCACTACCATTATCACTCGTTTTGCTATTAGTTATTATGAATATTTCTATAAATTTTGTAGGGTACTTGTTAAGATTTAATATCTCTTTGATGTGTACTGGTTTCCTGTGAAAGCTGGTAACTAAGCTCCCATCTCTACTCTTGACTTTGCAATCCAATGCAGGTTATTTTCCTTCTTCATTTTCTAGTTCATAATTGAATTGGATTGCATCTACTATTGAGTTAATGTATAAGAAAAAACTCTGGACGTGTTCTGATGTCAACACAGTAAATGTGTTTTGTACGTATCGCCGCTATACTTTTGTGTAGGTTGAAATAGTAATGATAGACAGTGGCTAGAAGTGGAATCCAACACACGGGTTTTGTCCCGTTTGGGACACGTCAAGAGAATGTACCTGCTTCCAGTGACCAGTGTTTTGCTTCAAATCTCAGAGCGTTATTCACTAGATCACCGAGTCACGATGGGCACTTCTGGTGTGACAGGTATAATTTTATATGATTTTGTTTGTATTATCCCGTCATTGATTTGACCAAATTCATCAGTCTGACAAACAGACTCTTGTGCAAATGCCTTGATATTACTTGTTTTCGATTTTGATATTAATGATAGAAAGTAGCTAGCATTAGTATCGAAATCGAAGACACAGGTAATATCGAGGCATCCGAACAGGAGCCCAAATGCCAATACAGACCAATCAATTCGGTTCAATCAACGACGGGAGAATATAAGTAACACCATATAGAGTGGAATATTCCTAATGTCATTTCTTCCCAACTGTCTATAAAGATGTGTGTTACGATCAAGGATATAGAAAAATCAAGAGGAGAGGTGGAAGCTTAGATACCAGTGTTTATAAGAAACTAACATATTCGAATAGATACTTGGATTTCACATCATCTCATTCCATATACGTTAAGGTATACATGATAAAATGTGTAAGTAATTGGATTAGAAGTTTACCTAGTAAGTCAGGAAAAGTAAATAAAAAAACGAAACAAATCAGAGAGAGATATTAAATCTTAACAAGTACCCTACAAAATTTATAGAAATATTCATAATAACTAATAGCAAAACGAGTGATAATGGTAGTGGTGATCAATTTAGAGAAAAACTCTGCTATCGCTCTACAGGTACCGCCCCATAATCATACTATAGAATGGAATGGAATGACAATTCTAAAACCCAGTGTAGCTGGATTGGTGGAGGGAGAGATTGATTATAGAATGTTTGTCCATTGAATCCACATCTAACACACATGTAACAGGAGTGATTCATCATATATCTGAGATATCTGAAAAATTTCACTACCATGAAAATAAATGAATGAAGGAGTGTCTGATAATGTGTATGAGTTTTGAAAGTTGTTTGAACATTCTGATATGAATGTGGTCAATAAATTCTTCTCAAAATATCATTCAACAAATGATACTGTATCACTGTGTTCTATGCCAAATAAACAATCTTATATGAACTGGTGAGATTTTCCAGACCTGTATTATCTAATGGCGTCTTTTCATCACATAGTTTGTATAATGAAAAATTAACCAGGAACTCTTTATTATCGAGCATTCATAGGGTTTCGGATCACTTACTGTTGAGAAGTGTTTCAGTGCTGTATATCACACATGCACATATAAAAGGATAACGTATGTGTGTGTTAAACTTCGAAAATTTATTCCACTTTCACGAAGAATATTCTCAAAACAGGTGTGGAGTAAACATTCAGTTATAGATTTCGATTAGAAGCTAAAGTTGACAATATGTTGTAATAAAAATTCATGTTATTATTAAGATATGATATGGTCACTCATATGAATGAACATACTATTCCTCCCACTACTAACAACCAATCACTAGTCACCATAGCAGTGAAAAAGTGTAACTCTATGAACATGATTTTGAATAATAAATTTCTTGATTAAAGAATACAGTTATTTCTTACAAAATCTATCCAGATTTGATAACATTTCAACCTATTTGATTATCTGCTTTGAAAGTCCTCATCCTCATTGGTTAGTCCTTGCAACCACCGTACAAAATTTTGTCACAATCCAGATATTTTCAACTGTAGTTATTCATAGAACAGTGGTTAATAAAAGCCTTGGGTAATTCCCCTTCTCATCTTCTTATTTCTAGTAAGTGGTTGCTATCAGGTTCTTGAACAAGAGTTACTGATTCTTGTGAATTGTTCAGCGTGTGGCAATTTTTTTATCCCTGGCAATATCAAAAGTGTACAGTGATGACGAGTCCCTTGCTAGGAGAAAACAGCTGTCCAGTACTGTCAAGTTTCCGATGGTTCTCCAGCTGATTTCATCCCATGATTAAAATCACCCTGAAACTACTAAATCCCTACATACCTGCAAACTGAATAACTGCATAGTGCTCATTGGTGACTTACTTCCAGACTGGTTTCCCGAAGTTCTAATGAAATGCCATGACCTATAGGGTCAACCAGTTTGCTTGCTAAGAAAAGTTCTCTGTGTATCATTGTATAACTAATGATCCTGGTATATCGCGAGTTGATGGAAGTAAGAAACTGTGGACCACTGGATTCCGACCCATTGGCTCAGTGACAACGTGCTTGCCACGAAAGAAAAATAGCAGACGAAATGTCATATCAACTAAAGCATAAAACTAGATACCTCTGTGATGTTGCAGGTTTCAGTTTCGTATCATTAACTGGACCAGACTAATCGGCCACTATTAATGTGTTGACTCCAGTGTGGATGTCTTCAATTATAATCATTGCTTTAAGAGTGGCTGAATGTTTTGTTTGAGTCCTAGTAGGAATAGCATAACTTACTAGGAGGCAGATAAATCTAGTTGCCTAGTCCCGAATATCACGGAATGTATGGAATGGTGGAGAATATTTGTAGCTCAGGTGGATGGTCGTCGCTGTATTGTGTTCTCTGAGCTGGGTTGTTTAATCGTGAAGCTTTCATCGTCTTGCTAGACGACATCATCAGCACTAACTTCAATATGAAGTGAGCTGTCAGTATCTCTCCGTGAGTGATTTAGTAGCTCGCTCGAACGATGTAGTCTGTGATTGATTGTTTCCTTTGATTGATGTGTCATTGACTGTACAGACCTTACTGTTGGCTATCCCTCTGCTTGACCTTTGACCTTCCTGTCGTTTATCATTCTTCTTATTGGTTGATGGATTAGGTCTATGTCTATACATCTGTTGATTGCTGACTGACTGATCTGAATGCCAAGCTACTAGGAATTCTCTGATCATATTCTTCGTGTTTCCTCTCTCCGTCCAAAATGTCTACATTGTCGAAATTCAATTCATGTCCATAGTTGTTATCCACATGCATTGAAATGAGTGGTGAAATGTCATGACGTTTAATCAGCCGATTGGTGTTCATGTAGACGAGGGCGACCACTTTGTCCAATGTAGTGTTGTTGACTACAGTTATTGCAGTTGATTTTGTAAATGCTGTTCGGTTTGTCTTCTTTGATTGTTGCATCCTTTGGTCTGCATAATAGTGCTTGGAGGGGATTTGTTGGTTTATGAGCCACACCAATTCCAAAAAGTGGTCTCAGTAATCTTGTTGTGATTTCTGATGTATCCTTTATGTATGGTAGGATGATGCGTTTATTGATTTGTGTCGATGACTTTGTAGTTGATGATGCACGGGATAGACATCTTCTGATAAAGTTTTGTGGGTAGCCGTTCTTTTTTAGGGTGGATATCAAGTGATTTTCTTCATTTCTCCTTGAAGTTGTTGTACTGCAGTGTGTGTATGTGTTGAACTCCAACCCCGGCCACCACCTATCACTACTACAAAATATCGTTTCACCAGAATCATGTCATCTTGCTAAACGTCAAATCAATTCACGTTTGATCTATTTTTCTATATTTCATAAGAGGGATTCCCTCACTTTTTGAATCCAGGCTAACATATTCATGTTTTCATCTAAACCAGTGAGCAGTAATGAGTAGGATCAAAGCTTCTTGTGACAATATCAGTATACTGACATATTTGCGTGCATGTAAGTGCGTTTTTTGGCCGAAAAATATGAATTGTTCATTCATTAATTACCTCTAAGCAACCAAAATAGTCATTTCTCCTAATGATAGTTTTTTATGTCTCCAAATATTAATGGCCATCTGAAACCAATGTTATTCTTGTTATACCATGGAATGCTTCTTTCTCAATAATTGGAAATCTTCTTTCAGTACGATGATTATTGTGCATTAGTTTTATCATTCCGCTGAAGAACAGTCACATCTGAGTGAAAAGGTTATCGTCAATACTCACTGTCTCCTGGCTTTTCCCCATAAATCAACGAAGTAAGGCAATAAGATTGCTAACACATTTATTGAGTATGATCTCTTTTTGTGAACGCACTAACTAAACTTACTATTATAGAGGCCCATAATCTGTTTTCACATTACGGTCTACACTTTCTCATCTAACTGTTTGTTAACATTCTTTCCATAAATGATAACTAGAGAGTTGATTAACCAGGGGAAGTTTTCAAAGCCTGGGTATTTCAATCATTCACAAATTCATAGCTTCAAATATTACCCTATTTATAACACAATCAAGCTGTTATTTATTGCAATTAGTCTTGTCTTCAATACAGACATTTACTTATGTAAAAGGTATGCAATGGATTATACCATACTGTACTGACTACAGCTGACTTAGCGACTAGTTTTCATGAGCTCAAATCAATCCTGTTGATGCACGATCAAATAGTGAAATATCATCAAACCACTAAGTGAAAATTACGCGAACCAAGATGAAAATGTCGGTAGACTCCATACAACCTAAAGTGGTTACTCTTCAAGTCTAATAACCATATCTTGAAGTGAATATACGTTTCTTTGCATAAATTTATGAAGGTGTCTACAATGCTTAAAACACTTATCAATCAAAAGCCATATGTGACATATGAGAATAACTGGTTATTTAGACTGTACTCATTAATAAAACAAACCTTTACTATAGGAACTAGTCGATTATTTCCTTTCTTCCATTCAGAGAAGTCTATTAACCTAGATATAATGACTGAGGAATCTTTTTTTCCCCTTGTTCTTCAGTACCTCATCGCACTCTAATGATTCAAATATGTTCGGAATGCAATCTCCTAGGAAAACTTCAGAAAGTGATGAAAAATACTCCAGTAAGTAATGTGCAACAACTTAATTTTTTCTCAGAATCTGTATATTATGATGACATCATTGTTCATGATTCACTAAAAAAAAGAACAATTTTAAGTAAAGCTTATTTGAGTCCATCAGTCGCCTTTTTAAACTGTATATGCGTTGTACATATTTATTCGAGCTAAAAGCCTATTGTGATCTACATGTTCTCTTCTTGGCTTCATTCGTTACCCTATGGTCAGTCACTCAATCAGGATTTTTTCAAATCGTTTCATCAATAAGAATTGATCCCTTTGTCTAAGATAACAGCATTTCATTAGATTGGTGATAATTTTTGTCACCAAATTGTATCAGTAAGTATAATTAGTGACAAACGTGCTACACATGGTAAACTTCTCATACAAACAATATATGACGTTTTTTACTGAGTAGTCGATGGACATCATGTTTTTACTCTTCACCTTCAGGTGTGGCAATGAGTACTTGTTTGACTGATCTGTTTTACCTCCGAACGTTTCGTGATATTACCTGACCACAGGCCAGTGAAGCTAGCAGACATCCAACCTGATGATGTCCTTGAGTAAAGATTTTGATTTTCTCTTTATCGAAAAATATTACTCTCATAATTATCTGACATAATCTATTCTAAATAGATTGGACAATTTGCAAATGATTTACAAATTACACAGTCCACTTTGAATAGTTTTTCAACTGTCCAACTGTAGTGTCAACAAGGTTTCTTTTGGAAACCACTCAGCCTGAGATCATAAGGTGTGATCTCTGACACAAAGGGGTCATGAAATAGTGAAATTTACTACTATTGAACAAGAGTAGCAAGAAACCACTCAGGCTGATGTGTAGTATTGCGCCAGCTAGCTCTATGAGCTGAATTTGTTCGGCTACGCTGCTGATGAGCTAGGAGCCAAATAAGCACAACGGACGTTCGGTGTTTAGATCACTCTGATCTGGCTGGTGAAATACTACAGACCAATGTGAGTGGTTTGTAACTACTGAAGTTGTTCAGTAGTAGTATGTTTCACTGCAAACTATGCAGCTCAGTACCTATGGCATCAAGAAAATTCTGGAACTTTGGTTTTTGACAGGCGATGCTGAGATGCCCAACTTACTTTTGTTTCTCAGAACAAATATCTTTTTACGCTATAATTTTGAGTGATTTGTAATAATAATAATAATAAAATATATAAATGAACTGATAAAAAAACTCATCGGAAAAGGAATATACGGAACATGTTGAACTGCTCATAAACGAATCATGACTGTCTGCCTTCATTTACTTCAAAACCATAGATCTTATTGTGATACATGAATGCATATCCCAAACTAAATCCTACTCACGAGTACAATGAAAAAGTATATCCGACAGAAAGACCAGAGTCTTTGTATATTACTTTTGAATATCAAAGTTTAATGCAGAATCCATAGACTACGACTGGATCAGATTACCGTGGAACTGGCAAATGGAACCTTACGGGTTAATTTACACAGAAAGTTCGGTCTTAGTGTGATAGAAAGAGAATCGTTGATTTACAATAGAGGCACTTCTTACTAGACATTCTATAGATAACAGTGAGCAGTATGCGCTTATGAGAAATTGCGTTGTAGAATTGTTTCACTAACTGGCAAAATTTATTTCGTAAATCTTGTCTAAACAATACTAAATCCCTGGAAATTCATAAATACTCTTAAGGTTTCTAATCCACACTGCTGATAAGCATCAGTAGCAAACAGAAACATTAAAACTATCGACTTTCCACTCATTATGTACAAAACAGTTTGAGTCGTCAACAACGCACCACAGTATTGTAGTACTCAGCTTACTTATTACAGGAGTTCTCTTGATGAGAAGGATGGAAACAACTGCTTGAACGCTATTTGGCATTCGATTTGTACACAAATAAGCTACTTCTAACTTGAGTATTTGATTGGTAATGTTCCAAACTGAGGCACTGAATGATATGAATTGGAGTTGTTCACCTAGTAAAACTCCACTTAAAGATGCTTTACTACATTATCGTAGAAAACGAATTCAGTTTACACACCGACAACGAAATCGTTTGTTGAAGTTAAAAGACAGAAAGACACTGTTGTTGTTGTTAGCTGGATGGCAGCAATCGTCAGGAAGCCCTGGACCTAGGTTTTGCACTTGTCATCACTTGTCAAGAAGACGTTTCTGCAACCTCCAAGGAACTGATGTCCCACTCGAGATTCGAACCCATGTCACCCAGTGCTACAGTCGAAGACATTACAACTGAGATATTTGGACTGTGAATGACATTATTAGGGATTGGGTGAGGCATACTGACTTGTCAGTGAAGCCTGAGCAACTTCATATTGTCTAGCCGTAAGTCCTAATCGAAGGACTAGGGCATTATATAATGGGTTTTGGATATTTGAGGGGACATCAGTTCCCTGGAGGTTGTAGATATACCTTGTACCCACAAGTAGGAAACTATGCCATATTTATTTATTGTCTAAGCTTTCATAACTCCATTTTAACTTAGTTACAAAATATATGTTTATGTAATAAGTTATGACTCTCGCGATATCAGTATGTAGAATGGGCTTTGAATGTTTTGTTGGAAATTCGGTGTCTAAACTAATGAGCTACAGTTAAAGCAATCTTTGACAGAATGGTTCGAGTTCATGTTGCGTTTTGTACCTTTGAGTATTCATCTACAAAGTCGTAAAGATACTTGCTGTATTTGATACCTCAACTGTTCATCACTCATCAATATAGTTCCAGTCACTTATTACTTCTTACCACTTAAAAATATGCATTAGGAAAAATTGAATATTGAATTTTTGGACAAAGATGATGAAGTACTCTCCTATTCAATAGGTTCCTTCTTCTGATTATTTACTCTAGGCTACTATATGTAACGCTATTCATTGAAATCCTGTTATGATCTAGTCTTTCATGAATTACATGCATCATTGTTGTACATTAGGACCAGACCTCTTTTTATAACAGTCAATCAGGTATCTTCAAATTTGTCTTGATTCCGATTAAAATGAGAAGACTCAACTGTTAGAAGTGTATTATGAAGAAAGAATAACTGCTTATCTATCTTACAATTAAATTATAACCAAGTGGAGTAGTCGATAACTTGGGTTAAATTTGCATTTGGTTGTTTAACTTCATAGTTCATCTGATATAGTGATATGTTGATTACCTGAGAACCTGTAACTCAAATCCCTCTATTATGAGGGTTTTCTTGCAACCTCAATCTTCATCACTGTATATCCTACATATAACTTTGGAATTATTCCAACTGGTCAATTTTTCTCACTTAATTCAGTGTACTGATGAAATACTGACTGTTTAAATTTTTTTTAAATGTCATATTGAATGTATACTATCCACAGGTGATAAATGAAAGTTTATCAAATCAACCCTTAGAGACTAGATAGCCTGAGAATGCGAAAAATGTAGCGAAAAAGTCTTGTGAACTTTGTTCTCTTTTCACTTGATTGACAACTAGCTAAGTTATGACCAAAATTCAGTGAAAAGGAATGAGTATACCAGTTACTCTAATAAAGATCAGTTTAAATCTAGAATTTACTCTAGGAGAGTCTACTCATCACTTCGTGGATGTCAACCTGTCAATCAGTGTTTTCAAGCAGAAAAAGCGATTTGTAGAGACATCACTCATTGTTTAAGCTCTTGAAACAACAGCATTCTCAGTATGTAATTTCTCAACAAAGTCACTCTCAGAACAATATTTTCACACCAAATGGTTATTCCATCTGAATGATATGAATAATCACAGTAACCAAGGCAATAATGTGAAACAGTCAGCTGGTTTTGGATTAGCGTCTGGTCCATGATGAAAAAAATCAACAGAAATTGGAGCATAAGTTTGATGTTGATGATTCATTCAGTCAGTAAGAGAATCTTCAACTCAAGCCAAGCATCCGACGGATAAAAATACGATGTACTTTTGCTCACTGAAAATTCAACTTCCATATAACGTGACATTATTTCCTCTGTTTGTTGTTAACTCGAAAAAAGACAAGTTGAAAACATTTTAAAAATGTTCAGGAGTACAAGATCCGTTCTGAGGACATATTTAACTGATTAAAACAAACTGGAAAAAAAATTGCACTAGTCCAGTGGAAAGTTTTGGTAGTCTAAGGTTAAAGCAGGCAGCTGTGTAAATCTTCAATAAGGATTAGAACTGTACTCCAAGATTTCCTCTTAAAAATAACAATGGAGTTTTATTATCTTGTGATCAATGAGTAACTCTGAAGTTTTTGTATAGAAGGTGCATTTGTCCTTATTCATTTATGATATAAATAATTTATTAGTATGATTGTTTTTATATCACACCATCGTTGATTGGACCGAACTGATCGGTCTCTATGGTATATGTGATCCTGTGCGAATGCCTCGATATTACCGGTGCTCTAATGGTAGTAATGATGGGTAGTGGCTAGCAGTGGAATCCAGGACAATTGTTTCGTCCTATTTATGACTAGTCAGCTGGAGTCCAGGACGCATGTCCTGCATTCCACTGCTAGCCACGATCCATCAGAAATAATTTATGTTAATAATTTAAAAGTTGATGCGAACAGTCTCTTTTTCTATTTCTTTATGTTTCATTTCGTTGTAAATGCAAGATCACCTACATCAATTTGACGTACATTATGTGAATGAGTTATTGCATGAATTCGATTGGTGTCTAGAAGTATTGGAAAGCCTACAGTGTAAACGTTCAGTTAGCAGTTTAACACGAATGAAGGTAAGGTATTCATTGTTACCAATGTATAGTCTCTATGTCTTGCATTCAATACTATTATTCATATATTTTCATATTGGGTCAATGCTAACCTTTGAAAGGAAGAATGGGTTGAAGTCAGACTTCTGCCTGCCTTCCAATAGCTTAACACCTAAAATTAAAAAAGTGACTACCAATTAAGATACAGAAATGCCTTCAAATCCACAAACAATAGGATACTGGACCCAACTTGCCAAAATATAAGTCTTCATTGTTTACATTGCAAAATACAAATAAGATAGCTAGATACAATGATCGATGACCTACGTATGGTTGAATTATGCTTAGTGGATAAATTTTTCCTATGAATAGTAGTTCTCAAGTAAATCCGTCTTTCATATACTAAATGTTTCAATCCTAATATATTCTATTCTATTCTATTCACTGGCTATAAACAGTCTGTTGCTACCAAAGAACTGTGACTGGCAGGTTAACATCTGTGGAAGGTTCACCATACCCTAAGATCGGACAGTAGTAGTAGTTTGAAGTCTTACACGTGTACAGGTGGTTCATTGTTTTAGATAGAGATCTTTACCAACAAAAACTGTAAAGGCCATAAAAGGTATGCCTTCTATCGATAGGGTCAGTTTAAGTCTAAAAAACACTAAAAGTGATGGGTACAGAGAATATTACATGCTAACAAGTTTTGTCGTTGTCTGCAGAAAAAGTGGATTCCCATCTTAACTATTTCTCTTAATAAAATTCAACTACTCATAAGTACTATATGCAGTTTTAGTGAAAATATATTCAAAGCAAAACAGACGCATTTAGAAACTGTTAAGTCGTAACAGACATATTTATTTTAGTGATTTATGAAATGAACTACTGAATTCTGTTATTTCATTTAACGGGTAAAATTAAATCGACTCATTCAGACACATTGCAGAAGTTTCCATCCACGCCTGAAATATTCAGGAATCTTAAAATCAGGATACCTTTATGAAATCCTATGAACAGAAATATTTACTTTGCAAACTTACAAACCATCTCCTTAGTTACAATTAATTTATTTATGTGTAAAACTATCTCTATAAATTTGAGCATTTGTTTGTGAAATATGCCAGCGAAGACCATCCAGTCAGACTGATGAAGACAGGATGAGACAGATATTTATTTCATGCACTCGGGACAATTATTTTCCCTCCATAGTCCCCGCAGATGTCCCTTAAAACATTGAAAGTAATCAATCTAAATGAGTCTTGATGATCCAAGATTGAAGAATTATATAAAAAGAATTCGAAAACTGTTTTCTGTGTAAAAAGTGTAGTCCTTATCTTTACCGTTATGCAAAGAGGAAATTTTCTCATCTGTTAACTTCTACAGAATTCTTATGTTGGCGTCCAGGTTTCTATATAGTACTAAGTATCTACAGCTTGGATTTTTGATATTTTTAGCCTTTTATTTCCCTTCGACCTGTAATCTCCAGTGGTGGAGTTTTCGATATCAGTCATTCCAAGGTTACATACAATGTAGCCTCATAAAATGATAATTTGGTGTATCTTTCGTCAGTACTTAAGGGAGGAAGTCTAATCAGCTGAATAACAGGTGTTTATTGGAAGAAATCGTCTTCCATTGGTTACATGTCAGCAAATATACTCTAAATGGCTTCCCATGGATATATACGCTGTTAATTTAGACATATTGTCATCTGTACATAACCTGAGTTGAGTCTTTGTTTTGACAATTGTCATGCTTTCATGGAACTGACTTTCACCATCTGCTCTCAGTTTTGAATGACTTCATTCCACTGTTTCTTCGGTGTTGTTTATTTCAGGAGCTCCCAACGTTTCTGTTACAACTGACCTAGTTTCTCCTCAATATCTTCCTTAAGAAATCGATAATAGTAATAGGTGGTTGGAAGCGATCAAGAGGAAGCCCTAAATCATAGGTTTCCAGCTTATTGAACCCATATCACCCAGTGCTACATTCATAGACATTATCACTGAGCTGTTCTGGCCACCGTTGACCTCTTGTAGAACTGGATCGCGTTACTGGAAAGCAACTAACTTGATGCTGTCTATTTCTGAGTGCTGACCAAATTCTGTTGAGCATGCTGACACTATGTAATATTTTTACAACACTACATACATGGTATCCCTTGTCACATCAAATTTATCTCACAAATAAGAAGTTCGGAAATAAGATTCGTTTCTTTCCATTTTGTCCTACTTGACGACACTAAGGCTCCAATCATCACTTGTGTTTAACTTCTGGAAAGGAATAAGTAGTAGTGTGTATACGAAAATTGGAAATATGAGACTAAAACAAAGCAGAAACTTTTTTTTGTAATATGAAAGTCATAATTGTGGAGTTCAGGTATAAGCAAACAAAAGAGAATTGAAATGAAGTTAGACAGAAAATAAAATCTTATAGACTGAGTTAGACTTTTCATTCTTTATGGACAATTACATAAATACTTTTGCTGGTTTTTTCTTAAAAAAGAAACAACTTTACATAAATTTACCTTATCCAATTCTTAATCTATCGACTTTTTACAATACCATTGAGAATTACAAGTTTATTTTTAGTGAGGCAAATAATTCGAGATTTGAAAACTTTATAGTTTATATCTTAGATTGGGGAAAGATGGAAAAAGGGGTAGTACGGTGTACGGTTGTTTTATAAACATCCATAAGTCAAGAATACGATGGAGCAATGTGAGCAGTAGAATTCCATATCAAAAAGTATTATTCGATATAGAATATTACGAAACACTATTAACCACTGGATGACGTTTCGACAACAATTTGTGATCATGAAAGCGTTTTGTAGGATACAAATAGAAGGGGATGAAATAAAAGAATTCACTGTAATCGGTAAAAGTATATTTTCCTGTCTATTCAAAGACTCTATGGAATATAACACACCTTTATCAACCTCATTCAACAACTATATGAAGAAGCCACGTGCCAAGAAATTCACAATGTGAAGCTCAGTGACGTCGTTGAAGTGAAGACAGGAGTAAGACAAAGCTGCCCTCAACTATCACCCATGATCTTCCTGATTGTCGTCAACTGGATCATGCAGCAAACTCTGAGGAGCGAGAAAAGGGGCATACGCTGGCTGGACCATTGAAAGGAGCCTCGAAGATTCGGATTTCGCCGACAATTTATGTTTAATGTCTTGTCGCACAAACTCGAAGATATACAGGCGAAAACCAACACGTTGACAGAAGAAGTGAGGCAGCGAAAACAGGACTTCAAGTGAATATAGAGAAGACGGAAGTGAAGAAGATACCCAACCAACGCCACCAACAATAACAACAAACTCCAATCACCACCAATGGGAGAAATTTGAAGGAAGTAGTCTCTCTCACCTACCCATCTATCCAGACAGCATCGTTTCAACCACAGGCAGCACAGGCACAGACGACAACGTCAAAGCCACATTCGGGAAGATAGCAAGACACACTCTCACTAATCTGAAACCAATGAGGAGATCTTCTGCACTCAGCACTAAGAGTGAACAACATCAGGATTTTGAACACCAACTCAGTCAAGTCAATGCTTCTATGTGATGGTTGAGAGACTTATCCCATCACGAAAAGCACTTCCAACAAACTGCAGACATTCATCAACAACTATCCCCTACTCTGGCTCGATACTGACACTGAAGATCAGGTCAGATGGCCAGAATAATGAGAATAAGCAAAAAGGAACTCTGGCTGAATGGCAACGAACCAACCAACAAGCTATCACCCAACAAATATGCAGTGGAAGGAAGTGGAGATGGATTGGATTGGATTGAATTTGACATACACTGGGAAGGCTGATTGAGGACATGACACACCATGTCAGGCCGTCGAGTGGGACCCAGATGGGAAACGGTGAGTTGGGCATCCGAGGTGAGGGTGACATGGAGGAGATCGTGTGAGGATGGGATGAGAGGTTGTGGGCAGTAGTGGAGCCAGGTTCAAAAGATTGCAGAGAAGAGAAGAGAGTGGAATGGAGACGTGCTGCTGAAGCTGTATGTTCCACTAGGAACCCAAGGGACAAATAATATAATAATATAATCCTACAACTCATTGAGGCGACTTATTTCATGAAATAAATGTATAATGGCTTGTTTTCCAAAGTTATATCATTGACTGACTGATTGAATATCGTAAAATGAAGATGAATGTTTACTTAAGACGAGGTAAATGCGCGTAAACATTTTCTTAAAGAATCAATTTGATACCTGTTGAGAGAGAAATCAATGAAAGAAAAACAAGGAAGTTGAACACCTATATTTTAATCGTTCGTCTCTTATATCTCCAAGATGTTTTCAAAAGACGTACTCTTTAATAAGTTTTCTTTTGTTCTGAGTCTTATCAGACTAAAGTAACAGTAGTTAGGCTACAAACTTTGTTCCTCGTTTTTCTAAACAAACTACTTTTATTGAATGTTTGTCATTTAATTTGATTTTTGTTTGCTAGTTATAACTATAAACGTGTGAGCTATAAAATACTATAGACAAGAAAGTATTACCAATACTCCCGTTGTCTTCATGTCAGGAAGAGACTCACGAACGTAGAAAACCGGCTTTTTACAAAGTAGGTTTCCATCCTAGGCATGTCATACATTTTAACATGTGACACCTGTTAAATTAATCCAAGCTGCGAGTTGAGTCCTGTGAATCACGACAACCTCATATCCTGGGTTCTGAGTTGACTTTAATGGTCTGTTGTCTAGATGATGCTAGTCGTACGAAGAGTAAGCTGTACAATACTACTGTTTTATCACGGCTGGGAAGGTCAACTAACATTGAGAAGCGTTTGACGCCTGCAAACATTCAATATCATGAGGAATATTTGTAGCTCTGAAGGATGGTTTTTTTGGTGCTGTTTTCTGAGCTGCATGGCTTAATCGTGCAGCGTTCAGTATGGAAATCTTGGATAGAACAGATAAGAAAAATGTCAGGGAATGTTTTAAAGCTTATCATTCAGGTCAGTCAGTGATCAACAGAAATATTGTCAGTGACCTAATCTATCAACCAATCAGAAAAGTGAATGATATTAACAAGGTCAAAGTTCATATCAACGGAATAGCCAATCAAATACGCGTTTAAGCAATGAAAACATTTTAGCAGAAGAAACTTGTTACGCTGCTAAGTCGCCTATGGAGAAAATCTCATAGCTCACTTCCTTTCCGACGTGCGTCAATCAAAGCTTCACGATCGAACCATCCAGCTCATGAAACGCAAAACTACTAAAAGGTTAGTCAGTAATAAAAGAATGGTATATTCAAAGTATGGCGTGAGTCCTATTAGTTTGCTTACTTGATAAGTTCATGTTGTCTAAGTGGCTATCTAGCAGTTATGGATGGTGTAAAGCATAAAATGAATTATTATGGATTAGTCTCACTAATATGATTTAGTTATTCCTTCAGCCCGAGCTTCTTTGGAAAATAGGTTAATCAAAGTAAATAGCTACTTATCTCTACATGCCTTGATTGTACTTTGACAACTACGCTTCAGTTCATATTTTCAGCTCACAAATGATTTTGAATAAGTAACTGCTAGATACTATAGGAAAACAAGTTTGATGCCTGAAAAGGATTCAGATGTAACAGCTTTCAATCTTCTATCAGTCTTCTGATATGTACCATCTTTTTTGAAAGCTAAATGAATGGCTAAGTGATTGATTGTCACTTCATTGTAATGCACCAGACTATTCTATACTTTTTCGTGTACCCATGCACTGTATTCCATTACCATTACTATTATTATTTCTCATCCCATCCTCACTTTCATATTTCTTTCTCCAATTAAATAAGAATACATGACTTCATTCATTGTTACCTGTGAAAACGGTTTCTTCGATTTATGTGATTGGAGGCAGTCACAAAGAAGGTGGTTGTGCAACTATTGAGAAAGCTGATCTTCTAACAAATATCTGAATCCTCGTCAACTAGCATGGTGGACAGAAACATCACTACTGAGCTATTCATGCTGTGATTAAGCTCTGACAGGAATGAAACAGATATGTTGTCAGATGAACAGTTAGTCAATCCATTACACGGCAACAGAAGGTCAATCATAACCTTAATCTCTCAATGGTGACGTCTCTAATCTCAGTATACTGTAAAGTGGATTCGGATCTCCGAAGAATATTCAAATCCCTTTGGTTAACAAATGTGACTTTCTGACAAGTGATAACAAACATGAGGCCTACAATCAGGGTTTCCTCAAAAACCGCTTCAAACCTGTTAAAAGCCTCACTTTTATAATAAACAGTTATGACCTAAGCGGCAATGAACTGTGGAAAATTTGCACTTGACTCATTTATTTTTTATAATAAACAAATAAGTAACAGGATAGTTAACAGACAGTCACCTGGAATAAATCAGTAGCCACTTTTGTGTTCAACACTTGTTCACCACTAATACTATCAGAGTAGTTCAATGTGGACAATCATTTGACAGTTAACAATATAGTACGTTTATGATGGGATTGAATTCTCTTAGCTGGATTGTTTAATCATACAGCTCTCGTTGTCATTCTAGACAACATCATCAACAAAAACTTCAGAAAGGAGTGAGCAATAAGACCTGGATGGTCCTGTATGTCATTGGTTGCTTTTGCCATGGTGTTGTGATTGTCTTCATGTTTATTTTGATTGGTTGTCCTGATGACATGAAATTTGACCTTCTTTTGTTTCTTATTGGCTGATGGATTGGATCAATGTCAATATGTATGTTGATTGCTGACGGACCTGAATAGCAGGCTTCTAAGAATTTCCCGACATTCTTTGTGCTTCCTCCATGCAGAGTTTTTACATTCCCCTGGTCAAATTCATGTCCATAGTTGTCTGTATACAGTGATATGTGCGAAGACATGCCATAAAGCTTCACTGCTAGTTGCTGTTCATTTAAACGAATGTGAAGAGGGCGACCACTCTGTCCGATGTACTGTTTTTCGCAGTTTCTGCAGTTTATTTTGTAGATAATGTTTGCTTTCTATTCCTTTGTTATTGTATCTTTTGGCCTACATGATACAGAGTGAAGAGATTTTGAGGGCTTGTGAGATACAGAGATTCCAAGAGGCTTCAATAATCTAGTCGTGATCTCAGAGACATTCTTCACGTAGGGTAGGAAAAGCCGTTTGTGAGTTCTTGAAGTTGACATCTAGGCTGATGACGAACTATGTAAACATAATTTGGTGAAGTTGCGTCGATAGCCGTTCTTCTAGAAGACAGTCATCAAATAATTTTTCTTCCTTTCTCCGCAGGGTTGATGTACTACCGTGTGTTTTTACTGTTTTGAACAACGTCTGAATAAAAATGATTCTGTATTCATAGATAAAACTTGTGGCTTAGATCCACTCTTCATTTTGTCACTAAACACTCACACTCTTTTCTCATCTTTGATTTAGTTCCGAACTCTACTTAGTCAAGAGCTGGCTGCTTCATTCAATCCGCCCGATACAGAAATGAACAAAGAATTCTTAAAGAATACCTCAAACACCCATTCTTCTTCATCGCTTACGAATGTACTAGATGACTCCAAACAAAAGTCTTCACATGAACAAGATTATAAAAAATCAAATACTATGAGTCAAATGCAAACGCGTAAACAACAATTTGCTCATTCTTCATCACAAGTTTGTGAATACATTTGCAGAACATTTTTAGAAGATGAGGATGATGATGATGATGATGAAAACGTCCAACGGAGTGCAAAATCTTGGAAATCAACAGGTGAAAAGTCAATTTATATAACAAGTCCAAGACTGAAAGTTCGATTCAATGATAAACTTGACGAAATGAATGAAACACTTGAATTGGAGACTGAAACAGATATAATGAATTCAACATCATCATCATCATCTTCGCCTATTGATAATACAACATCTACCTCGTCTTCACAAATTTGTCATTTAGATGACACTTCTTCCACTTTCAAATTGATTACAACAGATATTGAACTTTTTGATAAATCAAAAGTAGAAAAGGTAAGAGTGAAAAAGTCTAAATCTTTGTCTGGTTACTATTTATTCCTATTCTATTTTGTACAATAAAGATATTTGATATTATGATTTAGTTATTGTTAAACCTGAAATCTGGGTTTGCTAACGTTCCACTTTTATGTTAGATATCATTACCAGTGCTGGAGAAGGAAATGAGGCACACTATATCCTCCACCATTTCTATATATGACTGAAGTTTATGCACCCTGATGCCAGTAACTTGTTTGTAGTTGGGTGATTGACAGGTTAATAATACGCATACTAGGATAGATATTGAGCAGTGAATAACTGAGTACTAGGTGCAGAATAGCTCTGCATTATTACACTAGCACGGAACTAAATACCCCAATATGTGCTTCGAAGATAAATGATGGGTAGAAACCGGTATATTCCATTCTAAAAGTATAGATTTCTTGCTTAACAACAAGTACTGTTATCATCTATGTTTACAGGTCAGAATTTTTCCTACCTCTCGGTTGATTGGTTATTCACACTTACAGCACAATAAGAAAAAAACTAACAATGTCTAGTCAATTATTTCGGAAATCTGACAACTTTCGGGTGCTTTTTGAAGGGCTAACTCACACTTCAATAAAATTTCACATCCACTTGTCGAGGTTCGATTCCTGGTCACGGTAATCAGTGTGAAGAATAAACTGATAGTAGAGATCTTGGTAGTCTAAAATAATATGTCTTAAAAAGTGGAACTTATCGAATTGGTACTTTCAGAAAAAATCGCTACTATCTCTTCAGTTTTATAATGGTGGAACTGCTAAGAATTTTGAAAATAAGTACTAAACTCGTTCTTACTGCGAATATTTAATACTGATTCAGTCAGCATATACAGATCTCTTTCATATTGCATTAGTCATTGGTTTTCACTTGCTATCTTTGAGTGTGTGTATGTATGACTGTGTAAATGGTGAAGGCTAAGTTTCCTTTACAGATAATCATTTTCATCAGATCTTAGACAAGAAGTTGATAATTGCCTAAAGATGTCCCACCAACAATAAATGATATCATTATATTTATATGATCATGAGAAGAAACTTCTGCACTATTTTCAGTTGAGTCATCGTTATATGCGAAGGTCATTTTGGTCCAAGATATGTATCATATACCTCAGTGGACTCAATCAACGACGAGTACCAACAAGTATGAAGCCTAGGTTCCTCAGCTTCCAAACGATTACTTCCAACCAACTAACGTCTATCGATGTGCGTCTCGATGCTGAGCCTCCTAGCTTGGTGGCCACATTACAAAATGGCCAATGGAGTTTTGTTAGCACTCCGGACTATTAATATTATTATTTATCCCTTAAGTTCCTAATGGAACATACGGCTTCAGCAGCACGTCTCCATTCCACTCTCTTCTCTTCTCTGCAATCTTTTGAACCTGGCTCCACTACTGCCCACAACCTCTCATCTCTACCTCACACGATCTCCTCCATGTCACCCTCGCCTCGGATGCCCAACTCACCGTTTCCCATCTGGGTTCAACTCGAGGGCCTGACATGGTGTGTCATGTCCCCAGTCAGCCTTCCCAGTGTATGTCCAATCCAATCCAATCCAATCCATCTCCACTTCCTTCCACTGCATATTTGTTGGGCGATAACTTCTTGGTTGGTTCGTTGCCAGTCAGCCAGAGTTCCTTGTTGCTTATTCTCATTATTCTGGCCATCTGATCTGATCTTCAGTGTCAGTATTGAGCCAGCGTAGGGGGCAGTTGTTGATGAATGTCTGCAGTTTGTTGGAAGTGCTTTTCGTGATGGGATAAGTCTCTCAACCATCACATAGAAGCATTGACTTGACTGAGTTGGTGTTCAAAATCCTGATGTTGTTCACTCTTATGCTGAGTGCAGAAGATCTCCTCATTGGTTTCAGATTAGTGAGAGTGTGTCTTGCTATCTTCCCGATCGTGACTTTGACGTCCTCGTCTGTGCCTGTGCTGCCTGTGGTTGAAACGATGCTGTCTGGATAGATGGGTAGGTGAAAGAGACTACTTCCTTCAAATTTCTCCCATAGATGGTGATTGGAGTTTGTTGTTATTGTTGGTGGTGTTGGTTGGGTATCTTCTTCACTTCCGTCTTCTCTATATTCACTTGAAGTCCCGTTTTCGCTGCCTCACCTCTTCTGTCAACGTGTTGGTTTTCGCCTGTATATCTTCGAGTTTGTGCGACAAGACATTAAACATAAATTGTCGGCGAAATCCGAATCTTCGAGGCTCCTTTCATCGTTCCAGCCAGCGTATGCCCCTCTTCTCGTTCCTCATAGTTTGCTGCATGATCCAGTTGACCATAATCAGGAAGATCATGGGTGGTAGTAGTCAGTCAGAGTCGATTAGAATAAGAGTACGAAAACTTAACTAAATCAAACTTAGTAGATCCTAATCAGATAAGAAATTTCGAGAATAGCTCGCTTATAGCTCAGCAAGCAATTACACATGATCACATATTAGGGTGGGATAAAGCGACAGCGTTAAAAACTTAGTTGGGTGGAGGGAGGGAGAGATTGATAACCGAATCTTTGTTTATCGAATCAACACCAAATACATGTTATAGAGCCGTTTATTCATTTATTATTGTTCTTATACATGCAATAGAAATTATTGTGCACCTGTGGCGGATATACGGAAAATTCTATTACCCTTGTAATCACAGAGAAGGAGAGAAAATTAGGAATATATGAACTCTGTCTCAATGTTGTGGAGTTACATGATATGACTATGGACAATAAACTGTGTCCGAAACGTTATCAAGTAAATGATAGTGTTTCAGTATGTAACATTTCTAATAAACAGACTTAAGCGGAGTTAAGGTACTGTGATCTATACCAACCTGAACGTACACGTCAAAGGTTTCGTTTAGGTGGTATACCCAATAGATTACTTTAGCAAGACTACGTTGATTCACCTATGTGGCCAGCTATGATTATTGATCAGATTTCGTTTTCGCTGAAGGTGTGGTCTTAGCGTACAATAGAGAAATCTAGTCAGTCGTATGAGTACTAGCTGAAGTGGCCTATGATCTACGACATTATTATGTGTTAGAGACTGATAGTGTTAAAATGAGTATCTTCTATGCGCACAGGAGAGAGTACTGAAATAATCAGTTAGTTTTCACTACTTTATCAACGAGACCCCTTTTCGGTCAAAGTAAAACCTAATTACTTACTTCAGTTGTTACTACGGTGGTTTTTAAAGTCACTTGACATACGAACCCACGAATCACGATGCATCTAGTGATATAACGAATCAAATTTAGCCATTTAAGCTATCTCAGTAATTACTAGAATGTGTCTTTCGACCAAATCGATAACCCACGCGCAAGCTCCAGTTCAGGTTCAAAGTTAACTAGATGAGATCAGTATCGCAAAACAGGCATGAGATTAGAGGCATAATGCCCAAATACTTGTTAATTTTGATCACCAGAAAACACCTCTAACCACTGCGATGAACTCATTTCGTTGGTTAATTGTGTATTATGGTCTTTACGATCAACTTCTACGGTTATCAGTAAAGGTCTTTCATCTCTAGATTGATCATTTGATCTGAAGTCGCTACCAGGCAAGTGAGAGGCATTCACCTAGAAACTAATGTTTATATATATATATATATATATATATATATATATATATATATATATCATGCTGCAGTTCAACTAATAATGATCATACTCTAGGCTTAAAAAGTTTCACCAAACTGGATATGGAAGAAAAACTAGTTAGTAAATAATGCAGCATACAGTTCATACACAATAAGTAGTAGCATAGTTATTGGTCTATATTTCTTCTGACATTCAATTCGATTTCCTTTCGCATCAAATTTACAAGTTCCATCTCTTGCCAACCAGTACTTGAACTGAACTGCCTGACCGAGAGATAAGAATCATATTTAGGCAAATAAAACTATAGAGATCAGTTAGATGTTTCCGTTTTGTTAGTAAACGTATTTATATGTATAATACAATATTTACATTTTGATCGACATTAAACAATGATCTTACTATCTTTTTGCTATTTCGATTTTACAGTTTATCATAGACAACCAATCTAATTCGGCTCCAGATTTATTCAAATTAGATCAGATTTCTAATCATCATCCTTTGAGTACACTTGGATTTTTTATATTTATGGTGAGTTTAATGAAATGAAATTTGAAATGTGTTGTTTACCTATATGAACTCATGACTGTAGTTATACTTTAATGCAGGTGGCTTAGTTGTAACGTACTAACCATTAGAAATATGTACTCGGTTTACAGCTGACATTACAGATTTCTTGTAGATAGTTTGAAACGTAGATGAAGTAACTGTTCCTGCGCCTTGTTGTTTTTCTTCGGCGTTTTCTCGGCTATTTTCAATTGAAACTTAATGAAAAGTATCTTTTTACATTATTCACGACTGTCAGTGTCACATTCTTAGATGTGTCACTCAACTCCCAGCCATAACGTCGTTAGACAAGAACGTTTTGTCAGTGACTACTGTTGTAGTTTGAGTACGCGCAACGGTATTAATTCTAAATGCATCCCAACGTGGATCGGATAACACGAGCAGATATCACATGTGTTTGGCAGACATGTGCCAATCGAACATATGACAATGACAGATAAACGAAAAGACAAACACCACAGGATTCGAAAAGGTGTAATCATTTAAGTTGTTCACTATTCAATGTATATAAACAAAATTAGCTGCAATATTGACGTGATATTAGTACATACAGTATTCGTCAAGAAATCTGAATAAAGTTACATGGGGTATATAAAAACCTTACTTCAAACCTGATAATGTCTTGACAATAACTAGAAACGAAACTTAAAGTGCACGATTCATATCTATTGCAGAACTCGTTGGTTACGTATACCTAAAGCTTGAGGATTGTGTATATTTCCATTGAAACTTGAACTGAGTACACATTGTTTTAAATTAACTAAAAATAGTATGCGCTACCCAACTGAGTGGTGATATTGGCTAATGAATTCTCACCCAACCGATATCAGCACTGAGAATAGGTGACCAACCAACTCAGTATTCTCCGATGAACTAAACACTTACTATTGCACAAGGTATTCAACACAAAGTAAACCTGATTTGATTACAAATCACGAATGGCATAGAGAAAGTAACTGAACGTCATTAACTTATCAGTCAATTTAAAAGCAGAATATCAAGGTTAACTTTTTCCAGCTAAAAACTAATGCACATATTAAGTGGTAAGTTGTAAATGACAAGTCATGAAGGTCACCTCAATTTCCATATACCTTTATTAATATAAGAGTAAAACTTGTGCACCGTCGTAGAATGTAATTCCATTTTTATTGATTTCTTAGATTTATCACATAGTGTAACAGTATTGTTTACTGGATTACGTTTCGGACATAATTTATTGTCCATAGTCATATCAAGATAACTACACAACATTGAGATATCATTTATATAGTCCTAATTTTCTCGTTTGTTTGTGAGATGGGCAGTAAAATTCTCCATATATCCGAAACAGTTGCTGAGTCATTCCTGTTGCATGTGTTAGGTGTTGATTCGATAAACAAAGATTCAGTTATCAATTTCTCCCTCCACCCTGTTATGTTAGTTTTAAGAATTTTCACCCTGTCCCATCCTATTGTGTGGTTATGTGTAATCGCATGCTTAGCTATGGCTGGGCTTTTTTTTAAATTCCTTACTTTACTAGGTTCTACCAATTTTGACCTAGCTAGGTTTTTATGTTCCGATAGCCTAATTGATCTTGGTCGACTACTTTGACCTATGTATTTGACCTCGCAATCGTTGTAAGGGATTTGGTAAACTAAGCTATTCTGCTTAATTGGGTCAATAGGATCTTTTAATTTACAAAGCGTATTTCGAGGTGAGTGTGTAGGTTTAAACGCCACTCTCATCCTAGCCTAATTGAGAATTCTATGTAGTGTTTCTGAGGTGCCTTCTTTGTATGGCAATACTGTGGAGGTTTTGAATTCTCTATTCACAATAATAGTAATAATGATGTTAATAATACTAACAGCAGTATTGTTTATTTGATGTATAACACACAGTGATGTAGTATTATTCACTTGGTGATGACATTTCGAGCATAAATTATTATTACTCATAATCATACCTCAAAGTAATCACACTACTTTCGACATTTGATTTTTATAGTTATGTCACTTTATATGAGTAAGTGAATTGGATTACGTTTACTACTGAGTTTATATGCATGAGGAAATTGTCGATATGTTCCGATTTCAACACAGTAAATGTGTCATCCACATATGACCACCATATTTTTGGTGTAGGACTAAACGTTTGTAAAGCCATGTCTTCCCAACTATCCATAAATATATCCGCTACGATTGGGGATATTGGCGATCCCATTGCTACTCCTTCCGTTTGTCTGTATATTTTGTTCTGAAATTTGAAGACTGTGGAGCTCAGGCATAACTGTATGCCTAATATAATATCATCAACCGATATCTTAATTCTGTGAGTAAGTTCTGAGTCAATATTTACTTGACTTCTAACAGCCTCCTCACGCATATAAACTCAGTAGTAAAAGCAATCCAATTCACTTACGAGGTAGAAAATGAACAAGCAGAATTACCTAGGTTGGATTGCAGAATAAAACAAAGAACAGACGGTGGCTTGGATACTATCGTCTACAGAAAACCAACACATTGCAACAAGTATCTAGACTTCAAATCATCCCATCCAATGTCAGTTAAGGCAGGATTAGTCAAATGTCTAAATGATAGAGATAGAAGGAACAAGGAATTGAAACAAGTAAAAGAAGCACTTGTAGTTAATAATTATCCTCCACAGTTTATTAAGAAATTCTTACGGACACACACACAAATAACAGTCACACGAGTGCGACTAGTAACGACAACATGAGTAAAAAGGAGTTCACAGCCTCCATCGTACTACCCTATAAGGAGGGTACCTCAGAAACTTCATGTAGAATCCTCAACAGAGCTGTAATTAGGGTGGCATTTAAACCTACAAACAGACTCGGAGATAAACTCTGTCGGCTTAAGGATATGATAGAACCAATCAAGCAAAATAATATAATCTATCAAATACCATGTAATGACTGTGAGGTCAAGTATATAGGTCAAACTAGTCGGTCGGGGTCAGTTAGAATAGCCGAACATAGGAATTTATCTAAATGCAAAAATTCCCATTTAGACATTTAGTAAAACAAACAATGTGAGCGAAGAAATATTTCTTTTCAATTAGTTCCTCATCAATGGCTCTACACTAATATAGCATTTTCAAACGTAAAATTACATACCAATCTAGTGGTGAGAGTTGTTCAATGAAAGGTTATCAATCTCAAAGTATCAAGAAGGTGATAATTGATCAGGTAATTAAGACAGTTAACTAAAGCAAAGATTAATTATCGTAGAAAGATTTTGTGAACAGGTTCTTACATAATTGATATTTTGTATATTGATAACTAAAGAGCAAAAATGAACTGTTACGTAAAATGGTAAATTGTTGACGGTAATTAGAGACAGTAGGGGGAGAGAAAGATGGTTAAGTCTGTAATAATAATAATAATGGAGCTATTAAAATATTAGTTATAGTGAATTGTGTGGTGGATGAAATGAAGAGTCTTGTTGTAATAAATGAGCTATACAGATGGCCAAGGCAAAGAAAGAGGCTGTACGAATCTCTTCTGAACACACAGACTTGGCTTGTGTAGGTGGATTCCTATGGCTTCTGCTGTATGTAAAAGACGAACTCGTAGAGGATGGGTGAGGTGAGAAGGAATGTGATAAATAACTTTAAAGGCATTATGAATGTTAACTCGGTGGCCGGTGTCAATCAGATGAGAGAGTATTGAGCTTCGTGTCAGTCTGGTTTCCCCCTTACTTAGCCATGAAGGATGATGCTCGGCGATTCGACGACGGACTTGCCTAACTGTACGTCCAATGTAACTAGCTCCACAGGAGCAGTTGAACTGGTAAATGCACATAGAAGAGGAGAAGTCAGGGAGTCTGTCTTTAGTTCGTGTGGTCATCATCGGCCGGCTGTAGAAAACACAACATAACTTGGCGGCATTAAATGATCTTCTTATGGCATTTCTTAAGCGTTGTGTCACAATTTCGCTGATGATGTCACCTCGAAATTGTAGTCTTAGAACAATGGTTTCTTGGAGACTGTAGGCATTCTGGTTTTCATATTGGATGTGTTCATATTTTTAGCCAGGAACGTTTCTGGATATCCATTACTACTGAGTAGATCGTGGATAATTTGAAGCTCTTCGTCAAAAGTATCATCTGAACAGATGAGTCTCGCCCGATGGACCAAACATTTAACGAGATTTCGTTTATATTGCAAGGGGACGAAACTCAAGAAGTGGGTGTATTGACCTGTTGACGTTGGTTTCCGATACACACTTCTTTTTATAGTTCCATCCACCTTCCTTGTCAATCGGACATCTAAGAAGGTGATGCTGTCGTCACTTTCTGTTTCAATAGTGAAGGTTATTGCTGGATGGACGCCATTGAATTCATCCAGTATGATCCTTGCATCGTCCTCGTTATTCACAATCAAGAATGTATCATCTACATAACGGCAATAAAATTCTAACCCGCTTATGATGCTTTCCAGAGGGCCATTTTCTAATTTTGCTAAGAAGAAGTCCGCTAAGATTGGGCCTAGTGGTGACCCCATAGCGACACCGTCTGACTGTCTATAGAATTCCTTATTGAAGAGAAAGTGTACATTCATTGTACATCGTAAGAGAAGCTCTTTCAAGGTGGATGCCGTAATTCCAATTTCTATGTTTCTCTTTTCCAGTTCGCTACATATGAAGTCCACTGTTTCCATCAGAGGGACATTTGTGAATAGGGATGATACGTCTAAGGATATCATAGACTTATTATTCACATTCAAATCTCTTATTTTATCGATAAAGTGAAAAGTATCTTTGACGCTATGCTTTACAACCTCCTTATGCAATGGTTTCAAGAGTTGTACTAGCCATTTCGCCGTCGCATGGTATGGAGAGTTTGACATGTCAAGAATCGGTCGGAGTGGTAATCCATTCTTATGCACCTTTGGTAAACCATACAACCTCGGTGTTACTGTGCCAGTAGGTCTGAGTGTTTCATACTCATTTTGTGAAATGAAGCCTTGCTGTTTCAGCTTTTTTAAGGATTCGGATAATTGCCTCTCCGTCTTCTCTGTCATGTCAGTATTGGTTGGTAGTTTCTGAAATTTACTGTCATCACTGAGAAGGCTGTTCATTTTATCTAGGTATTCGGCTTTCTTCGCTCACATTGTTTGATTTATCTAAATATAGAATAACAGACCTAAATAAGATCAAGAATCTAGAAAAAAAGCTCGACTATTGCTATGCATGCATTAACACACAATCACACAATAGGGTGGGATAAAACCACTGTACTTAAGTCCAATATAGTTAGGTGGAGAGGGGGAAAGATTGATTACTGAATCATTGTTCATCGAATCAACACTCAACACATGTAATAAAAATGATGCAACACCTATACCAGAGATATGGAAAATTTTGCTACCAATAAAAATAACTCATACAAAGTGACATAATTATAAAAATTAAATGTCGAAAGTAGTGTGATTACTTTGAGGTATGATTATGAGTAGTGATAATTTATGCTCGAAATGTCATCATCAAGTAAATAATACTAGATCACTGTGTGTGTTATAAATCAAATAAACAAATCTAATATAGAATTAATTTCTACCACAATGTCCAAGATTTACAGAAAAATCATATTTTTGAAATTCAAGTAATCTAAACTTCTCTGAAATTCAAGTTGGTATTGTTCACTTTTCAGATTTGATTAGTAAAGTTATTCGTTTCGATTTATCAAAGTTTATTGGTTGAATATCACGGTAGTGATTCAGTTTCACCCAATCCGTAGAGTCAAGATGCAATTATGCATCGAAAGATAAATTTATCTGTCATCCAGCTTACAATCCGTATACAATTAGTCTTACATTAATCCATCTTTGAATAGCAGTGTCTTAATGTATAGCCCCAGTATCAATGAGAGAAACTGTTATGCTTTATGTCGTATTCAAAAAAAATTTATAGGAAGTAATAAACAAACTGAATTGTTTTGAAATTGAATAGTCATCTAGTTTCTGAACTTCATAATACCTAGAACTTTTGAATCCAAGGTCTCTCAGGAAAAACAAGAACTCAGACAGATGAACTGCTCATATGATATACGGACTTCAGGTAATTCAAGAATAGATAAATAAACATATTTATTAGAGTGCAAGTTTAATCGCTATCACTTGTTCAGGAATAATTAATACAATTAGGATAAGGGATTCATTACTGTCAAGGATCTATATCATTGGTTGGAAGTTATTTAGGCATACAAAACATGACTCATCAATTCACGTATATGTGAAGCGTCTAGGTGAATAAACGTCAACCACTATAAATCTTTATACTCATCAGAATGAGTTTACCCTGTTGACAAAATAATTATTAGGTAGTGCCAGAGACATTTGGATTCTTGGTTGTATTGTGTTCTCTGAGCTGAGTTGTTTAATCGTGAAGACCATCCACCTGTGTTACAAATATTCTTCACTATTTCAAAACATTTGGATTCATTTGAAGTTCTGATGGACAGAATGGCGATTTAAGAGTCAATTGGTTGACATACATTTCGGTCTATGAGAGAGTCTTCTACCTTTTCGATGTAGTCATCTTTATCCATTACTACTGTGGTGCACCCTTTATCAGCTAGAATTATAACGACATAAATTTTATTCTTCAACTTCTCAAGAGGTCTGTAATCTTCACTGGTTAGTTTGGTAGCGTTTTGCTTCCGCTTGATCATAAGTACGATTACTTGGCGTATTTCATGTTAAGTCTCAGAGTTCCGTTTTGAAGTCTTCAGTGATGGCTGAAAGGATGCGAAGAATCCTGGTCCTGAAGCGTCTCCCGTATTTTATGTAATCCTTTCTGGAGGAGAAGTTCAACAGCAGTTGCCAATGTTGTGAAGTTTTATGTTGTGGGTATTCTCTGAAGCTTTCTCTTTTGGCTTTTCAGTGTCTGTTGATATTTTCGAATCCTTTAATGCGTGCCGGTGATCATCAATTGTACCTTGTGTCTTCCACTCCTTTCCACTAACTTCAAGCCCATTAGACAGCTGATAGATGATTTGTATCTGACACTAGTTGGCAGAACAGGATGCCGGAGACACTCGTGTAGAAAATATAGTTGTTCTCTTGTGAAGGCCTGCCTCCTGGAGAAGTTCTCCCATTTCTAAACAATAAGAAGCATTCGATGCTCGTAGGTATTTGTGATGATGGACTTGTTTTTGAAGTTTATGCTAATGAAATTGTCTAGAATGACAATGAAAGCTTCACGATTAAACCATCCAGCTCAGAGAACACAACACCATCAAAATGATCATCTTGAGCAACAAATATTCTCCACCATGATTTAGTTTGTTTGGTGAATTCCATCGCTTGCCAATATCAAACAAAGGAAAGGTTAATAAAAAAGTACGATTACTTGGATTACTTCTATTGCATTCATTCGATTTATTCTACATCCCAGAATTTTTGAACTAACCTTCTCCATTCTTTTTTGTTTTGTTTTCGATTTAACAGAAAACTAATTTATTACAGAAACTTTCTATACCCCCAGTAACAATGCTACACTGTCTCAAATGTATTGAATCTCGATATAATCCCAGTGCTCCGTTTCATAATTCAATTCATGCATTGGATGTATTACATGCAACTTATCAACTTTTTCAATGTAGTAACTTAAAAGTAAGTTATTTTTGGCGGTAGTAGAATTTTCAAATTCAAAATGAGTTTCACTTCTATACCGGTTCAATGATCAATTGTATACGGAAAACGACTGTGAAAAATTCGCTTTTTTGAAAGTTCCACTTACTATTTGTAGTTATCCAACTCAATCTCACTTCTCCACTAAGCATCTTCATTTCGGTCAATATGCCTGAGGTTCAGTGATAGCACTTTGTTCATTCATAACCTTTAAGTAAAGACAAACCAACAACGAACTTTAACTAGTCACCTGATTAAATTCAGTTGATGTAATCATCACTTGACGTCTTATTGTTGTGAGTTTTTATGCAAACATTACAAGAAAACTCAACATTAAGATCTGAAGCTGTTAGGCATTCACGATAACAGTTGCCATCATCCTCTTGAATAGAATGGTCAAAAGACAATGTGTATAATATAGTAATAATAATAATGATAATAATGGTGATGGCTTTATTCTGAAAGCTATTTCGGGAATGCTCTACAGAATGTTTAGGATGTCACATAGAATCACTTGGATAGAAACAGTGTATATCTATGTATGCATGCAGAAATGAAATAGGCATAAATTACATTAAAAAGATAAGAATATTCACTTCATCTACAACTTTCTTGAAAATCCACAGTTAATTTAGTTAGACAATCATATTAGCAATTAGATTCAGAATATATAAATAGTAACAAGATATATACTCATTAATTAGTTCGCTATCAAAAACAAAAGTTGATTAAACAGTTCATTTCTGATACTTTCTTCATCGCACCGAAGATGAGCTAAATACAGTGGTGCAGAGTAGTAGTATGTGCATAAAGTCTTATATACTCGCTCCTCGTCCTTTCAAATGACCGATATGCAAGGAGTTTTGACTGAAGAGGATGCCAGTCATCTGATAAAATAACCCCTGCTAGATGTTTACATAAGTTAATATATTTATCCACGGCAGTTTTAACTAGAAAGTTTAGAGATACACCACTAGTTCTGTTGATAATCTTCAAAGTTCTGCGTAATGCAGCAACCCGAGAAAGAATAAAGGAGAATCGGCAAGATGCAGGAGTTCACAAAACACAAGAGAAGAGGTTGAGTTATACCAGATACTCTCAGCTTCCTAATACAGAAAGTCAGGCAGAAAATTCTTTTGCGAATTGGTAAGATATGGGAGGATCAGAAACTTGAGACTCAAGCAGTTTACAAAGGTTGTGTTTGCGTCTAAATCTAAAGTTTACAGTCTGATATTTCGAAGAACTAAGCATTAAATCATTTAAGAGGACCATCGTCTAGCAGTAGATTAGAAATCATTTAGTTGAGAACAATCTGTTGAAGAGAACAAAGGTATGGAAACTGTCAGATCATCAGCATATTTGATAAAATTGATGCTAGATGAAGATGGTAAGTCATACAGAAAGAAAGAGAAAAGACAAGGGGAAAGGATGGCTTCTTGAGAAGTACCAATCACCGTAAGCAATGAGATGGAGTACTACCCTCTGTGAACGGTGTATTGTTTCCTTAGGAATACAGCCAGCTGATTATCCTGGACTCAGTATTTGTTTCGGTTAGTTTGTCCAGCAAAAGAGGTGTGGGACAAAGTCAAGTGCCGAAGTATAGTCTAAAAAGGCACACCTGATATACTTCGCATTTCTATCATGATTACAAGCAATATTGTGATATAAGACAGTGGTGGCATGTATACTGCTTTTTCTGCTTTTATATGCAAATTGATTAGGGTCTCCAAAAGCCTTCAATGAGGGTTCAAGCATAGGTATTATTAGCTTCTCCATTGTTTTCAAGAACGGAGAAGTAACTGCAATCAGAAGGAATTCTGGACCTGTGCTCGGAGTCACTGACGACTTAGGTACGGGGACTATCTTAATATCTTTCCAGGCAGCTGGTATGGTGTTTTCTGAAAACGACCTATTAAAGATGTTAGCTAATGGATGGCATAAAATATCAGTACAATTCGTGAATACGAAGCTTGACATGCCATCCGGACCTGAACTGTGTGAAGGATCCAGAGATTTGAGACATTTTAAAACTTCTTTCTCAGTGAATTCTGGACAACATTCTTCATTGGAAATGTGTGGAGAAAGTGGGATGGGACAGGTGGGTTGATGTATAGTGATTTTTCCAAAGCACAGACGTCAGTAGGTGCTTCTTTGCTAAGGTGTTTACTGCCAGTGAGGTCTTTAAAAAGTTTCCACGTGCTAGAAGAGCCTTTGTATGACAAACGTTCCTGATTATGTAGTAGACTCAGACTATGTACATCTGATCACAATAGTTAATTCTTAACAAATCACTATGAGTCACGATTACCTGAGACAGGTAGTAACTCGTTAATACAGTGGAATTGTTTGACTACCTTGTCAATGCTGATATTCCTTAAGAAGATTTAGTACAAAAACATTTCAGATGGGAGCGGGGAATTGTAGAGATTTATGGACTCCAGAGTAGTTTTCATTAAGGATTGCCATCAGTTGTAGGAAAGTTTACAGCCTTAAAGCAGTGTATAGCCGCTTCAGCCTAGATTAGAAAATCCCAGCATTGTACACACGACCAAGTAAGGGTTTTGTGTGAGCCTGCTGATATCAGGTTTTTTCACATCTGAGAAAAAACAGCTAACTACAAATGATATCAGTTCATAAAACGTTACCTGTCTGACAATTGAAGCTTTTGCGCTTATTTACGTCAGTAAATGTTCGGTCCACACTATAAACAACTTATCATGATAGATGATTTGTCATGAAACTCCTGAATATTGATTGTTACATTAGCTGAAAAGTGGGAAATGTAAATCTTAGGTAAGTGTCACTGGTTGCATTATTTTACTTATTTTAAAGGCGTTTTACCTATGACCTAATTAGTGACATCATTTTGTATTCATTCTGGCGATTACTAGTGGGATCCAGGACACGCCTTTCATCATATTTGGGACTCATCAGCTAGGTGCACTGAGTGCTGGGTTCAAGCGCCAGTGGGGACAACGTCGCTCACTGGAATCCAGGTACATCCGGCTGACGAGTCCCGCAAAAAACGAAACGAGCAGTTTGGATTTCACTGCTAGTCACCAAGATGAATATAACGTCATGAATACTACCCGGCAGTATTGAGGCATCCGCATAGGAGCCCACCTGCCGACAGCGGTCTAGAAATTCGGTCCTGTATGGCAACGGAAAATTACAAGTACCAGATGAAATTATACCATTATTGCATGGGTCGATTGAAGAGCTTTTGATTGATCCCTCATCAGTTTCTGCAGGACCTACGTCTCAGAAATAACTGTATGTCGAGTGAAACCCATTATTGTGCATTATCCTATATTTTATGCTTGAAAATGGCTGTTTCATTTTTGTAAATTATTGTGAGTTGTGACCAAAGGATTTTGGAGTACATAAGAATGAAATACAGCGCTAGAAACATACAAACAATAAGCGCGACTTTGTGTTCTGTTGTAAGCGATGGGGCGGACAGATTTCTGTGACTCAACGTTTATGGGAAAGTATATTTGTGACTAATCACGTGTACGCCCATCATTAAGTAGAATCATGTGAATCAGACAATCACAACAATAAAAGGTAGTAAATTGGCGACAGTTAACTCAAGAATATAACACTGATAACTCACGTTTCCTGAACTAAAACTCCACCAATGAATCTGGTATTACATCTCCACTTAGAAATTCTTATCGACGAACAGAATCAGTCGAAATAAGGCTTTTAAGCAAACAGGTATTCAGAAATTACTAAGTTTAGTTGTTATAAACTGAAGGAAGGTATTACACTCTAAAATGAAATGGTATCAGTAATATTTGAGGGATAATATAATCACAAAGATGCTTTGTCACGTTTTATTCTCATCAATGAAACTGTAAAATGTTATTATTTAAAGACCCTGGGGAATTCGAAGGAATTTAAGTGACCTTTCTTAATACAACTGGCATTTATACCTGATAAAATTGATGTATATCGTTAAAACCCTTATTTTCACCCCCATAGACATCGTGGAAATATTAAGGAAAAAAGATAAACCAAGAGGTACTCGACACCAAGTGGTAAATCTGACATCCTACGGCTTGTATTTCTTAATACTATTTATGGATGTTCGAATGAAGGAATATATATTGGCAGATATATTCCAGAATCGATTGTATAAATCACTGAAAAAGACCTTCCTTTTCCGCCCACCTTCAGATTGTCTACTTCAGTCAACAGCTGATCCGAGGATGTGCAAAGGTTGAACTAACACTTTGGGCCTCCTCCATATGTGTTTACCAATTCACCTACTCTTTTGAAAATGGCTATATAGGCTGCACAAAGCGTGTTCTATCCAAAGAAATCTCCGAACACTACCCTGTATGGCTATCTAGACGAAAGTGCAAAGGCATTAACACCTAGATTCTTCAACATTTGGTTAACAGTAGTCACTTTGTTCCACCCGAATCACCTTTGTAAGTCATTCATAAAACTTACCAATCCAAACACTTACCAAAGAGGATAAACAAAGAATACGATGGACTGACCACTTCTGAAAACTCTTGAATCGACCACCACCACCACCACCTGCAACTCGTCCAGAAATACAACCAGCAGCTCAGCCACAGAACTATCAGTGAACACAGGCCCTCCGACAAAAGCAGAAGTGAAGTCCTGAACGCCATAAAGCTGCTGAAAGCTGGGAAAGCAGCAGGACCAGATGGAATTCTGCAAGAAGCACTGAAAAATGACACAGAGACAACAGCGGACATGCTCATACCACTACTGCAGAAGGTTCGGAAGGGAGGAAGGGAAAATACCTGCCGAATGATTGGAAGAAGGGCTACCTTGTCAAACTCCCTAAGAAGTGAGACCTCAGTGTTTGCAAGAACTGGCGCGGAATGATGTTCCACCCCAAGCAAGCATAATATCAAGCCGTATCATCCTGGAGAGTCTAAAAAATGCTCTTCATTCAAAATTACGACCGGAACAGACAGGATGGCTGGTTGGCTTCAGGAAGAACAAATCATGTGTGGATCAAATTGCAACACTACGCTACTCACCATCATAGAACAGAGCATAGAATGGCAGTAAAATCTCTACCTCAACTTCAGTGATTTTGAAAAGGCCTTCCACAGAGTCGACAGAGAAGTCATTTGGCAGCTCCTTCAACAGTACGGTTTAACTACTGCAAACCTTTATCAACCTCATTCAACAGCCATATGCCACATTAGGATGCTACATGCCAACTGATTGACAATGGAAAGCTCAGTGATACCTTTGAAGTGAAGACAGAAGTAAGACAAGATTGCCTACTATTGAAAGAAGCAAGAAGACAGATACAGTGGCACAGTAGTCGTTAACTATGGTACACCTTGCACTAAAACCATCATTTGCAAAATGTGCTTCGTTTCCTCCTCTACTTCTCTCCTCCTTTGCCCTTCATACGCCTACGTTGTTTATTGCGTTTCTCTTGGCAGAATCTTTACCCATTGCTGGTAACTCCCTGTGATTTCTGCCACCCTCTCAACATATACCACTTATATCCATTCTTATCAGCATCACCCAGCACACTATCAAAGAAGATCTTCCTGATTGTGGTCAACTGTACTGGACTGGATCATACAACAAACTATGAGGAGTGGGAAGATGGGTATACGCTGGCTGGACCGGTGAAAGTACCCCAGAAAAAAATTTCGATTCCGCCGTTGATGATTTATGTCTAATGTCTTGTTGCACAAACTCGAAGATCTACAGGCGTAAACTAACAAGTTGATAGAAGAGGCGAGGTGAGGCAGCGAAGATGGGACTTCCTTCAGGTGAACGTAGAGAAGATAGAGGTGATGAAGACACCCAGCTAACAACTACAATAACAAGCACCAGTCACCATCAACAGGAGAAATCTAAAGACAGTTGTCTCTCTCACCCACCTACCTACCTAGTCAGCATCGTTTCAACTACAGGTGGCACTGGCAAAGATGAGGATGTCAAAGCGAGGATTGGAAAGACAGCAAGACAGACTTTCATTAGTCTGAAATTAATCAGTGTGAAGATCTACTGCACTGCACTGCACTCAGCATGAAACGTGAACAAGATTCGGATTCTCAACACTAATGTCAGTCAGGTAACTCAGTGCTTCTATGTGGTGGTTGAGAGACTTGGTGCGTCACGAAAAGCATTTCCAACAAACTGCACACATACATCATCAACAGCTGCCGCATACGCTCACTCGATACTGAAGATCAACCAGACGGATGACCAGAATAATAATAATAATAATAATAATAATAATAATAATAATAATAAGCAACAAGGAACTCTGGGACGAACAAACCGAGAAACTATCCCCAAAAAATATTCAGAAGAGAGTGGAAGTGGATCGGGCATACATTGGGAAGACCATTTGAGGACGTCACGCGCCAGGTCCTCGAGTGGAACCTAAATGGGAAATGATGAGTTGGGCGTCCGAGGTTGACATGGAGGAGAAGGTGTGAGGAAGAAATGAAAGTTCATGGGCAGTCGTGGAGTCAGGTTGAAAAGACTGCAGAGAGCAGAGTGAAATGGTGACGTGCTAGTGAAGCCCTATGTTCCACTAGGAACCCAAAGGACAAATTTTCATCATAATAATACCAATCCCAACTTGGTGAGCAAACCACAAGATACTGTTAGAATGGGTGCTCATCTTATGCGCAGGAAACATATGACACTGTACAGCAATTGGATATACACATACAAACAAGATGAAAAATATTTATCCATACTTGGTACATTATTTGACTCCATGGCAAGGTTCTCCTTTACATATTACGGGTAAAAGAGGATATTGAATTTGGGGGGGTTTGTGGGTATTTAGGAGTTTTTCAAGTTGGCATTCATCATGGACTGACATCAGTTGGAGGAACACTAGAAACCTGGGAGCACTGGACAGATCCTTCGTCCCACTTGTATGGGCTTCCTTGGCAGTGCGGACCCACGACCCCACCCCACCAGGGACTGAACCCGGAACCTTCAGGTCCCGTGGCCGGCACTTTACCATTGAGCCATTGGGTCGAGGTTCACTGGTCCGTATCTCCAACTTCTGTCATTTCGCAAGTCCCAAATCCCTACAAATTCCCAAATTCAATTGATCCAGTGCTTACTGGTGACTAGCTTTGAGAGGTGATTCCCGATGTCCCAATGAGAAGTCGTGACCGGTGAGCCAAACCTGATGGACGCAAGGACAAATACTCAACGACGACATTGGGTGATGTTCGCACGATGTCGTGAATTGACAGAAGTTGGAAATATGGACCACTAAACCTCGATCCAGTAGCTCAATTGTTACTTGATGGCCACGGAAACTGAGGTCCTGGGTTAGATCCCTGGTGGGGTCATGGATGGGTACTCTTGGGAAGTCCCATACGAGTGGGAAGAAAAAGCTGTCCAGTGCTCCGGGGTTTCCAATCTCCCTCCAACTGATGTCAGTCCATGATGAATACCAACTTGAAAAAAGAGGATATGGTTGACTAAATTAAAATAACTATGCTTTGAACAATAAATTCCGCATTTCGCCCACTTCTGAATGGAAACTTTCTCGAGCGACTTTAAAGGCCACCTTAAGAACTAAAAAATAACCAATCGGAATTCGGCATTATGGCTAGAAAAGTAGTTTTTCATAGAATACAGAAGCCTAATTGGTTATCTCAGCAGTTGCTAGGGTTTCTCAGTACTATCTTGTAACTATCACCGTAAACAACTTAGTGATTTATACCTGTCTATACTCAACCCGATTCAGTTCAATGTTGAAAATAGTTCAACAGAGTATGAAACTTATTATCTTGTTATGGTTTCTTTTCTTCTATTTACCCTCTTTTCATTTTATATCTTGCAGAATATTTTCAGTGACCTTGAAACGTTCGCCATTTTTTTCGCATGCTCTATTCATGATGTTGATCACCCTGGTTTGACAAATCAATACCTTATAAATACGAGTAAGTCATTGAACAAGTCGATCCATGTTTTTGTATGCTACGGTCAATTAGGAGGTATTTTAAAGTATTGTGACTACAACGTAACTGTTTTATTTCACACTGTTAGCGGTTGCTATATATGCGTTTATAAATCGAAATCAGTGATTTTGTCAATATTATAATAAGTATGATGCTTATTCTGAGTGAAATAAGACAGAAACAAAATTGATAGAAGTAGGAAAATATGGACTGTTGAAATTCAAGCATATGACTCAGTGGTGGTAACGTACTTACCGCAGATTAACTTTAAAGGCCACCCTAGCAACTACAAAAATAACCAATCAGGATGCAATATTTTAACTGGAGAGAGTTTTTTATGAAATAATGGAAAGAGATTAGTTACTTCAGTAGTTGCTAGGGTGGGCTTTAGAGTCATTCCTTGCCACGAGACCTCATGATCCTAGGTTCGATCCCCAGTATGGTCGTGAGTGCACATCGCCGAGAAGAAGCATACTAAAACGAAACAGCTATCCACTTTTGATGGTTCTTCGACTGAATACTCTCTTGAAATCAATCATTTCCCACAAACCTTTAAATTGAAATTACTAATGTCTAACCATTGACAGTTAACAAGAATGATCATACAAATGTATCAAGGAAAAAGAAGCCGTAGCTGTTTTGTAACTTGTTTCGAGTTGAATCTTTTCATAGTAAGCGATAGCCTATGAATTCTAGAAAACCAGGTGCCAGATAGCAACTACGGATGTTATAATGACAAACATGAAGGGCAATATGCTTACGATGAAGCATACATTGCCTACTCTTGATCCATAGAAGCGTTATATAAATGTATTTAACTAAGTAATGTGGGAAATTCCTATCTGATTCCTTGCAGCCAACCGACGTCGAACATTACTAAGTAGTTTACATCGCAAATCGACATCACCTGAAGAATAACTGAGAACTTGAGAGCACTGAGCGGCTGTTTTGTTCTACCTTAGGACATCTTAGCAATACGCATCAAAACTCAGCTAAGAGTTGAGCTAAAGATCATCATAGGGAGTACGTTATCACTCGCCATTATACTGAAACCCAGACGTTTGGATTTTTCTACTTCTGTCGATTTACGGTACAGTGCAACTCAACCATCATCGAACGCCATCGGGAAGTTCTATTTTCCAAATGTATTCCAAACATTTCCATAGAATTCTGTTGATAATGAAGATTCAACAGCTGCCAACTGGAACACTTATTACAGTTCCAATAGATGTGACTTGAAAGTCAAACAGATCGGTGGTAGTTAGTTGGTTGGAAGCAATTGGCAGGAAACCTTAGATCTAGGTTTTGTGCTTGCTGGTACTCGTCAGCAAGGTGTACTTGCAGCGTCGACTGAAATGATATCGCCTATGAGAGCCGAATCCATGTCACCCAGTATTGTAGTCTGAGACATTACAACCAAACTACTGAACTCATGTAGGACCAATGAACATACACTGATTGGTCACTGGATAGCGATCAACTAACATCTATCAAAGTGTACCGCTTGGTGAGCCTTCTAACTTCATGGCCACATTGTAAAATGATTAATGGACTAGACAACATGAGACTGATTGCTCTCCGGTGATTAACCAATATAAACTAGTGGTAGTGCTTCCATCTGACTTGCCATGTGATATAGATCATAATTATCTAAACAGAATCAATTTTCAAGCCCTCCTACCAACTCCATGCAACGATTGTATTGAGGAAGATGTGTGTGATGCTCAAAAATCAAGGTTAGCATGACACAATTAGGGGACTGTTATCAAGGACTGAGTAGATGAAACTGTAAAATCACATAAAATGCATGTTAGTCAATTAGTCAATATATATATATATATATATATATATATATATATATATATAAAATACTCCTTTACAACATTTCTTTGGTCTCGAAGACCCAAATCAGGTACTTCATATCGCTCCAAACAACTCATATCAACCGTTAGAGATTTCATCAACCAGTACCACGTCTCAGTCTGGCCATCCTGAGCCTTCTTCTTACTCAATCTAGATTCCCTGTTGCATGGTATGTCGAGGTAGGCAGTGGCTGGGCATGCGACATACATGTCCAAGCCATCTCACTTGATTGAATACTGCAAGTAGGGCAATAAATAACAGGTTCATGGTCTTCTAAAATGAAGGGTCTGAGTGAAATCAAGTGATGATTGTCTTCAAATTCCACTTCCACTTTACTACTGATAATAATTACGGTAATAAGAATAACTGTGTTGACTAGGATTTACGTTCGATCAATGAAAAAATCATTCATATAAATGGGTAAGAAAACACTAAATAGCTTTTAGCAAGAAAAAAAATCGAACACTCTATAAATATGATTATTAATTGGAACATTACATAAAGAAGTTTTAAAGAACAAGAGTAATTGGGTTCAAGTATTGAGTTAAGTACATTGTTCTAATGAAATGAGTAGACATGAAAGTGCGTCCTTGAGTGTGTGTGTGTGTGTGTGTGTGTGCATTTACTCATTTGTGCGTGACAGTAACGACTGTATGAACTTTGTTCTTTCTTTTATCTTGTCATTTCGATATGCCACCTTTCTGTGTTTGGTTTTTCATGTGATGCACACAAATTAATCTTCAGTGGAATTTCACTTTTATCACAATAATACTGATGATGACAATGATCATTACGCTTTCCCAAGTGGTAACTAGATAAAAGAAAATTCGGTGAGGTAAAGTGAAGCTGAGAAAACTATGGAACAATATAATGAACTGTTATCACATTTTGTCATTCCCATCTGACTGGTCCCAAATAGGACGAAGTGAGCATCCTGGATTCCACTGCCAGCCACAATCCATCATTAACATAATTAGAACTCAGGCAATATTGAGGCATCCACACAGGAGCCCATATGCCAATAGAGACCGATCAATTCGGTCCTAATCATTATTTCATCAATTTAAATATTCCCATTGTGATAATTAGAAGACAGAGTTTGAAGCGAATATGTACTTTCGGTAGATTCTCATCCGGCTTTACATTTACAAATTCTTCAGCATACTCCTCATTTGATACCAACATGGTTAAATTAATTCGGGAATATGAATTACAAGATAACAGTAAAGGTGATAATAACAAAACGAAATCTCAATACGTTCATAATTCCCATTGTGACATCAAAAACAAGATATTCAGTGAAGAGGACTCTTTTCAACAGATTTATTCCCAAACTGTACATTTGTATGTATATGATACTTAAAGACTGTAATCTGTGAGCAAGAGTTAAGTAATGGGCGGGGGGGGGTTGAAATAATAACAATAATAATAATAATAACAGTGATAATCTTCATGTTCCTAGTTGATGACGTAAAGGTCGAATGATAAATAAAAGGGGTTATGTAAGAATTTTTAAAACAATACTGGGTGATGATTGAAGATGAAATGAAAATTTGAACTACGGCTGGACCAGCGACCACTGGATTTCTGGGACGATACTCCACTAGCTGAGGTACAAGGTTCTTTGTTGGTGGACCGCCACCGGGCGCTGATAAAATGCATATGAATTAAAAAGGGGTGAAAATATGGTATACTTAATGAAGAATCAGTGGATATAGGTAATACGAATGAGACAAGTTAACTGAAATAAATTTAAAATGTTTTGTTAAAAGTTGCAGTTATTGGGAGGATTGAATGAAGTAATACCAGTAACTATTTAATGAAAAAATAATAATACTGATAATGTGGAAGTCGAAGTCCTGAAAGCCATAAGGCTACTGAAATGTGGGAAAGCAGCAGCACCACCACCAGGTGGAATCCCGCCACAAGCACTGAAAACAGACACACAGACAACAGCCACAGACATGCTCACACCACTACTGCACAAAGTCTGGAAGGAAGGGAAGGTACCTGCCAACTGATTGGAAGAAGGGCTACCTACTTTCTCAAACTCCCATAGAAGGACGACCTAAGTCTTTGCAAGAACTGGCGCAGAAGCACGCTCCTGTCCACCCAAAGCAAGCAAAATATTAGGCCGCATCATCCTGGAGAGACTAAACGATGCACTGGATTCAAAACTATGACCGGAACAGGCTGGCTGGCTGGCTTAAGGAAGTACAAATCATGTGCCGACCAAATTGCAGTCAACTCAACTCTACCTCAACTTCATCGACTTTGGAAAGGACTTCGACAGCCTAGACTGACCGACAGGTAATTTGGCAGGCAGCCGCTTCAACACTACGGAATACCACTAGTCTTTATCAACCTCATTCAACAACTATGTGAAAACACCATATACCAGACAAGTAATTCACAATGGGAAGCTCAGTGATGCCTTCGAAGTGAAGACAGGGGACAGGAGTGAAACAAGGCTGTCGCCTACTATCACCCATGATATTCTTGATTGTGTTGTGGTCGACTGGATCATGCAACAAACAGTGGGGAGCGAGAAGAGGGGCATACGCTGGCTGGACCGCGGAAAACACCCCAGAAGAAGATTTGGATTTCGCCGATGACCTGTATCTAATGTCTTGTGGTACAAACTCAAAGATATACAGGCGAAAACCAACACGTCGACAGAAGGAGGGAGGCAGCGAAAACAGGACTTCAAGTGAATGTAGAGAAGACGGAAGTGAAGAAGATACCCAACCAACGCCACCAACAATAACAACAAACTCCAATCACCACCAATGGGAGAAATTTGAAGGAAGTAGTCTCTTTCACCTACCCACCTATCTAGACAGCATCGTTTCAACCACAGGCAGCACAGGCACAGACAAGGACGTCAAAGTCACGATCGGGGAAATAGCAAGACACGCTCTCACTAATCTGAAACCAATGAGGAGATCTTCTGCACTCAGCACTAAGAGTGAACAACATCCGGATTTTCAACACCAACTCAGTCAAGTCAATGCTTCTATGTGATGGTTGAGAGACTTATTCCGTCACGAAAAGCACTTCCAACAAACTGCAGACATTCATCAACAACTGCCCCCTACGCTAGCTCGATACTGACACTGAAGATCAGATCAGATGGCCAGAATAATGAGAATAAGCAACAAGGAACTCTGGCTGACTGGCAACGAACCAACCAAGAAGTTATCGCCCAACAAATATGCAGTGGAAGGAAGTGGAGATGGATTGGATTGGATTGGATTGGAAACACACACTGGGAAGGCTGATTGAGGACATGACACACCATGCCAGGCCCTCGAGTGGGGCCCAGATGGGAAACGGTGAGTTGGGCTTCCGAGGTGAGTTGACATGGAGGAGATCGTGTGAGGTAGAGATGAGAGGTTGTGGGCAGTGGTGGAGCCAGGTTCAAAAGATTGCAGAGAAGAGAAGAGAGTGGAATGGAGACGTGCTGCTGAAGCTGTATGTTCCACTAGGAACCCAAGGGACAAATAATAATAATAAAGATATTGTCGACATGGTCTCTGCTACTTTTAGAAACTGGAGACGGAGGAAACGTGAAATTTTTCAGCGAATTAGATAGACAACCTTAAAATGATTCTTTTCGTCAGTTGAATGGTGGGAATCGATTAGATGTTCGGGGATAGGACTTCTAATCCATTCCCTTTTACCCTTATAAAACCAGCCTGGAATATGTTACCTTCTCATTCTATTACGTAATCTTCTGATTGTTTATTAACTCTACCATGTTTTCACGCCTTTGTAATCCAATATGCACCTTATAAATGACTTAACAATCTTACATAACCCTTTTTAGTTGTCATTCAACCTTCATGTAATCAACTAGCAAAATTATTATTATGATAACCACCATTAGTGTTGTTCCAGCTTCTGTTTACTTAAGTTAAATCTTACTCACGGATTGCACTTTTTAAAAAACAAGATATTCAGTAAAGAAGACGACTCTTCAACGTATATTTCTCATGCTGTACATTCCTGGATATATATATATATATATATATATATATATATATATATATATATATATATATCCTTTTGACTGTCTGAGAAAGCCGCGGACTGGCAGACTAGTATTTATACTAGGCGATGGGTTGAAGGTGAGACGAAAGTGTGAACCGCGGCCGAAATCGAACCAGCGACCACTAGGTTTCCAGTTAGATTTTGATTTGGATGAGAAGTCGTGATCAGGCAGCCAGTGTGAATACGATCAAGCGGTAGTAACGCGTTACGGATTCACCAGGTAGTTGGGCAAAGCATATGACGACTGAAGTGAAATAAAAATCTGGTCAGAAGTTGGGCGTCGTAGCTCAGCTGGTAGAGCATGGTACCGGAAATTCGGTGGTCGCTGGTTGGAATCCGGCTGCGGTCTAAATTTCCACTTCACCTTCAATCATCACCCAGTATGTATATATATATATATATATATATATATATATATATATATATATATATATATATATATAGAGAGAGAGAGAGAGAGAGAGAGAGAGAGAAAAAAAAAACCTGTTGAAATGAGTCGTCTTCTTTCCTGAATATCTTTTTTCATGTCAAATTGGGAATAGTCCAGTTGAACGTGATGTATGCCTCTCATTTTTTGTAACTTATCATTTATTGTGTTTCGAACGTTTTGTGGATGAATATAAATGCATGAGGCATACCAAGGGCTATCTCAGAAATCACTGAAATAACCAATAAAAGCTTCCTTATTTTGGATGGAAAGATAGATTTTACTGAGAAGAAAAACAACCTAATTGGTTGTTACAGTGCCTGATGAGTTGGTTTTTATAGCTAAGTAAATATATCAGTCGATCTAAAAGAGTTGCCAGTAGAAAGCATACGGTTTTGCCACTTGTGTTCAGTTCATTTGATGATTCATAGGCGTGAGGAAGGCTTAAGTAAGTATGATTAAAGGAATTCAGACTGTGAGGCGTACTGTTACAGTTATCAGTTCAACTATATGATACAAGTTATATCACTTCATTGCGGGTACATTAGTGATTCTCAACCCAGAAATTTTATGATGTAGAAATCGAAATTACTTATATGGGTCTTTATTATGTCATACACCAAAGTTACTTGTAATGTTTGTTAAATTCATGTGGATCACAGACTACAGTTTGTATACTTTCATTTCAAACGGGAATTACCATGAAATTTTGCAGTTGCATACCATGCGACTGGATTATTCTGACTGTCAGCAGTAAGCTTGGTAAACTCTCGGTTTAGTCTTATGTTATACGAGTCTGTTCAAGTAGCTAGGCAGAAGTGTGTTTATTTGTATGATTCCACTCTCTAACATTGCCTGTTCATGATATGCTACTAATGAGCACAGTCCTGGAAAGGTGAAAGTGTCTTCCGATATTCAAATCACTTGTATCTGAGTAGTGAGTGCTACTGACTCAGATGAGAAGTCAGTGAGTAATGAATACCCTGTCATCTTCAACCATATTAAATCCTATAAAAGGATGAGTAGTTTACTCAATAACTGAGTGCACCTTCATGTCAAGCCTCCTAGAAGGGTGTCCGCATCGCAAGATGATCAGTAGACTAGACAACATAAAAGTCCAGTTCTAAAGAAGATCTCATGGTTCGAATACCTCAGTGATAACGTCTCTGACTGCAGCGCTGGGTGATGCAGGTCAGAATTTAACATGAAATATAAGTTCCCTCAAAGCTGTAGGTGCATGATGCTGACAATTGTCGACTAACTCAAAACATATACCTCAAACCGATTAATAATACTCACTACTTTCGAACATCTGTTGACTTCGCCAAAAATAGCTACCAATGGAAACTTTCTCCACCTGTTTGTTATCATTCGGATTTTCTTTTTACACATAACTGATTATTTTTAGTACTTTCTGTTTTTATAACCTCTATTATCACAGGTCATAAACTGGCCCTATTGTACAATGATATTTCAGTTCTAGAAAATCATCATCTTCATGTGGCCTTTAAACTAATCAGTACAGAGAAAGAATGTGATTTTACACAATTTCTTACAAATCAACAGAAACAATTATTTCGAAAAATGGTAATCAATTTAGTAAGTCAACTATCCCAGTGTTATTAAAACCAAGTTGATAGAAAATTAGAGACAACACTTCTCTTTAAGACTATGCTATTATTGTGTTGACAGTGTTTCCCCCTCCCCCCCACTCGTTATTGTTTGTAAAAATGTAGATCAGTTTGATACCGAATAATGACTGAAGGTGAGGTGAAGATCTGGATCGCGGCCGGATTCTAACCAGAAACCACCAGGTTACCAGCCCGGTGCTCTACCAACTGAGATACGAGGTTCAAATTCTGATCAGATTTTTATTTCACTTCAATCATCAAAGGTTTCGCACGACTACCATGTGAATTCGTCATGCGTTACTACCACTTGATCGTACTCATACTGGCATAGTCAAGACTTCTCATCCCAATCTACATCTATTTGAGTTAGAGAGGATGAGCATCGTATTGCTTATCGTTTTGACTGTCTGAGAAAATTTGAACCACGGTGGGATTCGAAACAGCAACCGCTGGGGTTTCGGAATCGGTGCTCTACCAAAATCAACAAGAACAAGGTTTGTAGAATAGAATGAGTTCATTTTATTTTATAGTTTCTCTGTGGCTTCAAACAGTCAATATAACACAAAAACAGCATCAAAGCCTAATTCACAAATCCTTCTCAATAATCTATTCTACTCACTTACTACGGTTTTACATTGATCTGTGTAGCTAAGACTAGTAGATTGTTATCCTAGAGATAGCATGAATTTCACAAAGATTTAGGTCATATTTGGCTGATAAATACCAGTAAGAATGAAGCTAAGGTTCAGGGTTTGCTAACCAAGGTATAACAGTATATCATACTGCATAGAATTCACTACTAAATTCTGCTGCTCTAATTTATATTCCAACCGATTTACAACATTCGAGTAATTTTTAGAAGAGAACATATCAGTTAGTGCTAAGTATTCTAGATGTTAACCAGGCGTCTCATCAGTATAAAAAGAGACATAAGCCTAGATGTATTTTCACTTATTCTATACGTTGAAAGTGACTATGCAGCTCAGTTACCAGGATAGTGAAGTTGATGAAATTTGATATTCAATGGTTTCTTACAGGCAGTTCCATACATTTGAGAGAGGTCTTCATTGACACTTTAGTGGACTAAACTTCTATATTAAGGATATGAGGATAGGAGGTAATTGTCGGAAAAGCCCAGTCTTGCGAAAACACTATTTTTTACAGCATGACTAGTAGTTCATTTTCTGCCCCCATGTGCAATATAATTCAATTCGCTGATTCGTTAACTTTTACGCTTACTATGTCAATGTCTCAATTTGAGGACAGGGTCATATCTCATGTGTACACATACTTACACGTTTTTGAGGTAATTGATTATTATATTCAGAGGAATAACTCTCCCATCCAGTTTCGGTCTTCTTCTCTATGCGTCCTGGGTTGCAGTCGGTGGCTCTTGAGTACGAAGTTAGCTGTTAGTTAAGCGTGCGTATTATACCCGTTCGGAATATATAACAGTAATTGATTTTCATTCAAATGAATACAAGTGCACAAAAATTATATTTACCACTAAATATACATAAAACATAGAAGTAATCTCCAAAGTGAGAACAAAACTTCAGGAAATTAACTACATATCTCTCTCTAACACACTATCATCCTCCTATAAGTTGTCAAGATTGACTGGATAACCTTGATATACTAACCAATTAGAAGCACTAGTATCTTACCGCTACTTCTCATCATAAATAGCTATAATATCACCTTTAATCTGTTATACAAACCATCCTACCAATGAATCATGGTGCAAAGAAATGAATGAAGTTGAACGAGAAATAAGATTACCCGTTTCAGAAGTTTCCTTGGAGCAATTGATCTAATAAAAGAACATATATAATATTTATGAAGCAAGAATAAGGAAAAAAGCCGAGAACTACCTTGACATCAATTAAATTATTACATAACTTAAAGCTTAAAAATAAGGATACCAGATATACAGCAAAAGTCCAACTTCATTGTCCACTCAAATGAGGTGGAGAAGTGAAGATCAGACTCAGGCTTTAGGGAAGACAGAAGTGTACAATTCGATGAATCTGACTTATATTCATTATTATCAGTGAACTGATCCACACTCAAATAGATTAGGGTATCAACACCGCAAGATGTATTCAACGCTGAAACATAACTACGACAAATGTAACCTAGATTCGAAGGTGCAATTTCATAGTTTACAACTGAGAATCTGATTCACATCTGAATCGGATGTCTGAATCACAACAACAGGGTTTATCCAATAAGTCAGTTGTAGGAAATTCTTTTATATATATATATATATATATATATATATATATATATATATATATATATATATATATGACCATATTGTCTGGATTAACCTATTCATTTTGTTTATGTTGCATCATTTTCGTTTGTAGGTTCTGTCCACAGATATGAGTAAACATATGTCCTTACTGGCTGATCTAAAGACCACTGTTGAAAAACAGCGAGCACTTCAAGGAAATGTGATTAGTTTGGACAGTTATTCAGCTCGCATGCAGGTAATTTGAACTTGATAAAGCGCATTAAAACACGTTCGCTTGACTCTAAAGACAACCTTAGTGACAGCTGAAGTGGCCAATCAGGTTTCTCTATCTTTGTTGGAAAGATAGACTCTCGTAAAATAACGAAATCTAATTGGCTAGTTGATTTGTTTTTAGATTGACCTTTAAGGTCACTCAGTTGAAATGTTGAATATGGAATGGTTTGAAACTCCACCCTAACGACTGCTGAGATGACCGATTATAGTTCTTTATTTTATGGAAGATTAAATTCTTAACCGAAATCTGGAAACCTGATTCATAATTTCAGAAGTTGCTAAGGTGGCTTTTCAAATCACTCCAATTGTTTCGTCCTTAAGTCGCTCTAAGAATGACCCTGAAACGCCAGCCGATAGAGAATTCGTCTCTCATATTTAGTAACATATTGTGTAAAACCACAATGTACTGAGTAAATGTCTCTGTCCCGCATAGAATATATGAGGGATTTTTAAAGATCTTTATTGTCTAAGGTAGAGGGAGAAAAAAGCCTCTAACTACTTTCACAAATTTATGGGAATCGAGAATTCAAAGAAAGCGGTTTTCTGTGAAGCAACATTCAGTGGATCTACACGGTATCAAGTCCATGAGCATATTTTCGAACAATGTTCAGTTTGGTTATCTAGAGGATAGAGCAAAAATATTAACTGTTCTTTTCTTGAACTACTTATCATCACTCAACATTTCGTCGCTCCTGAGAGTTCCTTCAAAGTAATTTACAGATATCCCTCTATAACCCGGAAAGCCTTTGACTGAGTCATCTACACACAGTTGAATCATTGACAATTCGCAACCCTAAACCTAGTCTTTGTGTTTAAAGATATTACGTTAAATAATTAGCCTTACCTTGGTCAAAGTTGTAATTTTTTTCCTACACTTGAAAATTATAGTAATTACATGGCTTTAATGAATAACACTAATCGGTTACTGGCTTCCAATAATGATAAATACGACTGTATAGCTTTAGTAAATGAAACCGTCAAAAAAAAGTTTCTTCATTGTTGTATCTTTGCTTTATGACTTAAAATAGTTTTCATTTGGGCAATAAGAAAAAAATTTTATATCTTCCCTAGGATGTTCTACTCCTCATTAAATATAGCAAAGCCCATTTGAAAAACTAAATCATCAACTTGATGTCGGTTTGTCAGACCTAACTGATTAATCTCTGTTCGTATACAGACTGCTTTTAAGGACGCCTTGAAGTTGCTGTCATTCACATCTTGATTATCTCTGAACTGTTATGAAATGATCAAATGAGGAAAGCATAACCTAGTCATTTCCTCTCCTGGATGTTTGAATAATCTGATTTGTTTTAAATATCTTTAGTAGTTTCTAGTTTTTGAGATAGTAAAGAAGATTTGTAGCTCAGGATGGAGAGGATACTTGTTTGGTGTTCTCCCAACTACTAGATATCTTAACATCTACCTAGGCAGCATCTTTTAAATTACAGGCGACGGCACAGACAAGGACGTCAAAGCCAGGATCGAAAAAGCAAGACACGCTTTCACTAATCTGAAATTAGTGTGTAGATCTACTGTACTGTACTGCATTCCGCATAAAGCGTGAGCAAGATCCGGATTTTCAATACCAATGTCAAGCCAGTGCTTCCGTATGGCTTAGAAACTTGGCGTTTCATGAAAGGGATTTCCAACAAACTACAGACATTCATCAACAGCTATACCTACGCTCACTCGATACTGAAGATCAGATCAGAGGGCCAAAAAGAATAAACAAGGAGGAACTCTGGCTGACTGGCAACGAACCAACCAATAAGCATCGCCCAACAAATAAGCAGAAGAAAGTATTGATGGATTGGGCATACACTGAGAAGGCCGACTAGGGATATTACACACCAAGCCAGGCACTCGAGTGGAATCAAAGAGGAAAGGACGAGTTGGGCATCCGAGCGCGAGGGTGACATGGAGGAGGTCATGTGAGGAAGAAATGAAAGCTTGTGGGCAGTCGTGGCGCCAGATTCAAAAGACTGCAGAGAAGAGAGTGAAATGGAGGCGGGCTACTGAAGCCCTATGTTCAACTAAGAACCCAAGGGAAAAACAACAATAACAATAATGTGTTGAACTGCAATTACATTTTAGTCCATTTATTAGAAATGTTACACAGTGAAGGAACAGTTTCATTTACTTGATAACGTTTCGGACACAATTCATTGTCCATATTCATCATATCAGGTAACTCTACAACTTTGAGATATGAGTTATATAGTCCTAATCTTCTCTCCTTCTTTGTGATGACAAGGGTAGTAGAATTTTCCATGCATCTGAGACAGGTGAAGATTCATTTCTGTTACTGTATGTATTTGGTGTATGTTGATTCGATAAACAAAGATTCGGTTATCAATCTCTCCCTCCCTCCCTCCACCCAACTAAGTTAACTTCTTATCTTATTAGGATTTAAAATTTTGTACTTTGTTATTCCAAGTGAACTTGATCGACTGCTTTGACATATGTATTTGACCTCACAATCACATGGCAAGGGATTTGGTTAACCAGATTATCTTGCTTAATTATGTCGATAGGATCTTTTAACCTATAAAGCTTGTTTCTAAGCCAGTCTGTTGGTTTGAATGCCACTCTTATCCCAGCCAACTTTATTGTCTCTGAGGTGCCTTCTTTGTATGGCAATACATTTGGGGCTTGAATGTTCTCTCCACCCTGTCACCATTATTACTTCCACTGTTACTGTTATTCTTAAAATTAGTATTAGTAACACTTGCATTACTACTACTACTACTACTCCTAGTTTTTCTTTCGTTTTCTTATGAATTTATTTTTCGCCCTATCACTTACGCATTTAACTAAGCCTACTTTAACTGAAATGGAGTGAGATGATCTGAAGTCTAAGTAGCGATTTATACTGATGGGAAGGTTTCGTATGGACATTAGTCTCTAAACTTCCGTCTTCTTTTCGTTAATTCTTACAATTCATCCTTGCTAGCTTACCTTCATCACTTTCTAAGTCAAGGGTAAATAAGATTGCATTCACTACTGAATCTGTATATGAGAAGAATCTATTGATGTGTTCCCATTTCAATACTGTAAACGTATCATCTACATATGGGAACCATTTCTTTGGAGTAGGACTAAGTGGTCGAAGGCCTATCCGTTCCCAAATATCCATGAATATGTCTGTGACGATAGGGGATATTGGTGATCCTATGGCAACTCCTACAGTTTGTTTACATATTTCATTTTGACACTTAAAAACTGTATACGTCAGGCACAAGCAGACTCCTAGCATGGTTAATTTCGACATAACTGGCCTTTACACGAATACATAAATCGATATGGCTCTGGAGGCAGTTAGAACTGGGCTTAAGGATGGCAATGAGTCTACTCATAGAACTAAGGTACCGATCGGGGAAATGATGAATCTCAGTAGTATTATTAAGTACTGTATAAAACATATCTCAAAGTTTTGACGTTACTCAACTATGGACAAAAAATTATGTCCGAAACGTTATCCAATAAATGATATCGTTTTACTGTGACTATCCTAATAAACAGATTCAAAGAAAATTTGATGTTTCCTCTTGGGCGCTTTATCAACGGGTTAGTCAACTTCATCAGCACCAACTTTACAACTTTTTTGGTGATATAAGAAGTAGGTGTTGCAAGCCCCCAACAAATGAAGTCAACAAATACACTTATATGAATGTTGTAGAATAGTTGGTTTACAAAGATATTCTGGTCAGTTGTTACTAGAGCGAAAAAGAAAAATTAAATGACGATCACTATGGAGACAAGAATCTAAACTGAAACGAAATTAGGCCTCATATAGGTATCAACAAATCGTCTATATTTGGTTCTAAAACAGCACAAAAGGAGGGGAAATCAACAGTATTGATAAACTATAAAAAACTTGAAGAAAAAATACGAAATGGTTCTAGGTAGATAAATGAAACGGGCATTGATTTAGATTTAAGTGAAGGAATAGCTCTGAAGTATACCTATAGCTTCTACTAGCTGTCATTGAGTATGATAGCGGTGGTGTTACTGAAAGCCAAGCCTACAGAACACTAGTCTTTGAGCATGAGGTAAAGTGAGTGTATTTCTGTTACCACCAATCCCATTAGCTGGAGACTATATTTCACGAAAACTTCCATCACCAACTATCATTATCTTCAACTTGTGAGGATAAAGATCATAGTTTTTCAAATAAGTTCTCACTAGAAGTCTATGACTTCATAGGCCGGTATAGTACGTCTGTTTATTCAGTCACCAATACATTTTCAACTAGGAGGTTTATAGGGATTGATGGATTTCAAGGCAGTATTCATGAAGGACTGACATAATTTGGAGAACCATTGATTTCAACCCATGATGAATACCAACCTGAAATCAATAAATAAACCTCTCACAAACCCCAAAATGGAATGGCTTTCTAGTTCTCATTAGCCACTTTTTTTTGAGACGGAATACCTGAAGCACCAATGAGAAGCCTCTGGGGTCAACCGAGCCAGGTTACACGACAAATACTTGGCGATGACACTAGATAGTGGCTGCGCTTTGTATCAAATTGATAGAAGTATAAAAATATGGTTAGGATTTCGACTCAGTGGCTGAATGGTGATGTGCTCATCGCGAAACCGGACGGTCTTGGGTCCGATCCCTGACTGTGTCGTCAGTGTGTACCACTGAGAACTAAACATTGATTTGTACACTGCTCCCAGGCCTTCAGCAGTTCTTCAACTGATGTTATTTTGTTTGTGCTTTGAAGTTTCTTTAGCGGTTAGATTTGTTTTATGGGGTAGGGTTGCTAGCCCTATGCCCAACCTTCCCTCTTTACCCGGGCTTAGGACCGGCTAGTAACTAGTAAACTAGTTAACCAGGCGAGGTTTTCAACTGATGTTAGTGCATGATAAATACTGTCTAGACAACTACAGGTCTGTTTCACACTATTTCTAATCACATTAATGCTGAGAGTTGGATCAGCTAGTGGGTATATACTGAATATCTCAGATTATTCAATGAGTGACTTTAAGGGCCACCCTAACCCCTACTGAGATAAAAAGTTAGATTTCTCTATTTCATGGAGAACTACCTTTCTGGTCGAAATACTAAGACCTGATTGGCCATCTCAGCAGTTGCTAGGGTGACCCTCAAGGTCACTCCTATTCACTACCAGTATTCGGTATCTCATTTAAATTTTATGTAGCCAGACTGACATTAGTAGTCACTATCCCGTTCAAATGGTGTGTGAAAGGAGTAATTTCGAGTGCAGTTTGAATCAATCTCTCCACCTATTGTAATATTTGTAATTTAGTGTCATATCAAGCGTACACGGCAACATGCCGTATACCAACAGCGCTCTTATTTAGTGTCGGTTGATTTTATTTCGTATGAACAATCTTTTGTGAAGATTCCCGTCATGAATGACTTTCGAATTCACAAAGGGATAGCCTTATGCATAGTATGTACCTTTTGTCATTTTTCTAACAAGTTTTCGCCTTTTTTTCTCCTACTTAACATTTTAGATATTAGAGTGTGTAATACATGCAGCTGATTTGAGTAACCCTACAAAACCTTTGGAAATATATCAAGAATGGGTTTCACGAATCATGGAAGAGATGTTTCGTCAAGGTGATCAAGAACGAGAATTCGGGATTGAAATTAGTCCAATGTGTGATAGAGAAACTGCATGCATTTACAGTACACAGGTGAGTTTTTTGTTATTCATGCACAGTTATTGGTATACAGCATGTGCACACAACAGTTAGAATAAAACTGAAGGTCAGTTTAAGGTTTGGACAGTTGTGTTTCAGATTTATTTGAAACACATCAGTGTTTAGATACTGGGTGGATGATTGACGGTGAAACTAAAGTCTGAACCGCGGCTGGATTTGAACCAATGACCACCGGGTTTCTGGCTTGGCGCTCTATCATCTGACGTACGAGACTCAACTGCTGACTAAATTTTTATTTCACTTCGATCACCAAGGACTCTGCCCGACTACCATGTGAATTTATGACACGTTACTATCGCTTGGTCGTACTCATACTGGCTGCTTAATCAGGACTTCTTATCCCAATCCCAATCTAACTGAATTAGAGAGAGTGAGCATCATATTGATCATCACTTTGACTGAAATAGCCGTGGTTTAGTAGACTAGTATTTATACTGAGTGATGATTGCAGGTGAAATAAAAATTTGGACAGTGGCGGGATTTGGCAGATAATGGTAGTAACCCATAATGAATTCAGATGGTAGTCCGGAAAAACGCTCGGTGATTGCAGTGAAGTAAAACTCTGGTCAGCAGTCAGACCTTGTAGCTCAGTTGATAAAGCATCAGGCAGGTAACCCGGTGATCGCTGGTTCGAATCCGGTCACGGTTCATGTTTTCATTTCACCTTCAATCACCACCCAGTATCAATACTAATCTGCCAATCCACGGTTATCTCAGATGCTCAAAATAATAGACATCAGTGTTTACTACTTTTATGACTAAATTATTGAAAATATCTGCATGTATACATGCACAGTTTTTATTGCCAATTTCCATTCAAGTCACACTGAATCTACTCAAGTTTTGAGTAGAGTTCAGTTCACGATATAGCGCGGCCTCCATCCAATGCCGTCAAACTAATGAAATAAACTTTCGCTTATATGTAAAATTTACAATACACAATCCTACGTGTAGGAAATTGTTATCAGATACAAATGAAGATGACTGAATAAACAATTAGTCTTCTCTTCTAGCCACTAATTCGAGTTTTTTGCCACCTGCGGAAATTATAGTACTTAAAAACAGTAGTCTCTGAATACTCATCGTATGGTTGGAATCCAACCCATTTGATTACGATGAGATGCCAAGACATCTAAAAAGCTGCATAGATTTTTTCGACAGAACACATACCACCCACAATAAGGAACACTACAGTATCACAAGACCTGACACTAAAACACTGGAGAATAATGAAAGACAGCCTGAATCGTCTTGTTTAGTCCTTAGTAGCAAACACATACCATCAACTTGCTTCATTATTGTATTAGTAATCCACTGGGAATGGAAATACACTGTATTTTATGGCAAACAGTGATAGAAGAGCTCTAACTTTTGCGTTTACTTATACCTGTAAGCCTAACTTTTAGTGGGGATCCCGTACCTGAAGCTATTTATATATATATATATATATATATATATATATATATATATATGCGCATGAACCCAAATATTTTCACCTATTCTAAGAGCTCCTAATGTTGTTGATCCACTAATATCGGACAACGTACAAACAGAAGACACGGGTGAAGATAATGCAGAATGTATTCACAACATAACCTAAGTCAAAAGTCGCAATGAGTTGAGTATCATTTAAACACATTATATACAAACATATGCTTATATTGTAAATATCAAGTAAGCAAGCGGAAAAGACACAAAATATCAGCAGATTTAACCGTCGCTTTAGAAACTCCATCCGGGCGCAAACATTTCGGTGGGGTCACCATGTACAGTTCGTCAGTCTACTCACTGATAGCATTTGTATGATGAGCAAACTATGAGAAATTTGAGTCTATCATGAAGAATATGATTCTGCAATACTTGCTTCAGTAGGATATTAGGAAACGTTCTCTGCATACTGTATATCATACATCAACTATGAGAATATATTCAACGTTAACCATTTTTCATCAATATCCACTTGTGGTTAGTATCATCTTTATTCTTGTTAACTTGAAAAAAAACTTCATAGATAGAAGTGAACATATATTTTAGACTGATCATCATCAATATCAACATAGGACCAGGGCATTACTGAGTAACGGTCCGAGTTGCCACAGCTCAGTACAGTATATCAAGTAGAAAGGTAGTGAGATGAAGGATGAAGATAATAGAATGTAGTCAAAAGAAATATAAAGTATGAGAAGAAAGACTAGATAGTGCATTATTTTTTCATTAATGACTTCTGATTTCATCTAAATCAAATCTGTCCTGTGTATGAACGTACAAATCTAAACACGAAAAACCAAACGGTTATATTTCGATGATATAGTCAGCTGAAATTCGCTAAGAAAAATATCATACATAGGCTACGTTCAATGTAGAATGATTGATGGTGTCAACTATTTATCTTTTTTAAAAATTATACTTCTGAAATCGGAAATATAGATACTTTTAATACATGCTGACAGTAACTTACTACTAAATTCGTATTCATAACAGCGTCGACCATAAAGTTCAAAAGTTTAGCAACTAAAATCTCAATGTAGTCTGAAGGATAAAAAACGAAATTGTGTTAACTTATCCCAGATTAAATGTTCATTGAGTAACCAATGAGACTAGGTCAAAAACAACCCAGCCACTTTTCTAAGAGAAACAACAGTCTCATTTGTTAATTAACTTAGATTTTCATAGCCATAACTTTAAAGGTTAATCAAACAACTTCCGAAATAACCAACTAGGTTTCATAATTTTGGTTGAAGGGATAGCTTCCATGAAATAAGGACACTTAATAGGCTATTTGAATAGCTGTTAGAATTAAACTGAGATCTGTCAGAATTTTCAAGTAACAGATGTCAGAACGATCCATCGTTTATTAAACAGATGACTATTTCAATTGTGTGGGAAAAGAAACTTGATTTATTCCAAGCTTATGGTATGGATCAAGTTAAGCAGAACAAATTATCGATGTAGAAGCTAAAACATTGAAACTAAATCCATCGTACAAAGAGCGGATATTGCGACTCAGCTGCCTGGTGGATAACACTCTGTCATTTGAAGCGATATGTTCTTGGTTTCAGTCTCAGGGGGGACAATATTACTCACTGGTGGATTCTCAGTCACTTTGTGCATATCCATGCCGTAAGCAACGAGCCATATCCAATGATACTAAATGGCTGCCATAACTTCGGTAGGTGGAGCGGGGTCCGAACCCGTGACCTACAGGATGATAGTCATTTCCCTAAGCCACAGCTCCACACTCACTGGCAGACGGATACAGCCAGCTGATGATCACCAAACAGTGAAACGCGTGCTCTTGACTTCACTGCGAGCCACAATACATCATCGCTTGTCGAAATACAGTTAAACTATCCCCATGTAAGGACACGAAACAACCATCAAAATATTTTCATCTATTTGATCTTTTATAATCTATACATAAGATAATTTTCCCCTAGCCACTATATTCATCCAGATAATTATTATTTTCTAGATCGGTTTCATCGATTTTATAGTTTACCCATTATGGGAAACAATGGCTGAACTCTTGTATCCAGGTGCACAAGTTCTAATGGAGAATATAACAAGAAATCGAGATTGGTATGCTAATGCTAAAGAGATGCAACATGAACAAGAACACCAACAATTTGAGAAGAAGTGATCAGAGATGAAGACGAAGTTAATACTTTGCTCTTTCCCACTATCAAATTTCATCTGTGCATCTCTTCCCGTTGCTCAATCCACCCAATTATTACATTTCACCTTTCCCACCTAATACTCGCGTATTTAACCAACCTATCACTCAAAATTGACAACTGTTGACTCCTATCTCCATACACAAAGATACATCTTATCTCTTCCACAATTTTATGCTTCCCCCCCCCCCCTCCGAATTCAGAGAAAAGACATTTGTGCCAAATGAACACCCCTCATCGCAATTTATATAAATCTTGAAAATACAATAATGTAGCATTATAATTATGTACATAATTGTGTATGCATAAGTACTGTATTGTGTTCTCTGAGCTGGGTTGTTTGATCGCGAAGCTTTCATCGTCTTGCTAGACGACATTATCAGCACTAACTTCAATATGAAGTGAGCTGTCAGTATCTCTCCGTGAGTGTTTTAGTAGCTCGCCTTGATGAAGTGGTCTGTGATTGATTGTTTCCTTTGATTGATGTGTCATTGACTGTACAGACCTTACTGTTGGCTTTCCCTCTGCAGAAGATTGATTTTTCAATTGCAGTTATCATGTGTTGCGTTGTGAGCATGCTTTCCAGTTTTGCCTTTTGATTGTTAATCGCTGATTGGTATTTCCGAATCCGATGACGTGTATTTGTGATCACCAATTGTACCATTTGTCTTCTACTTCGTTCAGCTACTTTCCATCCCACTGGACAGTTAATAGATGGTCTATATCTGACACTCTCCGGCAGAACGTGCTGACGTAGGCACTCATGGAGAAAGAATAATTGTTCTTTTGTAGAAGCTCGCTTTTTAGAGAAGTCCTCCCATCTTCGAACAACGTGAAGCGTGTTACGCTCGTATAATTTCAAAATAGTGGAGAATATATTTTGCTTAAGTGGATGGTCTTGGTTGTATTGTGTTCTCTCTCATTCAAAACATCAGGATTAAATGAGACTACTCAACAAGAAATACGGCAAACAATTGTACCACTGACCACGCAAATGAAACATCACGCTCAAATGAACACTCAAGAACAGAAAACATAAAAAAGGCCGGAGAATAGGAAAGAAATCGTTATACTTCCAGCAGACAAAGGACGCACTACAGTAGCTATGAACAAAAAAACACTACGTCAGGAAAGCAGAGGAATTACTCGAAGAAAATTATATATTAACTACTTGAAACCAACCCTATTCAGAAGTTCGACAACCAGATCAATAAGACCTTAAACAAACTCTTCAAAGCAGAAGAAATAAAAAAGCAAGACAAATAAAGAATGAAATCGAATGACCTGTCCTTCCTCGGTTCCACGGCAGACCAAAACTACACAAACCAGACATCCCTCTACGACCAATAGTCTCACCTCTGGGAACTCCAACATACAACATATCAAGATAACTTTCGAGGAAAATTGAAACACCTCGTCCAATCGTGCGGACATTCCATCAAGCCACCAATGAAATTCTTCGAAAAGATCAAAAACATTAATATAGAGAACGACGAAATAATGGCATCCTTCGATATCACAGCACTACACGATTCCATCGAACCGCAATTGGCCAAAAAAACTACCTCTCTCCTGCTCACTGAAGACACAAGCCTTACAAAACGCACAAAACTTAAATGTTCAAGTCTGATTGAACTCATCGACCTTTGCCTCACAACATACTTCCAACTCATGCCAAGATATACAAACGGATGAAAAGAACTCCAATGGGATCACCGATATCCGGACTAATTGCAGAATATGCAGACACTGCAAGCCATCATCCTACCTGTGATCAAACCAAAATTCTGGGTTCGCTATGTGGACGACACTTTTGTCATCACTAAATAAGATGATATACAAAACACCCACAGTTTGATCAACAACGTTTTCAGTGACATTAAATTCACAATGAAGAACGAATCAAACAACCAACTACCATTCCTGGATGTTCTGGTCAATAGAACAAATACGAGGAAGCTGGAAACACAAGTATACAGAAGGCCAACACATACTGACCAAATCCTCAACAACAGTAACAACAACCCACAAGATCAGTTGCGTGCAGACTCTATTCAGACGAGCGAAAACACACTGCAGTACAACAACTTCAAGGAGAAATAAAGAAAATCACTTGATATCCACCCTAAAAAAGAACGGCTACCCACAAAACTTTATCAGAAGATGTCTATCCTGTACATCATCAACTACAAAGTCATCGACACAAATCAATAAACGCATCATTCTACCATACATAAAGGACACATCAGAAATCACAACAAGATTACTGAGACCACTTTTTGGAATCGGTGTGGCTCATAAACCAACAAATCCCCTCCAAACACTATTATGCAGACCAAAGGATGCAACAATCAAAGAAGACAAACCGAACAGCATTTACAAAATCAACTGCAATAACTGTAGTCAACAACACTACATTGGACAAAGTGGTCGCCCTCGTCTACATGAACACCAATCGGCTTATTAAACGTCATGACATTTCACCACTCATTTCAATGCATGTGGATAACAACTATGGACATGAATTGAATTTCGACAATGTAGAGATTTTGGACGGAGAGAGGAAACACGAAGAATATGATCAGAGAATTCCTAGAAGCTTGGCATTCAGATCAGTCAGTCAGCAATCAACAGATGTATAGACATAGACCTAATCCATCAACCAATAAGAAGAATGATAAACGACAGGAAGGTCAAAGGTCAAGCAGAGGGACAGCCAACAGTAAGGTCTGTACAGTCAATGACACATCAATCAAAGGAAACAATCAATCACAGACCACTTCGTCAAGGCAAGCTACTAAAACACTCACGGAGAGATACTGACAGCTCACTTCATATTGAAGTTAGTGCTGATAATGTCGTCTAGCAAGACGATGAAAGCTTCACGATCAAACAACCCAGCTCAGAGAACACAATACAACGACGACCATCCACCTGAACTACAAATATTCTCCACTACTGTATTGTGTTCATTTCAAAGAATCATCACCTCGTATTTCGTTCAAAGTATGTCAATGATGACTCTTCATATAGGCAACATCAAAATATATGCTATCAAACTGAACATGTATGTGTATGTACGCGTTCATAAAATCTATACGCAGACATACACATACTCACTTTTATTGTTGAGTTTTGTTTTTGATGATAAATGACAGACAGCCTGAATTTACGGTGACCAATTAGAAACAATCAGTCTGAACAACAAAACAACTAACCAATGACATAAAGACAGAAATTCCTACATGCACCACCATTTGAGAGTACATGTTTTAGTATCGAATAAAAACTCGGATATTCTCCTGAAGGTGTGGCCTTACATAGCGAAACGTTTGCAAGTTTTGTTGTCAATTTGTGAAACACTCTGGGATTATATTAAAACTTACCCATATAATGAATCAACCTGACTCGGTGCTCAACTTCTTTCTGGACATTCGTAAGAACTATGGCCTGGATGTTTATAATATATCAATGACGACACGAAAAGACAAGATGTGGTTGCAGCAAAGAAAAACTTCTTTCGACGAGGTCATTTACTAGGCTGTACATTCGTGGATACATGTTACAGTGGAGCAGAACGTTCCAGAATTATTTCGGGTTAAGGGGCAAAATATATTGAGTAACTAAAGGAAGTTAATTAATACACATTTGCGTTTAGCGTGGGAAAATAGATGAGGGATTGTGAAATTAAGCGTAATTACGCAACACAGGATGGATGTATGGCAAAGTAGGGGAATGAGCGAAGGGTTATGAAAATAAGACCATAATTACGTAATGTCGGTTAAATTCATGACAGAGTAGGAAAATGAAAGTATGAAGGAAATGCATGTGAGATTATCTGATACAAGATGAATCTATGACAGTCAAGGCTTTATGGTGGCCATGGCAAAGATAAAGGTTGGGTGTACCTTCTTTGGACGCATAACGCTGATTTGAACTTCTGGTGCTTTAGCTATAGACAGATGTCGTGATCTTACCTCCTTCGAGTGGTTTGATCGAACCCTGTAGAGAAGTTTGAATGAGCTCTCGAAAGAACCTAAGAGGCCTGAGTTCACAAGTGTTCTGTTATTGAACTGAAGATACACTCCCGTTCTCCCTTTGCCAGCCAGGCTGGGCAATGTTCATGGACATAGGTTAGTAAATTTTTCCTTCGCTGCAACCACGCCTTGTCTTTTCCTATATCGATGATCGTTGGGTCCTTCCTTATATTCATCTTGATGGCTAGCAGAGGAATCCAGAATGTGCGCTTCGTCTTATTTGGGACTCGTCAGTTGGATGTGCCTGCTCCTCAGGGAGTGATTTCGATCCCACAGTACCCATCACCTCGAACGTCAAACACTAGGCCACTGGGGCACAATACCCACCTCTTGTGGAACGGATGTCAGTCATCCAAAAAGGACGAAACGAACATCCTAGTTCAAAAACTGATGTGCACAATTCACCAAAGTTGACTCCAAATAATTTCAATCCTCAAATAAGGATGGTTGAAAGTTGCTCCTCTAGTTGGTCAAATTTCCAAACTGAATTCTGTAGTGAAGTATATCGGCATTTGAATGAAAAAGACAGAACTTAGAACCAAAAGATTGCACCTTAGTTAGGATAAGAGTGAGGTCCTTTGAAGAGTGTTTAGTTAAATATCTGGTTGTAATGAAACGTATTGGCTAGCATGGGGAACCAGGACGCCAATTTTCTCTTACATAGGGCTCACCAGCTGAATGTACCTGCCTCTTAGTGAGTGATACTGTCTTCACCGGGGCTTGAACTCAGCACCCACGGCCTCAAACATCAAAGCGTTATCCACTAGATTGGTGAGTACCGATAGCCACTCCTTAGATGGCGGGAAATCATAATCTACAACACTAAAACTATAGTCGTCGTCTATACAGTGATGATCGTGACTTATTAGTCTAGTGCTCAAATGCTTGAAGAGACGGGTGCGTGTTCGAGTCCTAGTGGAGAAAACATCACTCACTGGGAGGCAGGCACAATCAGTTAACGAGTCCCACATACAACGAAACTGGAGTTCTAGATTCCACTGCTACCTAATACCCGTCATTACAAACAAACTGAAATCACCGGCAATGTCGAAGCATGAGAGCAAGAGTCATGTGCAAATGCCAATAATGGTCGAACAGTTTGGTTCAATCAATGACAAGAAATTACAAGGTATAAAAAGTTAAATATATCTATTCAATTCACCATAGAAGAAATACATTCCTAAAATATGATTGATGGGTATCTGAAGAAAATCTACATGGAGTGGGCAGTTAACAATCTTCCTATAGACAGAAAAAAAGGAATCTAATTCGTTCTGTCATCACATATGCAAAGCGTAACAGTAGGCAGATTATTGGAAAAAAGAAATGACCACCGTACTAATAAAGTTTAGTATTACTTTAGAATTCATAGGTGACATTGCAGACATGACTCTTAAGAACCGTCTGACAAGAAAACATTATATACCACTTCTTTAGGAATAGCCTATTCCAGCTACGTTTTGATCCATCTTAATGTTAAGGAAATGTTGCCTCGATTGTCCGATTCAATGTGCATCTGCTTTTGTCGAACTAGACGCATAGGACGTTGTCAGTTGAGAAACACTTCCTGTTGCACACAACATCCTCCAGTACGGCTCAGGGAAGTGCAGAGTGGAAACAAATTCATCAATCCAACAACATGTAGAGCCTGTAAATCATCATTTAGCACTATTTACAAGGTAAAATCAAATCTAAGAACAAGTGAAGGTATATACCCACTAGGAATATATTTCCTCAAATAAAAAACGATGCAAGCAAAATCACTTCATACAGTTGTATTTACTACTTTCGGTCTAGATTTTATATTGACCACATATTTCTTCTTTATTTAGTTCTAAGTTATTTTTTCACATTTTAACACTGACCACTTCACTTACTTGAGAAGTCCAATCAGCCTTGCTGTATCGATAACCGACGAAATCTCTGCATTAATACAAAAAGCTATTTGATTCTCGCCAACTTACACCACCAATAAGGCCTATTAAGAAGAGAGTGTACTGCGCTACAGTTGAAAAAATTCATCTTCCTTGTTCCCTGTCTTATTCCATTTCCCATCTCCCATAATCTACACAGAACTGATGTTAAATTAAATCCCACCGTATTCATTCGCTTATCTACTGTCTTTAACCTTCATTCGCATTTATGTTCTTTTCAACTGATTTGATGATTCATGAAACATAATCTGTAATTATAAAGATGCACTACACAACTCCACTTAGTGTAAAAGTGAAACATACATCCCGCAGTTCACTGTTTTACACAAAAGATAAGTGTAAGGCCTTGAAAAACTGTACAGGAAAGTACATTTGCTATATTGTTGTGCGTTGTTCAGTAGGAAATTCTTATTGACACCAACTGCATGTTTTACATCCACCAGATGTCTGAAAATGACGCTTATGAATGCCTAATTTCCTTTCGGGCGTAAATTGCTGGGAGTGAGCCACAGAAAGTATCAGGAGTGGATGAAAAGTAAACACTATTCATGATGGTTAGTTCCTAGCAATGTAACATAGGATATGCGTTTCGTCCTATTTGAGGCTTGTCAGCTGGAAGCACCTCTCCCAGTGGTGTTGTTCCCACCAGGACTCGAACTCGGGACGGACGGCTTAAAACGCCAGAGCGTCACCCACTAGATCATCGAGCCACGATAGCCCCTCCTTGTGCGACAGGTATAGTTTTAGTGTTATTGTTTGCATATATAATTAAAGCACGTGCTATATCGAGACCCGCTCAGGAGTCTATATGCCAACAGAGACCGATCAATCCAATCAACAACAGCAACGAGATATACACAAAGTGTGCGGGTTAATGATACTGGCCTAGTTGTCCAGACCTCGGTAGGTGGGATCAGGGTTTGGACCGGTAACTCATTGATTGGAGGTTGAGAGTCTAGACTGGTGGATCATGGTTTAGAAAATGGCAGAACTATTCGTGCAATGAGGAAAAACGATATACGCTTAGCGATTTTGAAAAAAAGAGGACAGAAACCAGAATTTCAAGTAGTTATCACACAGTATACCAATAAGAAGACAAGGACAATGACAAGTAATTCATCTTCAAACCAAGTTTGTCAGTGGTAAGTAGCATTTGCCTACTAACAACAGAAAATTCATGAGTTTTACGTCTTTTGTAAGTATGTCAAATTCTTCGTATTACCTGAGATAGTATCTACGACGTATTATATGAACTGTTTAGTTATGTTGGGTAAATAACTACTGATTGCTTCAAACGCCAAAGTGTTATCCATTGGGTAATCTCAGCCACAATGACAACGACATCAATTAGTGGAATGCAGGGAAATTCGGTTGACGAGTGAGTCTCAAATAGGACGAAAGCATTCTAGTCTGTTTATTAAGGATATCACAGTGAAATAGTATCATTTACTGGATAAATTCATAAGAAATCGGAATAAAAATATTAGCAGTGATAGTAGTGGTAATACAGGTGTTATTAACAATAATTCTACTATTAATGGTAATAATTGTGACAGAGTTGAGAGAGAATTCAAAGCCTCTGCTGCGTTACCAGACAAGGAAGGTACCTCGGAAGCATTATGAAGCTGAGATTAAATTGGCATTTAAACCAACAACCACGCTCAGAAACAAGCTTTGTAGGTTAAAAGATCCTATTGACATAATTAAGCAAGATACTCTGGTTTACTAAATCCCTTGCAATGATTGAGAGGTCAAATACATAGGTCAAAGTAGTCAGCCAAGGTCTGTTAGAATAATAGGACACAAAAACTTACCTAAATCAAACTTAGTAGATCCTAATAAGATAAGAAATTTCGAGAATAGCTCGCTTATAGCTCAGTAAGCAATTACACATGATCACATATTAGGGTGGGATAAAGCGACAGCGTTAAAAACTTAGTTGGGTGGAGGGAGGGAGAGATTGATAACCGAATCTTTGTTTATCGAATCAACACACACCAAATACATACAGTAACAGAAATAAATCTTCACCTGTCTCAGATGTATAGAAAATTCTACTACCCTTGTCATCACAAAGAAGGAGAGAAGATTAGGACTATATAACTCATATCTCAAAGTTGTAGAGTTACCTGATATGATGAATATGGACAATGAATTGTGTCCGAAACGTTATCAAGTAAATGATACTGTTCCTTCACTGTGTAACATTTCTAATAAACAGACTAAAATGGAATTACGATCGACCACAGTGTCTAAATTTTACTCCTATATTAAGGATGAAACGCATATTTTGCATCCCACTGTTAGGCGTTATCTACTAGCCATCAACAAACTGAAATTACTAGTAATACCAAAATATTCGTATAGGTGATCACACGCCAACAGTCAGCGATTCATTCTGTTTTATTCAAAACTATAGTACCCTGGAGGCAAGTTTTATCTCTCAGTGGGTGATAATGTACGCTTGGGTGCTACTCTAATTCCAGCTTTGTTATGAATTCTACAAACGGTTTTTGATGTTCCTTCTCTAGACGGTAACACACAGTGAAACAGTATTATTTAACGAATGAATAATACTGTCTCATAGTGTAGTACATCTGATTAAAAATTTAATGTACAAATCTAATGATATCACAGAAAATCGTCCACTACTTAGTGGGTCAGGTTCCACAGAACTACTCTACCACGATAACCACCTGATTCTTTTTGTGCATCTGGACAGTAACTTTAGTAATCACGCAACCTATCTTGATGTTAGATAGTTCAAGGCAATTGACAGAAAACCTTGAACCGCTGAGTTTTGTATTCACTAGTCCTCAACAGTAGTGATTACAACAATACGACACCACGATTATGGCAAACTCACTAACATCGTGGTAATTTTTTGAACTGTAGTACTAAAAGACTCAGTTTTACATCTCTCTCAGTAGAACCAATTTTTGTGATAAATACCAAATAGGCACGAAACTTATAAGATTGGGAGATCGCTAAAAATTATTATCACTAGTAATGGCAGCGGCATGTCAGTCTCAAGCTTACAGTTTTGAGTGTACACCTAAACCCCTTTACCATATTCCCCCCCCCCTATGATGTAACAACGATGACCAAGAGAGACATTATCTATCAAATGTATGAATATGATCTATATTTTGTCAATTTTGGAAAGTGATCTGAGATGAAAGTGAAGCCTATAACAAATGAATAAACCAAAAATCTTAATTTCTCGATATGGAAATGAGCGAATATAAATGCAATAAAAAAAAAGGAGCAAGACTCTAACTTCTCAAAATGGTAAAGGTTACAAAATATAAAGAATAACTGACACCGAGATAAGCGACAAACAAACACCGAAGGAATTGACATGTGTGTATGTGTAAAAATGGCAGCTTTAAGAACTTCATGTAGGTGAATACAATTACAAACAATCACCTATTATATGAAAGTTTCAATAGGTTTTGTTTTTATTTTGCCTTATTTGTATAGAAATTTAACTCGAACAAGATACTTTTGTTTCACTTGAGACGCATTATACACTATATATTCATTATAGCATAAAGTTGTGTTGGGAACTTTTGAGTCGACAGGCTTACCGATAGGATAGACAACACCTTCTTCATTAGTGTAATGTGTAGATGGATCAGGTGTAACAGAGCCAACGCCTGGATATGAAGAGAGGGGAAAATGAACAAGTGTACAAAAAAAATGAAATATGAACAATTAATTTAGTACTTTTCAAAATAATCTGCTTGGTCCGACTGACTGACCTGCAAAATCAACTTGGAACCTCACACACACATGCATTGACTCAAGTTGCTACTCTTCACAGTCGTATATAAAAAACAGACTGACATCAAAGTAGACGTAGTTGTGTGAGGGAATAAACAGTTTGGAGATAATACTTGGTGCGAATGTTCATGCTTTAAAAGACGTCAAGTAGTGAATACATCTGCACCGTTGTGACCAATTTTCAGCCATGTGACCTAGAGTCCTCAAACACTGATTCCTGTCGTCTCAAAGAACCCATCTAAGCAGTCTACATCTCCCCATATGACAAACCAACAGTCAGAGACTACATGGACTGGTGCTATGTCTTGGTCTGGCCTCACTGGACCCACTTCCAACCTAATCCAAATTCCTCTGGCATTGCACATCATCGTAGTCAGTGGCTCATTATGCGTAGTAGATGTCCAAGCTGTGTCAGTCGACTGTGGTTCACAACCTCACCAATCGACTTTCCCTTTCTTGCCTATTACCCTTCTTCTGACCTTAGGATTGCTCACACGGTGATTCCAACTTACACCTGAGCAATGCTACAAAGACGTCTCGGATCAAAACCCAGTATTCGCTTCATGTCTTTTATTTTTAACGGTCATGTCTCACAGCCGTACAACAAGATAGGACGGACTGCAGAACAATGCACCCATCTTTTGATAGATAGTCGGATATCTTGCTGGCGCCATAAATGACGCAAGTTAGCAAACGCGAAACCAGCCTTCTGTATCCAAGCTAAGATTTTGTCGGCAACCAGCCCGTTCGGGCTGATGCAACCCACGATGTAGGTGAAGTGGTCGACGCACTCAACCAACCCACTGCCTATCATTAAGCTAGGAGTGCTTGTAGGTCACTCCTGGAACATCTTACATTTGACAGGTGTTAGATTTCCACTCCACTCATAGAGGAGATCCTGCATTTTGCCAGTATCTCCGCTTAGCAGGATAATATCATCTACATACTCCAAGTCAACCACATAACCTCCAGGTCAATCCCCATGAAGTCAGACATACCTGACGCTATGCCCATCGGTTCTTCTACGACTAAGTTAACTAGGAACGGTGACACTGGGCATCCTTGCCGAACACCACTAGTTGTCATCAATTCAGATGAAAACTTTCCATAAGCTCTGACACAGTTGCGTGAGGTCGAGTAGTGGTGGTTAGCAGTGGAATCCAGGATGGACGTTTCGTCATATTTAGGACTCGTCAGCTGGGTGCTAGCCAACACCCAATGAGCAACATCAAAATGAATGCGTTCAATGGGGCTGAACGATTGGGCTCAGTGTAATAACCAACAAGAAACTAAAGGTATTGATATATAATATTTTAGACTTCTGTTCAAAAGGTTTAATTATAGTCTATTTATTCAACAATGAGACGTGACCATCTCTGCAACTTCAATGACATCACCATTGAGGCATGATTCAAATGAACTCTCATAATTGAGAATACAATAACACAGTATATCGTTGACCAATCATGTAAATAGTAAGTGCTAGCAGTTTAAGTTGGCTAGTAAGGTCGGTTCTGTAAGTGCTCGCTTATTCACAGCAACCTCCGTTCAATGTCTATCGGATGGCAAATATTTCAGTATTTCTCTAATCTATACTGACAGGCTACAATATTGTTCATGGAAATATCACCTTGAAGCGATCTATACAAAAATCTGTATTACAATAGCAACAAGTCTTGTAAATTTTTCATTGTGTCGTAAGGATAAAACATTTTCTCACCTTTCGAAATTAATTGAAGAACAAATGACAATCTATGACTTCAATGACTTGATGATTAGTTACAATAAGTAGGAAGAATAAGTATAGTGTTCCTGACTAACTGGCTCTAAATGTACAATTCATCAATCGTGTACAGGTTTGTGTAGTAGGTGACGAATCAGAAGTCCCTATCTACCACTACTACCAATATATATATATATATATATATATATATATATATATATATATATATATATATAATATATATATATATATAGGTAGTATTCATCACGAACTGACATCCGCATTAACACAAAACTACGTCACACCATATTGCTCATTAGTGTGACACGCTTCCAGATGGATATTCCGAAATTCTAATGGAAAGTTGTAAAGTGGGGTCAACCAGTCAGAAGTGAGGCGGATGCCAAGTGAAGATCTTAGACAATAGTCAGGTCCCACACTACGTTTTCAAAAGTTCTGCAAATGATTTCAGTCCATGATGAATACTACCTTAAAATTAAAATCTTTATTATGGTATATTGATAATTTACAACAGACTTCCATCAATCCATGGATGTTGTGTTTAAGCTGTGCCTTATTGGTTTAGATATTCATAGGTTTAAACCGTGTTTCACCACTCAAAGTCTTCGTTGCCATGTGAGTATTACTAGCCCTTAGATAAACTTGTATGCAGTTGCTGAATGAATTATAGCAAAGTAAAATATAATATGTCGTTATATGCAACGGATAACGACAATGTGAAATGTCATTTGTGAAAGTCCAAGAGACTGTTCCTATTTAACAGATTAATATTCACCTAAGTAGCATTTCATATTTATCTTTAGACAATAGTAGTAAAAAGTTCTAATTACTCACCTTTACGACTGTGATACTTCGGTGGTAAATCGGTTGCATCAGCTTGTAAGCATTCATTCACATCGCCTAGAATAACTTCACACAATAATAAGACACCTTCTGGTTGTGACTGTGTAGCGAAACAATAATTAGCTGATTTACTGACGATGTCTGCAAAATAAATACCCTTGCCAAACATATAACCAGTGACTGGAGCTTCAGGCGGTGCAATTCTTAAGCCTTGAGATCTAACAAATATAGAAAAGTAATCGTAATGAGTAACAGCAAACAATCGAATTACTTGGAAGGGTTCAGAGTACATTAAAAGCAAAGAAAGAGATACACAATTCAGCATTTCGTGCAGTACAGAAATGAACTATCAATCCATGAAAAGTCATGTACATCAGTTTTGATGTTAAAAGGGATTTTAGTAATATGAAAATAACTACACTTATCTATCAGGCGATTAACAGCATACTCTCCCGCCTCCTGTTAGTGTGACTTTCGGTTAACAAATATGTAGGCATAAAAATTAAAACTACCAGCCAGTAATGTATCGATGATGGATAGTGGCTAGTAGTGGAATCCACGACACGCATCTCGTCCTATTTAGGACTCCTCAGTTGGATGTACTAGCCTCCTAGTGAACGATGTTCTTCCCACTAGGTCTCGAACCCGGAAGCGAACGCTTCAAATGCCTTAGCGTTACCCACTAGATCACGAGTCACGATAGCCATTTCTTGTGCAACGGGTATAGTTCTAGTGTTTTTGCTAGCCGCCATCTACCAATAATATATGATTGAAACACAGGTAATATCGAGGCATCCTCACAACAGCCCATATGCCAATACTGATCAATTCAGTACACTCATTGACGGAATAATACAAGAAACAACATCATCAACCAGTAAGACGAGTTGCATAAGTTTTTTTTAAAAAACTAGGTTGGTTTCAAAATATGGGACAATATAGCTTGTGTACCAACACACAGTTAAGAATATGCCAGTCAGTTTTTAGCAAAAAAATCCCCTAGACTTGAAATTCACAACCAGGAAAACAATCACCTGATCAAAACATGTGTTTGAAACATACAAAATTAGGGATGAAAAATTCCATGGTAGTTTCATACGGAAACAAAAATATTCAGATCATATAACGATATGATCTGTTCATAACACAACAATTGATGTCAAGATTACAAGCATAAAAGCTGTACAAAATATCCCAGTTAATCGGTAAGAACTACAGAATCTCGACATAAAGAAGCATAAATAAAAACCAACACGTTAGTTGGTTAAATGCAATCGACAGGAAACCCTACTTGAGATGAGTTTCATGCTTGTTGAAACACGTTAGAAAAGTGTGTCTGCAACCTCAAGAGAACTGATGTTTCCTAGTGACGTTCAAACCCAAGCCATACAGTGACGCAATCAAAAACGTTACTAGTGAGCTGTTCAAACCGTCGCTGAACACATGTAGAACTAAATTAGATACATTGATTTGTCACTAGAACCAAACAAATTTTATTGAGTCGAGTCGTGAGCGCTGATTTATCCATTGTGATGAGAACTTGTTGACGGTATAATCATATTGTGTCCACAAATAGTAGTCATGTGTGGTGAGAACGAGAAATACAGGCAGCCAGTTTTTCAACTAATCATTCCTGTTCACTGTAATCCAAGTAGACTGTCTACTGTCGTTTATGTTGTAACTTTTCCATCCACTTTAGTAAATGTACAAGTGTGATCATACGTATGGTGTGTGGGTGTTTTCTCTGAGTTACATGATGTGAAAGACAACAGTACTAAGATATTATTTGCATAGAGTAAGAAACCCACGACCAGAGTAACAGAACATAACAAACTAGGACGAGTAGACCAGCAATGAAGGTCAAGAAGATAAAACTGTTAGGGATGGCAATATTTTTCATCTTTTGTTCGAGCCTTCTCTCCCCATATGAATTATATTTCGCACAATCCGTATATAGTATGGTTAGCTCCTGCCTATTTTAATATATTAATCAATCCTTGTTTTTCAAAGTTGCTGCGATTCTCTATATATACTGTCAGTTCTTCAATTCGATATGCTGTAAGTAACTTAGTCGAATACCGATATCCTGATTTCACTTTATGAATCATTCAGCTTGGAATTGTCTCAATCATCGAACTTTCAATCGTTAAATACTCTTGTTTGCTCTAACAAATTCGGAGCCACACAACTGTCCAACTTATGCGATTTCCTAAGATATTAGCTAAACCCTCAGTTGAATTAATGACAGTCGGTTGGTGTGATTATCCGTAGTTTTCTATACACAACAGAAGCGAGCAAACTATGATAGTCCGCGGGATTCATTGGCTTTAGTGATAAAAAAAAGATAGCCTTGGCTTTTATATGCCTTATACTTAATGAAACAATAAGATAATGGGTAAAGAACGCGCATGTATGATCTTTCACTACAGTGTAGTAAGACTTCGTATTCAAACTACCAGGTAGGCTAATATCAGGGTGCAGAGTTACCCTTGCACAAATAACTTCTAGTCTTAATATCGCTTTAAAAGTAGGAAAAATTCACAACTTACAATATTCCTATCCAATTGGTTTGACGAGATCCATGCCATAGTAGTTGTTTATTGTGTTGAGCAATTTTACACTTGGCATAACGTTCCTCTTCTCCATCTCGATGAACTTCAAAGATATCCAACACTTCCAGTGTGTATTGAGTATGCGTAGCTCCATGTGTTTCACGAACATAATCCAAAATACGCTTGTAGTTTTCACAATTACTATCTAATGGCTTAAGAGAAATAAGATAAATAGGATAGTTTGTTTTAAGAAAAAATATACCATAAAAGAAGCAAATACATTGGTTGTGCGACAAGGCGTCTGTCTATCCGAATAGTTAAGCGCACCTACCCAAATGGTTGAAACATGCCGAGAAGAAGACCCCGAAGAGCTCGATAACGAAACATCAAATGGATTATGGGCACGATATTGATAACTGTAGGTCCTTTACGACTATCAGTAGATAACAAAATAAGAAATTGAAGCCTGTGAGATTTAGGTTGTCAGACCAAACCTCTGTATTCAGAAGGAAATGGTAATCAGTTTAAATCTACCATAGTGGAAATTACAACGTCGCCTAGTCATATTCAATCTTTCTTACTTGCTCTTAGCTCTAAATCATCCACCTATCTCATATTTCTGTTAACCTCGCCTAGTTAACTAGTTCGCTAGTTACTAGCCGGTCCTAAGCCCGGATAAAGAGGGAGGGTTGGGCATAGGGCTAGCAACCCTACCCCGGGAAAACCAATCCAATCGTTAAAGAATCTATCACCCAACAAATATGCAGTGGAAGAAAGTGGAGATGGATTGGATTGGACACAAACTGGGAAGGCTGATTGAGGACATGACACACCATGCCAGGCACTCGACTTGAACCCAGATGGGAAACGAGTTGGGCGTCCCAGGTGAGGGTGATATGGAGGAGATCGTGTGAGGAACAAGTGAGAGCTTGTGGGCAGTGGTGGAGCCAGGTTCAAAAGATTGCAGAGAACAGAGTGCACCGGAGACGTGCTACTGAAGCTCTATGTTCCATTAGGAACCCAAGGGAAAAATAATACAATGATACATTTTTATTCTTTTTCCTGCATTTTTTTCGCCTAATTAACCTGGTTTTCTTATTGTCTGCACAAGAACTATTAAGTATTTCGTTTTGAATGACGTGATCTACGCTCACTCGGTTCAGTTCTCACCCCTGTGTCAACATTATTATTGTTATTATCATTATTTTCCTACCTGAAATCCACTATTATCCAAACTCATCGTTAATCATGTAATCTATCCTCAACCCACTCAATTTCGAACATCCATTTCTACTCTTTAAATTAACATTTGACCTGTAAAAACTGTTTATTTCTATGTTGTCACACCTAAATCGATCTCTGAGTCTACGTGATATATGTATGTATGCATGTTCTTTTGAATTGTCTAACCAAGTAAGTAGAGTATCCAGTTGGCGAGTACAACTGAAATTTATGAATTCATTAAATCCTGCCTTTACCACATTCGTTGCTTGTTTTAAATTTGTATAAATCAAATAATAAAATGTCCCGAACTTAAAATGAGACAAAATATGAGGGTAACTATGCCACCGCTGTTCTTCAGATACAAGGATCTCGCATGTTGCTCAAGTCAACAGTTTTCAGTGTCGTTAACTGAAGTTATGTTATAGGAATATCATCTTCAATCCATCTAAATCCTTTCGGTCCCTTCCAAGGAACGATGAACCAGGGTGAAGAATATTCTTACTTTCTTTTCTTTTTCTAATATCTGTACAAAATGGATTCGATACACCGTTCTCGGTAAGGCGCAAGTTTGTTCAATGATTCATAATTTCAAAGTCTTACTGTTTAGATGGTAGTTGGAAGGTTATTATTACGGTCTTCTCTAACTATATGTAGCAATGACCAACCAGGATGTTAAACCACTAAAAAATTGCATTACGAATCCTTCTTTTCAGCCTTTTTCGAATTAATAATATATCTTTGTGGGTTCAAAAAGTCTGTCTGGCTATTTTTCGGTGTTTATAAAATAGAGTTGAGTGTATTAGCTCATAGTGGTAATGTTGCATTGTGTTTAGTAGACAGTTTATTCGCATCCCGTGATTAAGAACTCTTGTGAGTATCAAATACCTATCACATTTAATAATCAGTCAGCCCATCAATACTCATTCAACGATGGAAGGTTCATTCATCGCATGAAACCTATACACCTTATTACTTGCATCAGTCATCACTGTGCAAGCTGATGACTATGATACTTTATATTACAGGCTGTGGTAAACTTTCTATATGAAGTAAGCGATGATATTAACTTCACTAATAATTGTTTACATTTCCGGTACTCCAGATATCTCAGTTTTATCACTTTTCATACAGTAAAAATGAAATTGACTATCAATCAATACTGGTAGAAATAAGTTTTGATTTTCACTGAGATTTCTGTACTGTAATAGGTAGTGATAACTGGAGTTGATCCGCTTTTGAGCGAGTTACCGTTGTTGTATATTGCATAGATCTGCCCTTCGCCTACTCTTTCTAACACAGTACTGTTTGAGGAAAACGAAATTCAACGTAACTGCTACGTATGATTTCATGAACAAACGGACTCTACACTATACTTTCCTGTTTATGTGCTTTTTCATGAACTCGATAAAATTCATAGAGGTTAGATCAGAAAGTCACTTCTCATAGCTAAATTTGTGCTGAAACTAGGCCAAGACACCATGCTATCCAGCAGTCAAGTAACTTACAGTTACTACGGGAATTCTTATATAGTTGGTGATTCAGTTTGATTCCAAATGAAAAGAAAAAAGATTATACTGTACAACCTATGTGGAAATTATGCATGAAGTAATGGAAGCAAGCCAAACCGTCCATAAATCATACAACAAATTATGGTTCTCATGAACATGTGTAGTATCACTAAATCAAAACTTAGGCGCAACTTAACAAAAAGCTGGTTACTATTCTGATGAACCGGTTAAGAAAACGATATGATGTGTTCGTAAACAGGTGAATACATTATTCAACGAGCAAAATATATCCTCATACACAATAAGCAAAATTTGACTTAAAGTGGTCACAAGATATTTCACAGTTTGAATAGCACGATCTGTCTTTCGATATTAATGGGTAGCAGTGGAATCCAGGACGCACGTTTTGTCCTATTGGGGACTCATCAGCTGGATGTACCTGCTTTACAGTGAGCGATGTTGGTCCCCATATGAGTCGAACCCGCGGTCGATCGCTTCAAACGCCGAGCCACAATAATGACTTCATGTCCAGTGAGTATAACACCGCTCAATGGGAAGCAGGTTAACCCATCTGACGAGTCCAAAATAGGACGAAACGCGCGTTCTGGATTCCATTGCTAGCCACTACTGATCAGTAATATCAGAATTGAAAATACAAGCAATATCGAGGTATCCGAGCAGGAATTTCATCCCACGGCGCTACGTCATACACTGACCACCCTTCCGCTTCTCCCATCCAGTCCCAGGGTTAGCAAACAACGAACGGAGTGGAAGCTGTTGGGATTATATACGTAGCACATGTCCCAGCTACCAGATGATCTCACTCATCGAATAACAACCTCCATCATGCCCAAGCACACGCTGTTGTAACTCAGGATTACTTACATGGTGTTGTCAATGGATACGAACAATCTTACGGAGACAACAATGATCGAACATACACAGTCGTCGCCTAACCTCAGTTCGGAGAGGCCAGCTTTCACAGGCGTAGAGTAGAACTCCTCGTACAGAAGTGTTTTAAAACCGACCTTTTACGGTCAGACTAACATCGTGACTGCACCAAAGGTGGCCCAGATTGGTGTATGTCACTCTGGTTTCGATATGGAGTTGGAACTCTCACTACTTACACCTCTACCACCACTCACACAACTAGGCAGATACATGAAGTTTTCGACTACTTCCAACGGCTCACCACCGAGGGTGAGCGTAGGTCCTGCCAATCTTGCAAAAGTACTTTGTACTTTACTACTGCAAAGCACTTACCATAGTTACGGATACTGTGAACTGTAGTCAAACGATGAATGAAGATACAGCACGCACATATACTCACCTCCAGTTTAGTATGCAATTGATCATAGTGTTCATCCAGTGGATTCTTTTCAGAATCTCCTTTGGTTTGTAGCATTTTATACGCTAATTCAATTTCAAGTAAATCTTCTAGCATACGTATTTTTGTTGTAATCACTTTCTTATTATCCAATAATGGTGGTGTTTTCATGCCAAAATCATGAGGAATTAAAGTGTAGAAACGTGTAGATTCACTTAACACTTGTGTTTGATCTAGAGAAGTTGGTTGTGATTTATTCTTCGATGATATACGGGATGCTTTTTTACTGACAAGTTGACTAAGTGAATTCAATATTTCATAGGCTTCACGAATTTGATTACGAGATAGCTTTCCCAATGGCATTTTTCTTAAGTCAAGCTGAATAAGAGAAAAATGTTTACAGTGAAAATAATCATAAAATGAATATATTAGAATTGACTGGCTTGAATAAATAAAAAAAGGCCTGGAGTAAACGAACGTTGGAGGGAGAAATTTTCACAATTGATCTGTAGTGATAAATCCATCCTCAAAATCAATAGCCTGTATTTTGATGGGATTTGAGACCATTTGGCTGAAAGTAATGTGTTACTTTGAATCACTTTTGCCAAATCTCACAGGTCAGCTTACTAGTTTATTGACACAATCCCCGAAACTTGGTGTTGCATCTTGATATCCCCAAAAAGGGTTTTGATCAAATAAGATACAGATATAGTGAATTATCAGGTCTAACTACAATCAATATCAAGAAGTTTGTACATCTATATGTTGACAAAAACTGTTCTCTAAATTAAAAAAAGCCAATGAAAAAAGGAATATCCAATGAAGACGTGATTATTGTAAGTAAGTTGCCTGGTGGATAACACCTCAGTGTTTGAAGCTATAAGTCTTCGTGCGGACACCGAAACCCAATAGAACAAGGGTATATGCAGTTGACGAATCATAAATAGGAAAAAAACGTATGACGTAAATCCCACTGCTGACCAATATCAACTCTGCAACCTAGGCGTGGTTCCAGGCATTATGGCGGCATCGGTAAAAGTTCATATACCAACAGACATTGATCGAATCAGTTTTTTAAAAAATCAAAAATGGGGTAGACTAATAAACGAACTTCATTAGATACAGTGTAGCATTTATCAATTTTAGGTCAAAGATTCAAAACTTACTCCACCTATTTCTGTAACTACAGATAGAGACCATGATATATTAGGTACAACTGACAGTCTAGTACACAAGCCACTACTGACTAAGCTATGGTGCATTAAACTCGCATTTTAGACTGAATTGACCAGTCTCTGTTGGCATATGGGCTCCTGTGCGGATGCCTCTATATTGCCTATCTTTTACCTATGTATAGTAATGATGGGCAGTGGCTAGCAGTGGAATCCAGCCACTATCCATCATTACTATACATAATTAAAACATAGGCAATATCGAGGCATCCGCATAGGAGCCCATACACCAGCAGAGACTGATCAATTCGATCCAATCAACGGCGGTGTCATACAAGCAATAACACTACAACTATACCCGTCGCACAGGAAATGGCTATCGTGGCTCGGTGGTGTAGTGAATAACGCCCTGGAGTTTGAAGCGGTCGCTCACCAGTCCGAATCCCGGTGGGAACAACATCACCAACTGGAAGGCAGGTACATCGAGCTGACTAGTCCCAAATAGAATGAAATGCGCATCCTGGATTCCACTGCTAGCCACTACCCATCATTACTATACATTAATTATATGTTGATTAAAACCAACTAAATTCCTCTCCACTCTTGTCTAACTGCTACTTTCAATTGCATAAATGTATGCAGTATAGATAAACACGAGTTATTGGTTCAAATCCTCCTATGAGTTAGCTACGTTTCCATTCTAAATTCAATTATCTCCAGAACCGCATCAATCGATATACTGGTTTAAAGGTTAATTACGATTAAAGCTAACCACTCTTCTCACTGATATCTAATTGTAGGTCATCCAATCTATGCTAAGTCATACGAATTGATAAGTATAGATTTTGGATAATTTTTAATTGGGCTTAATACTATCGCTAAAAGATACCTTGGCAATTCATAAGTTCGTATATTTCTAAAATCTACCATAGATCTGATATGTAACAACTTGGTTTGTGAATTTTAATAATACTATAAATATTACTGCAATTACTAGTTCCCAACATTCAATTAAGCCTTTTTAATTTGTTTAGAAACAGCATTATTCGGTTTATTAAATCCACTATGGATTTCTTAACCGTATTCCCAATAGTATCCAACGGTTTTTGTAATTTCTTCATATGATCTTGTCTCGATATGTTAGTTCGCATTGAGAATGTAATCAGATTTGTACAACATAACCCCGTTGAGTTGGCTTTATCTAGTTTAATATTCATTAAAGTATTATCATACTGAAGGTTATTTCTGTTTTTTGGTAGATTTTGTTTCATTTCCTTTTATTGTTATAGTGTTAGTTAATTTTGTGTATAAAACCCATCAATAACTGTTTTATCTACTGATATCTACTGATATTTCTATTATGAAGAATGAAATCATCAGATTTCAGTTCATTAACAGCTATTTTCAAGTTTACAATTCTAGTTAAGAGAGATTGATAAACCATTCAGCTTTATTGATCATTGGTTATTTACTCTGGTAAACTCATTACTATCATCGATTGGAAACATAGTAACTGATCTTGCCTTATTGTACACTCGTATATATTTCAATATAACTATGTGTGTTGGACAACCTGTTGACTATTTTATACAATTCTACTTTAAAGAATTTGTTCAGTATGAAAAAAAGTTTCACAATTTAAAAAAAATAAACAAACAGACTAAACTTATTGTGTTAAAATAATCCATTTCAAGGGGGAAAAATCAACTCACTTCAAATTCAGCCATAGCTTTCTCCATAGATTTAATATCACAAATAAACTTTAGAAGAGATTGAATAGTTGGATGCAATTTCGACGGTACACTACTATTCATACTTTGAATTTCTTTAGTATTCGACTATTAAGATAGGGAAGAATATTTTTTTTAAATAAAAAAAAAAGAAAGTAAACACATAAACCATAAACAAATCCTACTCTTTCATGTCTATCAAAATTACATGATAACAGTAGTCTTCTTAAGGTTAGAACTGATTGTATGAAAGTCTCTTGATGTGTACACAAAAAGTTTCTGTTTTAAAACAATGATCAAGTGATTGGGGAACAGAAGAGACTAGTTACAATACTGATAGAACTCTTGATCTATCCAATAGTAGATCAACTTTAGTCGACTTAATCACCACAGGAAACATCAAACAATGCTGTTAGAGTCAGGTCGACTACATTCAAGACAGAAAGCCAATAAAAAAAGATGCAAGAGTGGAAAAATTAAGCAGAAGTTGTTAGATATCCCATTCCCTAGGACTAAGATTAGGGATGAATGCATCTGTCTCCCCAACTGCGGTTCTTATATTCATAAATGTGTGATAACTAGGAGGCTTTAGTTTCGACTTACGACTTTCTATTGGTAGCCGATGACTAAATGAGCTGTCATCATGTCTTAGGATGGATGATTTAGGCTTTTTTTCTGATTTGTGGATGACATGTTGTTAACGCAACAGCAAGTAATCGTAACCAAGAGTGGGATGTGTAACTGATAAGTTACCAGATGACTAGACAAATTGTTTAACAGCTCGATCCGTAGTAATTCAGATGAGTAGACGGTGAGCGATTGAAATTGTGTAACATATAATGGCTTCGGACATTAGTTTATAACCTTGTTTTGCCGTGCAGTTAGAAGTGATGACAAAACAGCACTACTGTATTTATGTCTTTATATTAGCCAACGAAGGAATACTGAAAGGTTTATTCAATCGAAGACTTCTCAAAATCGATATGAATTAACTGAAACATTTTCAGGGTGTACAAACCAATTTATGCTACTGTACTGTTTCCATTATCGTATTCACTAGTTTCCTTTCTTTCGTAATTTGTAAGAGGACTTTCACAATCAGCTCTACATCGTGTTTTTTATGAGAATGAAAAAGAAAAAAACATAATACAAACGATTCTCAGTCACAGGTCGATTTCATTTTCATGACTTTCTCATAACCCATTTAAGAGTGGCGGGTTGATGCATACAGCTAACAGCTGCTGTCTGTGAAGGGCTTGAGGGCTTCGATACACTTTAGGTAAATCTGTACATCTCAGTTCGCTCGGTCTCACCAAAAAGAATGCCAAAGTGAATATTTTTAAACGAATTATGAAGGGCATAGAGTATAGAGGAGCAGTCAACTCAACTCAATCTCAACTTCATCGACTTTGGAAAGGACTTCGACAGCCTAGACTGACCGACAAGTAATTTGGCAGGCAGCCGCTTCAACACTACGGAATACCACTAGTCTTTATCAACCTCATTCAACAACTATGTGAAAACACCACATACCAGACAAGTAATTCACAATGGGAAGCTCAGTGATGCCTTCGAAGTGAAGACAGGGGACAGGAGTGAAACAAGGCTGCCGCCTACTATCACCCATGATATTCTTGATTGTGGTCGACTGGATAATGCAACAAACTGTGAGGGGCGAGAAGAGGGGGATACGCTGGCTGGACCACGGAAAACACCCCAGAAGAAAATTTGGATTTCGCCGATGACTTGTATCTAATGTCATGTAGTACAAACTCAAAGATCTACGGGCAAAAACCAACAAGTTGACAAAAGAGGTGAGGCAGCGAAAACGGGACTTCAAGTGAGTGTAGAGAAGACAGAGATGATGAAGATACCCAACCAATGCCACCAACAATAACAACAAACTCCAATCACCATCAACAGGAGAATCCTAAAGGAAGTAGTCTCTTTCACCTACTCACCTACCTAGGTGGCACTGTTTCAACTACAGGCGACGGCATGGACGAGGACGTCAATACCAGGATCGGAAAAACAGCAAGACAGGCTTTTCTGCAATAACCTCAAACCAGTGTGGAGATCTTCTGCACTCAGCATTAAGAGTCAACAACACCCGGATTTTCAGCACCAATACCAGTCAAATCAGTGCTTCTGTATGGCTCACAGACTTAGAACGTTACAAAAGGCATTCCCAACAAACTACAGACATTCATCAACAACTGCCTCCTACGCTGGCTCGATACTGACACTGAAGATCAGATCAGATGGCCAGAATAATGAGAATAAGCAACAAGGAACTCTGGCTGACTGGCAACGAACCAACCAAGAACCTATCACTCAACAAATATGCAGTGGAAGAAAGTGGAGATGGATTGGATTGGATTTGGGATACACTGAGAAGGCCAACTGGGGACATCACGCGTCAGGCCAGGCACTCAAGTGGAACCCAGATGGGAAACGACGAGTTGGGCGTCCCAGGTGAGGGTGACATGGAGGAGATGGTGCGAGGAGGAAACGAGAGCTTGTGGGCTGTTGTGTAGCCAGGTTCAAAAGATTTCAGAGAACAGGGCGCATTGGAGACGTGCTACTGAAGCCCTATGTTCCATTAGGAACCCAAGGCACAAATAATATAATAATAATAATAATAATAATAATAATAAAGGCATATGGTGCTTCATTTCGTAAGACATACAACTAAATATTTTACAGGAAAACCAATCAAGCAAGGTTATCATCATTGTTGTACGATGAAGTAATTCTTATGTTTGAAGTTAAGGAGCAGACAGTTTATCAATAAATGTTCAAACACATAATACCATTGAACAAACGAACAGATACGCATGTACATTTCAACTGGACATCACACTTCATTCGACAAACTGCTTCACAATGTCAAGTAGTTAAAATGAAAAGATAATATCTTCAGAAAAAGTAAGCTTCATTCAACAACTTAGATTATTCTCATCAAACGAATAATAAATGATAGGACAGTAAACTATACTTCAGTTCGCTTCGTGAAAGCGAAAACACACATTCACATAATTCTCTTGTAAACGCACAGATGCTAATAATAATAATAATAATAATAATAATAATAATAATAATAATAATAATAACAACAACAATAATAATAATAATAATAATAACAATAATAATAATAACAATAATAATAATATAGAATGACAGTCATTTTGAGCACCATTAGAAAGTAACATTACAAAAGCAGGGGATTCAGTCTAAACTATGGAGTTATGAATTCATACTACCCTTAATATCATGAAACTGACCGCTTTTATAGAGTAAGATTTGAAGCAAGATGGCTTTCTACCATCACCACGAAATGCTGAAATACAGTTAATGAACACAGCAAGACAATCAGCTCAAAGTCAATAATTCGTAAATCTCGTAAAATTCTTTTACAGAAAATCACACTTACAGCATTATTGTAATCCAACTCCATTTCATAAAATTTGTGGGGTATTTTTCGGAAATTTTTACGATCATCCCATTGATTACCAGTTTTCTCAAGATAAATTCCTCGGAATGCTGCACGTGCTGAAGTTGCATTGGGATATGATTCAGTTTTTGTGCCACCAATAGGTGTGCCTATACGACCCCATGCACGAAACACCCAACAACGTGCTGATTTATCAGACTGAAGTGCTTGAAGTCTAAGAATGTGATAATTTTTATCATAAAAAAGAATAAGATTATCCCAAAATAAAGAATCGTGAGTTATACACTGATACGTAGATACAGACTTTGAAAAAAACATTTCATACTCGAAGTACATTAAATACATAACTGTACATTAAAAATGGATACTTGTTACAGTCTATAAAACAAGTTACTCTTCGTACATGGATTAGTCAGTCACCAGAGAGTTGCCAATTTCAAGTTGCATAATCCTACATGTTTACCAAACTCTATCGATAATTCTCCAATGTGCTGACCAAGCTGGTGGACTCAACATCGAGGTACATTTTGATTGATATTACGTGGTTGAAGGCAATTTGCCAAGGAACTCTTTACCTAGGTTTCGTGCTTATTTCAACTCGTCAGCATGGCGTATTTATAACTGGAGAGGAATCACAAACTAGGATGAATCAGCAACCTAGTGCTTTCTGGTTTTCGTTGATTATCCGGTAGATCAAAAATAGTCTTAAATCATTCTATGAATGCTTTCCTCAAATGATAGGATACACAGAAAGGTCAACTATGAAGGTCATCCATAGTAATAATAGTGATAATGATAGTAATTTCTTGTTGCTATACAGGGTTGAATTGCTCGACCTCTGTTGGTTAATGGGCTCCTTGCGCAAGCCTTGATACTGCCGATTATCTATGTTATACTGATCCCAGCGGAGGAATCCAGGACGTGAGTTTTGTCTTATTTGGGACTCGTCAACTGGATGTACCTGCACCCCAGTGCGGAGTGATGTTCCCACAGAGGCTGCCTCAAAGGGGGAGCAATTCGGCCCTAAGTGACAACGGGAAACTGCAGGTATCATCACAATAACTGATACCCGTTGCACAAGAGATGGCTATCGTGTCCCAGTGACTTAGTGGATATTGGGTATTGGGAACAACATCACTCCGCAATGGAGTGCAGGTACCTTCAGCTGACGAGTCCCAAATGAGACGAAACGCGTGTCCTGGATTCCTCTGCTAGTCACCAAAGTCAATATAACAATTTAAACTATGTAAATAGTGTTAAAAATGAGAAAGTTTCTACATTGATGATTAAAGTATCAAAAGAGATTACTATTGGTGCAAAAGTTGATAAGTAAGTTCTGTCCTAAAACATTTTCTCCTCATACAAGATATGTGCCAGGTAAAGCATAGTCAAATTCTTGTATTTAGCTGTAAGAGCGCACAGTCATATGTAATTTCTTCTTGCCCTCCCTTAACAAATACAAGGAAAAAGCTGTGAATAAATGGATGCTCACCATCAGTTGAAATTAATGTAGCTGGTGGCCTGCTAGAATTAAACATCTGTCAACTAGTGTTAATCAGTTGAGCCAGATGCATAGTACTCACCCTGGCGACAGGTTTGAAAGCCCTACAAAATATAACATAGTCCTTCTTCAGTAGACCAGGAAAGGTCAATGGGGAACAAAAGAGAAGATCAGGTAAAGTATACGAACGAAAATGTCACACACACACACACACACACACACACACACACACACACACACACACACACACACATATATATATATATATATATATATATATATATATATATATATATATAACTCAAACAGGAAATCAAATACTTTACTCACTTATAAAATGAATTTGAACCTTTGACTAAATCGACCATGCCAAGGACTGCTGTCATAAATTCACCTTTTTCATCTTTTAATACTGAAGCTTTATTCTCCAGCTCTGATTGTGGATCTACTACTGCACCATTTTTAAGTGTCATTCGCATCATTTCTTGATCATCCCCCTCTAAATCACCTAACTTTTTCTCCCATTTATCGACTAGAAAAAGTAAATAATGTTCAGTAGCAGAGTTGATAAAAGGTGATGAGTATTAGGAGACAACTATGCGATGAAGAGTAAAGTGGCATAGCACCACCTATAAGATTTGTTTATTTGATTTATAATACACAATGATACAGCACTATTTACTTGATGACAGCGTTTCGAGCATAAGTTATCACTGCTCATAATCATATCAATGTAATCACACTACTTTCGACATCTGATTTTAATAGTTGTATCACCTCATATTCTTTGTTTTTAGTGATAGGATTTTCTATCTCTGCTATAGGTGTTGTGAGTGAGTGAATGAATGAACGAGTGCTATATCAAATAAACAAATCTAATATAGAATTATATTTTACCACAGTGACCAAGTTTTACACGCGTTACTATCGCCTATTTATTAAGTGGACAGTGCATTCATCTTTCATATGATAAAACAATATTCAAGTGTGAACCAGTTAAGAAAAACATTGTCTAAAGAGCTTAGAAAGATAAACGATGAGATGTTTTCGACCTAAAAGTGCATTAACCTAACAGGCTGCTGCGATAATCTTCAGGAGACTTAATATCGGTACGCAAGTTAATACCGTTTCCATAGTCCAACAGGAGAGTAAGAATCAACCAATTTTGAATGTCCTTTATGTGTCTGTTTTCATTCTTATTCTGATTAGGATGCCCAGGCTTTAAGGATTCGTATACGAGTTACTTTTAAAGGTCACTGAAATAACCAATTAGACTACACCATTTTATGAAAACCAATCAATTTCGATCGTTGCTAGAATGGATTTTTAAATTCAGCCTCGTATACACTTTCACATATTTTGCAATTTACAAATAATAGTGCATTGTGTGACCAGGTCGTCTAAACCAGTGACTTTAAGGGCAACCTTAGCAACTGCTGAAGTAACCAATCACGTTTCGATATTTCTAGGTGAGAAGTTAGTTTTCCATGAAATTCAGAACCGTAATTGATTGTATCATCAGGTATTAGCACAGCTTTTGAAGTCACTCACCTCGCTTTCTCTCTGACCTAGCTAGTGTGACGTTCATAGTTTCAAGATCAACCCAAACATAGCAACTTGGAGGATAATAGTAGTTAGGACCTGCATTCGAGTATCCCCCTCAATCCGTTAATCATAGAACTTTGTGGGAAACCTAAACCAGGGTTAAGACTAGAAGAACATCGGTCAAACCACCAAGATAGAAATATAACGGTTAATCACTACTACATCAACCCAGTGGTAATTTCTTCTACCACAGTACTATAATGATATATTTTGAAGTTGTTGTCGGAGCTGGAATATCCTCTAGGCCTCTGATGCTCAGTTGAGTACTAACAACTATGAAGGTGATAATGATGAGCTATCGATAGATTTCGACAAACACTGGTTACTATCTAGAGATTTTATTTTCTCTCCTTCCATTTCATACAGTTGACTTTGGGAATTATATTGTATTTTCAAACATTCTATAAAAAAATACAAAACTTAAGAGATGAGAGATGATTTGTTTTGTCTAGAATAATATTGAAAGCTTTTTAACTCATGCAATACAACACCATCAAATATATGAAACAGTCGAATGACATTAACAAGTACAGAGAACAAATATTGGATTACCTTTAGATGCTCGAACCTTTCCAGAGTGTGCCATATAGAAGGAATTTGTTTCAAATCACAGGGGAAAAGAGAAAGTGATAAATATTAGAAAATTTAATTCAATAGACATATGGGATGAATGAGCTAATTACTCTGAGATAAATAGCTTTACTTTCAAATGATCTAATTAAATACAGAAAGGAAAACTTTTTCTTTATAAAGTTTTTATCCAGCTCCAAAAATAATCACTGATCCTCCACCCCATTTGGCGTAAAAAGTTCGGAGACAATTTATACGTCATGAAATTCGTGAATATTTTTGTCTGTATCTAGTGTGATAGATATATTAGCGTTCAATACTACCTATATTAAGATATGTTGCCTACACTGAGTGGTACCTTTGTCGAGGACATTCACTCTCTCCATCCTTATTTAACACTGTAATAGTTCAGTTGTACTTACACACATGGGACTCCCTTCGCTAGTCTGACATTACATGGAGTGATATTGTGACAGGGAAACCCTTAGTTGACATGGAGTATGCGGATGTTACAGTCTTGTGGACATAGTGAGTGAAACTTTAAAAATTGTTGCTACATGACAGGTCTGTAAAGGTGTCTAATCTAACAAAGAGTGAAGTAGTTGACTGCGTTCATCCCTTCACTCATTTGGGAAGTCGAATCAGCTTTGGTTAGTCCGTGACTGACGAAATTTCAACAAAGATACAAACGGTCAACTGACCTTTTGCCAACTTACGCCATCAGTTAAGGTATCACCATGAGATATCCAATAAACTATTAAGGGATGAGTTTACTGCGTTCTGTTCAGTTAAACATTTGTGAAACATGGCCATTAAAATAGGAGGACACAAGAGTAATACGTAGCACTGTGTAATGGAACCACCACATCAGAAATGCAGGAGTTAGGCGTAGAGTTTTAGGCAAAAGAGGAAAGTCATCTGGTAACGTTGTAAACCTTTATCAACTCACGCAGCTGAAACATATGCTACACATGCTTACTCACTATGAACCTCAGTTGTGCAGTGTTAGGTAGTGTAGGTTTAGGCTGGCAAAAGGGTAAAGACAGTTACGGAAACACAGCATCAGCCTATTACGTCCCTGACTCTTATTGTGAGCTACTTAAGGAAATAGCTTCCATATGACAACTGAAATCGAGGGTTCGAGACTAGACAATATACGGTTCAAAAAAGATACTAATGGGGTAGGTGAATTCACACATTATAATTATCCTAATCGTCATACTACAACATTTTGTTACTCTTTTATCCATTTTTCATTAACTCCATCTTTGACGAGGCTGTCTTGTATCTTTTTATGCTGATATATGGCACTTTAGGTCGCTATACTATATTGCTAGGTAGTATGTTGATATCGACTTACTAATGCCCCAGATATGAGTCTCAATGATAGTCTTCACCAGCAGGACATAAACATTACTAAACAGTAAAACTGCAAACATGTCCCTGCAATAGATACATGTATTCGGTAAAAATCGACATAGCTAGTGAACTGCCAAAACGGAACAAAGTAGAATATGATTATCAATTACTCACTTGTAGACTGAATGTCAAAAACAGTAAATTGACAGCAATTCTATAAGGTTTGCAACAATCCATATATATAACTGTCAAAATTCAAATTACTCTACTGAAACTCAAAACTCGAACATCATTTACAACGTTAAGAATTCAGCCTTACTTCGTCTTCGTCACTCTAGGTATATGAACTGGATTCTTAACCCTTTGTGACATAATAAGTGTAACCCGAAGGCTGTCAACATCAACCATTGTGTGCTGGATCTTCTAGCTTGTTTAGACTCATTTTTAGGGCATATTACCAACGGAAGACAAGAGTTAATGAGAGGTGAAAGCTTAATCGAATTGACAACATCGAAGATCAAGGCAATAGTTCTGTGACGATGCACAAATTTGACTGGCAATTTAGTATATAATTCTGTATGGTGCCGTATAGAGTTGTGGTACCTTGTTTATTCAGCAATTGTAGGAATTTCTGATGACACCAGTAACCATTCAACAAAATCTATGTCATTAGGGCACATAACTGATAGGAAGCAGCCAAACTGGGAATCAATATTTTAAGTCATCAGCCGTTGTGATAAAGTGTTTTCGTTTCAGATTTTGATATATGTTTACATGTGGATAAAATGAACATTTTGGCCGCTTCCTATCATCTCCCCTCGTAAAAGTTATGTTTTCTTTCGTGGGTCGATTTGAAGCATCTTTGGTCTTCTTCTTTGTTAAAGTGATCTTCAAGCTGGAATCAGTCGAGTCTCATCCACTTCTTGTGTTTCTAGCGGCGATCTGTCAAAGGTATCTAGTAAAACTGTAAGCATGAAGTTCTCCGTTTACTATCTGCTGTTTCTTCTGCGTCCCGTTTCTGGTTCGCATATCGAATCCAAATCTGTCCTTCTACATTCACTTTGTACATGATATCTCCTTTACGTCCGACTATTTGATAACGAATCCACTTTGGTGGTGAAAAGCGAAAATTACGCATATAAACTTGTTGGTTTAATCTAAATTATATGGCGGGAGTCAAACTGGTTTTCCATTTTCGTGTTTCTATGCGTATTTTCTGTTAGCTTAGGCTTAATTGTATCGAGAACGGTGTCGACTCTTTGACTGAATATGATTTCTGATGGTGATAGTTGATTCGGGGTTGAAGGATTCGACGTTATGCGACAAAGCATCAAAAGCTTGTCCAAAATATCTTCCATCGCCTCCTCCCCTTTTTGTTTTATGACTACTCGTTTGAACGTATCAAAAAAGCGTTCTGCTTGACTGTTGGATTGGGGATGAATATGGAGGAGCACGAATATGTTGAATATAAAACAGATTGCAAAAGTCTGAGAACCCAGTCACAGATCAACTTTTCTCTTTTGATATTTGGGCGACTCAATGAAGAATAAGGTGCTGAGAAGGAATAGTCATATTGGCATACAGTTCTAGTGTATCACTGCGTTCAGTATCGTTATTACTTGTGTCTTATTCCACTCGGTCACTTCAATATCCAAATGGTAAAATCACGAAATTGAAAACAATGCTTACAGGACATCAAGTTAAAATAAGAAGCGGGTGTGAAAAAAAAGAAAAGAATTGAATAAGTTTCGACAAAACTCGTCAGTTGAACCCTCTGCATACTTGATTACGAATACTACAGTGTGATACAGGGGTAAATAAAACTATAACAGAATAGGCGTAAAATATAAACATATACAGCTATTAAAACAGGCATCTACTGGTTTATGGACATGATACTGATGCAACCAAATGCTAAACAAAAGTCAGCAGACACAATGAGAAAGGAAAGTATCAGCGTCTGCAGAAACCTGTGCAATTCAGTTCCGAACCTCTGTGTGTACAGAATGAAATGCCGGTTATCATTACATTATGACTGTCTACTTTTGGTGGATGTTAGTTGGTTGGAGGCAATCGCCAGGGAGACCTGCTCTACTTAGGTTTCATGATTATTGGTACTCGTCAGCAAAGCGTATCAGCAGCCTCTAAAAAACTTATTTCTCCTGTGAAATTCAAACTCGTGTCACCTAACACTGCAGCCAGCGACGTTACCACTTAACTACTATCTCGGTCACGATTGAACTCGTGTGGGAATGGATTAGATACATCGATCGATCACTAGAGAACCACCAATATCATGTTGTCTAGTTCTGAGTGCTGACAGAATTCTATCGATCATTTTGCCATAGGGCCACCAGGCTAGGATGGTTAACATAGAAGTGCACTTCTACTTACTGACTTTTCGCTAGAGCTTAGTCAATTCAATAAAAAAAAATGTCGTATTTTTATTTTGTGGTTCGAATGGTTCATGATATTTTAGCTCTACACGAAGTCTAATGTTGGTAACAAAGTATTCTTTTTATAGTAGTGTAACCTAACAATCTTTAATCTATCCAGTTTTCAACAGTCGAGTTGTCACATCCTGTTCAGTTTTTCCATGCCTTCAGATGACCAGCTACAATACGATACGATACGCTTTCTTTTCTGTCTTACTCCGAGATATTTTCGTACCAGTTGCAAATATACATCACAGTGTTGATAATCAAATGTGACTATTCATCTAAGGAGTTCGAACAAAACTTATGAATTCAGTAGACTGTACCACTTCCTAACCTCTGTTTCTCATTTCAAAGAAGGTAAAGCTAAAAGACAAACAATGAATAGCTCAGTACGTACTCATGCAATTGGCGTGTTTGTAAGGATTGATCCATTTCAGATCAATTTCATCACAGGCTAATGCTGGTTAGCACACCACTGAAACCTTGAGATCACTGTAAATCTGTTTCGTTCCACTTCGTCACTACTTAGCTGAGCGTTCATTTGCTCCTATTAGGTAGACCAGGTAGGTTATGAGGATGGATGCCCAATGAATGATATTCAACGATTATTCCTCTAAGTCGTGAAATAGATAGAGTTCTGAGTTAGGACAAAAACGATGTGGTTTTTATGCGTTTCCCAGCTAAAGGATGAAGTCTACCTTAAAAATACAGATATAAGATCATGATATTACTATTTTTTTAAAAACAAACATTCACCTACCTTTACTTCCCAATTGGATATTGTATGCTTGGCCAATAATTGTTGAATTTTACCTTCAAATTTTTTTGGATCAGATTTGCTCGAATTAAATTCAGACAAGAAAGTTTCACTAATAACACGTAGACCATAAGCACGTGCTGTTGTAATTGCTTCCTTTGATGCAGCCACTGTATTAATATCAACATTTTTCTCAGATTTCATTTCACTCAGTGTTGATACAACAATTGAATTAACGCTGAGCTTTACAAAGTTATGACAAAGTCAAGAAATGTTCAATTACTGCACTTGGTAAAGTATTAGAGAGAGGAGAAAATAACAGTCTTATAAAAAAAGATATGGGTGGTAGAATAGTGTATAGAATGTGGAATTGTAGCTTATTGATCAAGAAAATCGATTTTCAACCAGTGGGTCGCAGGTTCGAAACCCACTCCTATTACCGCGGTTAGGGCATCGACCTTACTGAAAGAATGAGTCGTTGTTGATGTGACTGATATACTGAGCAAATTTAACAGCGTTTATTTAATAGGCTAAGATTCTTAGATAAACTAATAAAGAGGAGAAATAGATGCAACAATAAGAAGGAATGTACATGTAAAGTCTACACATCATTCGGAGAGTATACAAATTTTGTAGGGAATAAAATTTGGTGAAATGTCTATTTTACAGAGGTAGAGTTATCTGCTCAGATGATAATTAAACAGGGAAGCTCAAAATTAGTTGTAGTTTATAAACTGACAATTGGTAGGATTCTTCTCAAAGCATATAACATTGAATAACAGAAAGCCAAAAGTACCGATAACTTCTGAGTAGCTATTGTTCCTAAAAATGTTATTGTTATTAGGGTTCTGAGAACTAGGCAAGCTAATCGCCACACTGAATTGTTGAACACTATTCATCATGATTGAATAAAAGACCAAATAAGATCGATAAGAAGTGTAAAACTTGGGCACTGTGGTAGAATTTAATTCGACATTAAATTTGTTTATTTGATATACAGCACACAGTGATACAGTATTGTTTACTTGATGACGACGTTTCGAGCATTAGTTACCACTGCTCATAATCATATCGGTGTAATCACACAACTTTCGACATGTGATTTTTACAGTCTTGTTACTTCATATTATTTGTTTTTAGTGGCAATAAAATTCATATTTTCGGTACAGGTGTTGCATCATGGCTATTGCATGTGTTGGCTGGGTGTTGGTTGATTAAATGAACAAATATTCAGTAATCAATCTATCTCTCCCCCTTTCCACCGAATTTTATTGGACTTTGAGTACAGTGGTTTTATCCCACCCAGGCTATTGTATGGTTGTGTGTTAATGCATGCATTGCAATAGGCAAGTGTTTTTCTAGGTTATTGTTCCTATCGTGGTTTGTCATTCTATATTCGGCTGAATTCCAATGTTCCGGTAATCCAACTGACCTCGACCGGCTAGTTAGATCTATGTGCTTGGCCTCATGTAATGACTGCGGTCAAGTTTGTAGATCGAACTGGTTGACTGGGGTCAATTAGATTATAGGAACATAGGAATGTTAGTGCAATGAAAATTCCTACTTAAACATTTACAAAAAGGGTTGATCGAGCAAAAAAACATATCCTTGCATTGAGCCAAACTCTCGAGTGTCGTTAACATTTCCAACATTCTTTCGGGAAACGCATCGAATTTCGTTAACGATCTTCAGTGAGTATCTGAAGTAAAGCCCAAGTCTCTGTGAAGCGAAGGCTTTTATAGATTTCATCGACGAATGTATTTCAATAAGTTGTTGTCCGAAAGAACATTGGAAATGTTAATGACGCTCAAGAGTTCGGAAGAATGAAAAATATATTTCTTCGCTCAATCAGTGCTTTTTCTATATAGGAATTCAGCCGAATATAGAATGACAAACCACGATAGGAACAATAACCTAGAAAAACACTTGCCTATTGCAATGCATGCATTAACACACAACCATACAATAGCCTGGGTGGGATAAAACCACTGTACTCAAAGTCCAATAAAATTCGGTGGAAAGGGGGAGAGATAGATTGATTACTGAATATTTGTTCATTTAATCAACCAACACCCAGCCAACACATGCAATAGCCATGATGCAACACCTGTACCGAAAATATGAATTTTATTGCCACTAAAAACAAATAATATGAAGTAACAAGACTGTAAAAATCACATGTCGAAAGTTGTGTGATTACACCGATATGATTATGAGCAGTGGTAACTAATGCTCGAAACGTCGTCATCAAGTAAACAATACTGTATCACTGTGTGCTGTATATCAAATAAACAAACTTAGTGTCGAATTATTGTTAATCAATTCCCTCACCAATTGATTAGTAATTTCATATTAATTGTAAGCCCGTATATTAGTGTCAGAGCTAAAGACAAGGACCTAATCGAAAAACATTGTAGTTCTTGGCTCAATCAGTATTTGTTTTCTAAGTCACTTTTTAGTCAGTAAACTATTATCATTATCGCACCGATTACTCACAATGTGCTGATAAAAGTAACCAGGTCTCAAAGAAACAAAAGGCGACAGAATGATTGAAACTACAGTCATATAAGATGCATACAAAGAGGCAATAATTGCTTTCATATAACTTTTTGATAGAAGATGAAGCGAAATACTCCAGTATGGTCTCTACGAGTTTCTGTAACATTTCAAGTATCTCAGTCACATGATCCTATGGATCCTATCGACAGCATTGATATACGCGCAGACATGTTAAACAAAAAATATTTTTTTACCTACAGTGTTATGTGGTCGGTTGATCACAAGCAAATTAAATAGCAAACAGTTTGGAAGCTGATAAAACAAGATTCACAAATATACTCAAATCACCAAGGTCAATGCTTTGAAATGATTACACATACTCGGTGTAAACCTGCATAGTGCCTAAATATGTCACAGGACAACAAGACCAGTCATTGAATAGCTTTTCCAAAACATATGAAGTCAATTCTGTTAGGTCACTTATGCGTCAACGCCTAATCAACAAACTTTCCGTTGGTCTAAAATTCATGTATAATAATGATGAGCAGTAACCTCGCCTCATTAACTAGTTCACCAGTTACTAGCCGGTCCTAAAACCGGGTATACAGGGAAGCTTGGGCATAGCGCTACCAACCACACACAGTAAAACCAATCGACTCGTTAAAATAACTTCAAAGCACAAACAAAATATAAAAATTAAAATAAAAGGACTCTTCGCTGGGATCAGGGAGACGAAATGACATCGATTGGTGAAAACCTTCGGGAAGACAACTCGCCAATGTGTCTTCACCTCTCTCGATGAATGAGAAAGTAAACACGGGGACATGCAATGTCAGCACCACCAGCAAGGCAGCCCACATTGCAAACGAGATGAGAAGCTATCACATTGAAGTGCTTGGAATTTGCGAAAGCAGATGGTATGCAAGTGTACTCTCTCACCTGTCAACTGCAGAGTCCATAATCTACTCCGATATTCTCACCCACACGACAACCAACAGCACACTGAGTTATGGAGTGGCTATCATCATGTCCCCAACAACATCGATGGCTCTCTCTCTCTCATGCACTGGGAACCAATCTCCTCATGCAGGATCAGGATCATGACAGCAAGGTTCAACTCAAAAGGAAGGAAGGTCACAATCATACAATCATACTACGCTACGCACCTACAAATAATGCACAGCAAGAGAAAAAGGAGCAATTCTACAGACAACTCCAATCAACACTGCACAAGACCCCACCTCAGTTGGCAATATCGAAATTCTAATGGGTGGGATGACATGAATGCCAAACTGGGAGCACAAAACACACGAAGACAACTAACCATGGGTAGAGAAGCACTCCTATGTGAAATGAACGAGAACGCAGAACTGTCTCCAGAATTCTGTGCATTCAACAATTTGTTGATCACAGGCACTGTGTTCAAACACAAGGATATCCACAAAGTGAACAACACGGATTTCACCAGACACCAGGACACACTACACTAAAAATCAGATCGACTTCATCTCAATGTGAAGAAAGTGGAAATGCAGCCCACTAGACACAAAATCAGATCAAGAAGGGTAGCAGATGTAGGTTCACACCACTATCTAGTGCAACGAACCTGACTTCAAAATCAAGTTGAAAACCTTCAAGGAAGCTGGTGATAGACCACAGTTCAAGTTCAACACCCACAACAGAACAGAAACTGAAGGACAAAAATGCAAAGAAAATCTACACATCGGACAGTCATCAAGACAAAATCGGAGATCTCGAGCAACATCCCTGAAAAAACCTGTGTGGATGAACACTGGAAGTCTTTGAAAGAGATGTGGAAAGAAACCTGCACAGCCGTATTACGAAGGAAGAAGAAGAGATAAGACAAGGAATGCATCTCCACGGACACATGGAAGCTGATAGAGCAGGGACAGGAGGATGATGAAACAGAAGATAAACCAGTGCAAGGATGCACAACGACAACAGGAACTGAGTACAATGTATAAAACACTACACAGTGAAGAAGAGTCCACGCAAAGACAAAACACACTTCTACGACACATTCGCAAGTGAAGCAGAACAGCCTGCAGGTAAGAGAGACATGACAACATTCTATCAAATAACCAGCTTACTATCTGAAAGGGAAGAGATCAACACACGAAACCAATAAAAGATGATGAAGGAAATATCATCACCAAAGAAACGAAAACCTCTTGAATCCAACACCACCACCACCACCACCACCTGCACTTCGTCCACAAATACCACCAGTACACCAGCCACACAACTACCAGTCAACATAAATCCAAATCCTACAACAAAAGTCGAAGTCCTAAGCGCCATAAAGCTACTGAAATGTGGGAAAGCAGCAGCACCACCACCAAGTGGAATCCCGCCACAAGCACTGAAAACAGACGCACAGACAACAGCCACAGACATGCTCACACCACTACTGCACAAGGTCTGGAAGGAAGGGAAGGTACCTGCCAACTGATTGGAAGAAGGGCTACCTACTTTCTCAAACTCCCATAGAGGGACGACCTAAGTCTTTGCAAGAACTGGCGCAGAAGCACGCTCCTGTCCACCCAAAGCAAGCAAAATATTAGGCCGCATCATCCTAGAGAGACTAAATGATGCACTGGATTCAAAACTACGACCGGAACAGGCTGGCTGGCTGGCTTCAGGAAGTACAAATCATGTGCCGACCAAATTGCTACGCTACTCTACCCACCATCATAGAACAGAGTGTAGAATGGCAGTCAACTCAACTCTACCTCAACTTCATCGACTTTGGAAAGGACTTCGACAGCGTAGACTGACCGACAAGTAATTTGGCAGGCCGAAGCTTCAACACTACGGAATACCACTAGTCTTTATCAACCTCATTCAACAACTATGTGAAGACGCCAAATACCAGACAAGTAATTCACAATCGGAAGCTCAGTGATGCTTCTGAAGTGAAGACAGAAGTGAAACAAGGTTGTCTACTATCACCCATGATCTTCCAGATTGTGTTGTGGTCGACTGGATCATGGAACAAACTGTGGGGAGCGAGAAGAGAGGGATATGCTGGCTGGACCGCGGAAAACACCCCAGAAGAAAATTTGGATTTCGCCGATGACTTGTATCTAATGTCTTGTGGCACAAACTCAAAGATCTACGGGCGAAAACTAACAAGTTGACAGAAGAGGTGAGGCAGCGAAGACGGGACTTCAAGTCAATATAGAGAAGACAGAGGTGATGAAGATACCCAATCAACAACACAAAAAATGACAACAAGCTCCAATGACCATCAACGGGAGAATCCTAAAGGAAGTAGTCTCTTTCAAATGGCGATGGATTGGATTGGGCATGCACTGAAGAGGCCGACTGGGGACATCACGCGTCAGGCCAGGCACTCCAGTGGAACCCCGATAGGAAGCGACGAGTTGGACGTCCCAGTTGATGGTGACATGGAGGAGATCGTGTGAGGAGGAAATTAGAGTTGTGGGCAGTGGTGGAGCCAGGTTCAAAAGATTTCAGAGAACACAGCGCATTGGAGACATGCTACTGAAGCCCTATGTCCCACTAGGAACCCAAGGGACAAGTAATAATAATAATAATAATAATGGGCAGTGTCTAGCAGTGGAATCCAGGATGCGCATTTCGTCCTATTTGGGACTAGTCAGCTCGATGTACCTGCCTACCAGTGAGTGTTGTTCCCACGGGGATTCAGACTGGCGAGCGATCGCTTCAAACGCCAGAGCGTCATTCACTACACCACCGAGCCACGATAGCTACTTATTTTGCCACGGGTATAGTTGTAGTGTTATTGCTTGTATGACATCATCGCTGATTAGACTGAATTGACCAGTCTCTGTTGGCATATGGGCTCCTATGCGGATGCCTCGATATTGCCTATGTTTTAACTATATATAGTAATGATGGGCAGTGGCTAGCAGTGGAATCCAGGATGCGCACTTCGTCCTATTTGGGACTCGTCAGCTGGCGCATCATTACTATACATAATTAAAACATAGGCAATATAGAGGCATCCGCACAGGAGCCCGTGTGCAAACAGAGACTGATGAATTTGGTCCAATCAACGACGCTGCCATACAAGCAATAACTCTAAAATTAATGTTTTAGTTCTTTTCCTTAAATAAGCAGACAGACAATAAGAAACGCGATATAGGTTCGCGGCTTACTTCGTGGATAAATCAACCACGTGAAACAATTCAAGATGTCTCTTTTTTGCAGAATACATTCACTAATTGGATGAACATTAGGATTAGATAGAATGATATAAGGTGGTTAAATTCATTTTACAGTTAAATTCTGTTATTCTTCGATGATACTCGACAAGAAGTTAAAAGAATACGAATAAGTGTTAAGTATTACACTGAAAATACATTGCACCGTAATGTCATGCCAATTAAATTAACGGTCACATTTTAAAGGTGATTAATGGACTTTTATTCATGCTAAACTCTTTGAAGTTACTTTACAGATATATCAGTTAACATTCGGTGATCGACTACTCATGTGAAGAAGAAAATGATATTATTTCTACAAACGCTTGTTCGTATCATAGGTTAAACAAACTATACAACTCAATACCTGGTTACGATTCATATTTTGTATAGGACATCACTTCCACCGGTCAGGACCACTCAAGTTTTTCTTTTCACTTCAAACATCGTCATCATTATCCTCCTCGTATATTAGAATCAGTCTACAGAACTAAGATTATCCCAAGTTGTCTAAACAACACTCAGGAAACAGTTTAACATACACGATGGAGCAGTAACAACTTATTGACCTAACCATTCGATTTTCTTACAATAAGTCTCGGGTTCGAGACCCACGCCACCTATTTCAACCATGGTAATTGGGTAGTATCATAAGCACTCAACACAATATATGGCTCATAACCTAGTAAATACAGCGTTTACGCAAATGAGTTGTTTTAATTAACAGGCACAACTCGCATAGAACCAACAATACAATATTTCCAACTGCACTTAAACATTCATAAACTTGTATTAAAATCCTGCTTCAGTTTAAACTTTGATGAACAAATGATTACAACTTTTGGATAATTTAGATGTACAGGTTGAGATTGAAAACGAAGTTAACTGGAGGCAAACATTTTAACTGAATTATGAACCTAGAGTGTCTATGGCAGATCATACTGCTAATTAATACTAGTTTTTAAAGGGTATAGTTTCAATAACCCATTAGTCAAGTGGATAACAGCACTTCATCGTTTTCAGTGATGAATTTAACAGCATCAACTGATATAAGCAAGCATGTGTTTAGTTCACACACTAATTACCAGATCCTCTAATAGACAGCATCATACGATATAACAAAACGTCAGCATACCTTATTCATTATACCACCACCAAGATTTGCAAAGTCACGCATTAATTGATCTCTTGATTTTCCACTATCGAATGATCCGTTTGTTATGAAGAAGAATAGACCAGTTAAAGGACCGGTTACACCAGAAACTGAATCTGGTGGAAATAGTCGTGTACGTTTGACAAACTTGTATTTCTTTCTGACAATGGGAAAAAACGAAAGCATACACAACCATTATGATAGACATCAAACTGGTTTAGGGAGCTGACTTTCAATCACTGGGTCACGCGTTCGAATCCCGCTCCATCTACCAAGGTTTGAACAGGTAAGTAGCATCATTAACCCCCACAAATAATAGATGTGGCTTATTGCCTATTAAACAATTGTGCAGAAGGTTGCTGAGTGCATTTCCACTTTCGCATCATGGTAGATGTCAACAAGATACTCGACAAAGAAATAAAAATAATATAACCAAAGTCGTAAATAAGCCAAGGACAAAATAAAAAGATGTAATATGTGATATTATAATCAAGATAAACATAAGTCTCTCAATTACTAACTAAGAAGCCTATAGGTTACTCAGAGTGGATGATAAGCAGCATACATAGCAAATATCCCAGGTACCTCAGGTAAGATGTCATCAAATGGTTCGCCTCACTTACGCAATATCCTATTTTAAAACTCTCCATTGCTTTTATAGGCGCTTCACCATACACGGGTAGAGAAGTGGTGCATAGCACATTCATCCTATTAAAGGCGGTTGAATATTTCGTCTTTTGTAAGCGACCAGTGACACAAATCGATCCAGCATTTTGAAGCAGTGCCAAGATTTCATCGATCAATAACTCACAAAGGTCGTTACAACCACCCAGATAGGTAAAGTGGTCTATACACTCAATCGTTTCAATTAGGAACGAAAGATGGAACATAGGCAAAGAATGATCCTGAAGCAAACATTGGTATTTAGGAGAGGAGTATTCTAGTCCCTAAATGGTTGAGGCAGTTGTTCGTAAATTTCTTTGATCAAGGAATATACAGTTTTTAGGGCAACATACCTAAAATACGAGTATAAGCCATGAGAGTTAGACATTCTAAATTATATAAGGCTCTTTAGACACTTACAGACAAAATGGGTCAATAATAATGCTAACAACAATAATACTGACACTTACAAAAAGTCAACATCATAATACTCTTCAGGAACGTTGAACTTTTTTCGATCAGGTGTTCGTGTGTGATAAAGGCATCGAACCCATTCAGTAGCCATAGCACTGCACTGATACTGTCCATTATCGTAATATAGTGGTCCATTCTTACAGCTTGGACAGTTGGGCAATGCACCGAAAGTCATTGCATCTGCAACTGCATCGAGTAGACGAGATAACCCGGATGGGATATGTTGTTTATTATATTCAAGCAGGCCAATCAAGGCTTCCTTTGATACTTCACTTTCCAGTTTATCTCTTAAACTCCATAACAATTTATTTTGTTTTCGTAATTCCTCCTACAATAGAAAAATGACAACCCAGAAAGAGAGAGGGGGAGGAAGAGAAAGGAGGGAGAAAGAGAAAGAGAGAGTAACATGGATTACGATGAAGTGGTTCTGAAACATTATGTGTAAATAATTTACGGATAAGAATTAAGCAAAAATAGGAGGATAACATTCTGGAAATAAAGACACTGAGTAAACAGATTGTGGTCAGTGTAAGAAAATGGAAAGGATACCTGAATGTTCGCATAACTCGATTTGATGAAAAAGCTTATTTATGTCGTGTTACCTCATACCTTAAGTCCAATCCCTCGCTTTACACTGCCTCATCCAACCCAACCAGTATGGTCACACGGTCCGATAAGATTTCGATCAACAGTAAGTGAGGAGACGTTTGTCATCAAATATCAAAACTCTGCGAATACTGAAGAGATATTATTCAGTAGCTGATAATTATTCCTTTATACTGGATGATGATTGAAGGTGAAATGAAAATTTGGACTGCGGCCGGAATCAAACTAGCCACCACCAGATTTCCGGTCTGATACTCTACCAACTGAGCTACGAGGTCCGACTGCTGTCGCTGGTTCGATAAATATGATAAATATGACCGCGATAAGGCTTAGCTCACCTTTAATCTTACCCGGACTGGCAATGTAGACTGAGGTAATAAGTGTCATTCGCGCACAGTAATAACTATACTAACCAAAGCCCTACATGAAATCTTGCAAATGAACTATGTTATCGTGGCAGAGAACGAACCACTGCCTCGAAACTAATATTTTCCAAAATCTATTGATCAAAGTATCCCATCTTAATGACAACAGTAATCCTTTGAAGTTAATACTTTTACTATTGGTTAGTGCGTTTTGACAGCAGGTTCCAGTGTTGAATTATTAGGAGATGGACAGACTTCTACCCTTCCCAATCACACACTAAATTATCTTCTACTGTCACCTCTACTGTTTTGAAGAACTATGAATTTTAACACTAAACATTGCTTCATCTGTACAACCTTTACAGCATGCAACACTATTGGGCAGTCAAACCATGATCCACTAGCTGAGAAACATCCGTCTCAGTGAATGGTAGGCCATTAGCTCCATAAGAGTTACATATCTGATATGTTCTAAATTCATCAGCTAGTGTAATCATCATTAAATATGCTGATGAATTAAGTTTCTATACCTATTTCCTGTTCACCAGATTGCTCCCAACTGAATGATTTCCTACCTACTTTTGGACGATGATACTCCAAGAATGCTCTTAAGCTTAATTCTTTAAAATGTCAGACTATAAACTTTAGACATGAACACAACTTATGTAAACTGCTTACTTCTCGTGATTCCTGTTCTATTGATAATTACGCACTAAAGAATGCTAGAAGTGTGATTTATCTCGGCGTGTGTTTTTCTTTGGACCTTTCTTGATTTTCTCATATCTCACTAATTTCCAAAAGAATTCCCCGCTTAACTTTCCATATTAGGAAGCTGAGAGTATCTGGTATTACTCAATCTCTCCTCTTGTGTTTTATAAACTATTGTATCTTGCCTGTCCTCCTCTATTGCTCCCTTTCACTTTCTCCTGGGTTACTGAAAAAAGACTATGCTATGTTGAGTAGCACTTTGGAGGTTATCAGCAAAACTAGTAGTGTACCCGTAAACCTTCTAGTTAAAACTGTTGTGGATAAACATATTAACTCATGTAAAACATCTGTCAAGAGTCATTTAATCAGATGACCATCATCATATTCATTCAAAGGTCTTTGTGTATCAGTCATCTGGAAAGACAAGGAACAACAAGTACATAAGACTTTATGCAAGTACTACGAAATATAAAAACTCTACAATGCCGTATTTAGCTCGTCTACTGTATGATGAAGAAAGTATTAGAGATGAATTAACTAATCAACTCCCCCTTTTTGAAAGCGAATTAACTAGAGATGAGCGTTTTACTTTTTACATATTATGAATCTAATTGCTAATATGATTGTTTACCTAAATTGACTGTCTCTATTTTGAAGAAAGTTGTAGATAGAGCGAATATTTTTATCTTTTCTTCATATAATTTCTAGTTATTTTCATTTTGCTATGTAACACATATACACTGTCTCTATCTAAATGATGCTATATGACATGCTGAAAACTCTGTAGAGCATTCCCGAAATAGCTTTCAGAATAAAGCCATCACCAATATTATTATTATTATTAAAACCTCATCCTACTCGTGGAATTTCGAACCACTATCAGACAATCATGCAATACAACTATCACTCATCCTACACTTATCATCAATATTTGATGATTATTATTTTAAAAGTTAGAAGTTCAAAAAGATAATATATACATATAAAAATGCAATTTTAACTTTCATGGTAGATATTTAATTTTTCGGAAAAATTTCGCTAATAGCTGACATATGGAAATAAATGTAAGGCAAACTCTAAACGGAACCCGACTAAAACGGTTTATAGGACACCGATCAGCTGTTTCTTTTATTGGTGTTATAAAAAAGTAAGCTTGTCAGTGAATCTAGCAAAACATCTATACAGCAGTGTAACAAGTTAACAAGGTTAAAAAAACAGTATTTTACTATTCCCTTGTTCTTACAGCTTTTTACACGTAAGGTCACCGTTAGTAGAAACAAACTATTATGGAATTACAGATTGGTATTCATCATGGACTGATATTAGTTGGAAGAACATTGGAAACCTGAGAGCACTGGAAAGCTGTTTGTCCTAGTATGGGACGCCTCAGCAGTGCGCATGCATGGCCCCACCTGTGATCGAACCCAGGATCTTCAGATTCTGTGGTCAGGTCCCTGGCGGGGTCATAGGTGTACGTAGCTGAAGAATCCCATATCAGGACGAGACAGCTGTCCAATGCTCTCAGGTTTCCAATGTTTCTCCAACTGAAGTCATTCCATGATGAGTACCAACCTGAAATCAAGAAATAAATCCGTAAAAACCTCAAAACCACATTACAGAATTAGCCAGTTCCCTAGAAATATTGAATCATCTGAAAACACTTCATTAATAACCGAAAAGCTTGAAAGGAGTAAAAAAGTAGAAAGATGGAGATGTACCAACGTAAAATTTCGCACAGCAGTGCACCGGTGCAAGCTGCCAAAGTTAATAACAATGCACAAAGAGTAAATGGATAAAAAAGGGATGATATTGAAGCACACAAAAAATTAATGAAGGTTAATAAAATTGCTCAAAATTTGAAGACGATAAAGAGTAAATAAATGTGCACTATTCTGCTCGATTTTAATCGTTATCGTCACGATTCTCCAACCATTGATCCCTTTAAATATTAAGAGGATAATCGATTCAAATCTACCTACATCGGCAGCTGGGTAGCATTACATACCCCCACACACATTAAATGTGGCTCACAATTGAGTACATGAACCTTTATCCAGGAAATCATTAACATTTAAAATAATTTCTTTAGGAGAGGAGAATTCCCAAGGCTATTACTCAAAATATCTCAGCACAGATACAAAAGGCTCGATTGGCTTTCGCTAACTTATGCCATTTCTGGCGTCGCCGTGATATCCAATTGCCCATTTAAGGGGTGAGTGTACTAAAGTGCAGTTTGACCACTTAGTAGCATAGACCATGAGTCATGGTTGCACTAAGTAGATAACGTAAACGTCAGCGGTAGAATTCTAGGCACAAGAGAGAAGTCAATTCGTAAGGTTGTAAACGTTTATCCACTGAGGTGACTTGGACATATGCTACGTATATCTAGTTACAGTCTGCCTCGCTGCACAACGTTAGGCGAAGTAGGTTCAGGCTGGAAAAAGATTAAAAGCAGACAGATTAAAGCATGGTATCCGTCTATGAAGTTTCCGACCGTTGTTCTGAGCCGTGTATGGAAATACAGACTTCCCAGTAAGGGTCCATGCGACAAACAAAATCTGTAGGTGATACACCAAAGAATCGACTTCAGTGGTGCAGATGTATCCACACATTGTTTTAATCGTCATGCCGAAACTCATAATTATCGCATTTTCCCCTGCTCTTTTCATGACTTTCCACCACCCTTGACTACTTTCCACCTCATCTCTTTATCTTTCATCTTGATGCATTCTCGCGCAGTGAGGTATGGCGACTTAAGTCATTATACAACAGCGCTAAGCTTCACGGTAACATTATCTCACTTATCTACGGGGGGCAAGGAAGACAAGGAATCATGAATGCTGCTATATAGCGACAACCATTCACCATGAAAAATAATTATCAAACTAAACCAGATCCTAAACTCATCGGTTCGAAACCACTGGTCTGCAAACAGGCCAGTCAATCAGTCAGTATCAACATGAGATCTGGCATTACTGTATAACCTTCCAATCTGGCGTACCTTACATTACAATAATAAGATGCAAGGAAATAAAATGAAAGAGAAAGAAAAAATCCTAGTCATAAAACATAATAATTATTATTATTATTAGTCCCTTGGGTTCCTAGTGGAACATAGGGCTTCAGTAGCACGTCTCCAGTGACCTCTGTTCTCTGAGATCTTTTGAACCTGGTCCCACGACAGCCCAGAAGCTCTCATTTCCTCCTCGCACCATCTCCTCCATGTCACCCTTGGACGTCCAACTCGTCGCTTCCCATGGGGATTCCACTCGAGCAACTGGCCTGACGCGTGATGTCCTCAGTCGGCCTTCTCAGTGCATGCCCAATCCATCTCCACTTCTTCCTGCATATTTGTTGGGTTATAGGTTCTTGGTTGGTTCGTTCCCAGAGTTCCTTGTTGCTTATTCTTTCTGGCCATCTGATCTCCAGTAGCGAGCGTAAGCAGTTGTTGATGAATGTCTGTAGTTTATTGGAAATGCCTTTCGTGACGCGCCAAGTCTCTGAACCATACAAGAGCACTGACTTGACGTTGGTGTTGAAAATCCGTATCTTGTTCCGCATGCTGAGTGCAGAAGATCTCCACACTGGTTTCAGGCTAATGAACGCCTGTCTTGCTTTTCCGATTCTGACTTTGACGTCCTCGTCCGTCCCGCCTGTAGTTGAGACAGTGCTTCCTAGATAGGTGAAGGAGGTTACTTCCTTCAAGTTTCTCCCGTTGACGGTGATTGGAGTTTGTTGTTGTTGTTGTTGACATAAAACATAATAAGAGGGGTTAAAGGAAACAAAGAAATTTCATATAACACTGAAGATAAAGATATGACACAGATGTGTGTACACTACGCAGGATGATTCCGAGTCACATCGCTTAGAGTCCCCATTTGTCATATGAACACGTGGTCATGATTTCTCGTTGTTTCGTTAAAGATGTATGTACTGTTTGTCGCCAGATTTTCAGAGTATAATTTAAACTAGCCAATATAACTAAGGAGAACCTTTTTCTAAAGCAATTTTACAGTTATATTCAGTTAAATTATTGTATAAATAATCATTTTACCTGTTCAGTATCATCATTCACTTTAACTTTTTTCGACTTCAAATTCTGTTCAACTGGTTGTGGAGCCGGACGTTTCCGATTTTCCCTTTTGACAGAAAGAAAACCAAAACAATACTGATGAAGAAGTAAATAATGACTGTAAGACTTGCAGATCATTGAAAAATTTCGGAATGCAATAAATAAAACATATTGGGTTGGTATTTACGGACTGAAATCAGTTGGAGGAACACTGGAAACCTGGAATAATTAGACAGCGTTATACCGTGAACCGATAGAAGTAGGAAATATGGACCACTGGGTTCCGACCCAGTGGCTTAATGGTAACGTCCTGGCCACGGGACCTGAGGGTCCTAGGTTCGATCCCTGGCGGGGTCATGGATGCGCGCTGCTGAGGAGTCCCGTAAGACAAGTGGGACGAAACAGCTGTTCAGTGCTCCCAGGTTCCCAATGTTCCCTTAACTGACGTCACTTCATGATGAATTCCAATTTAAAATCAAGTAATAAACCTCCAAAAACCTCCAGATAGAAATAAAACATGTATCAGACAAACAAGGAAACATGTATTGGACAAAGTTGAAATACACTACAAGAGTCAAGAAAGGAAGAACAACACGCAGAATAACAGACGGTAAAAATTTGCAGAAAGCAGAGAGTACACGTATCCTTGAGATAACGAATCATGCTACTTAAAATATCATTTATAAACGAATCACTGAAGGCTTCAGTTTAGACAAACATTTTAACTCATAACTAAAAGTAACAACCACAGTGATCAGATGGTAAAAAAAAACAATGTAAAACTTGTCCCTTTAACAACAGTATTATGTGAATCATACCATTCAAGAATGTGAACCACTGAATCAAGGGTCTCATTTTTTCCAATGCCTATCCTTCCTATCCATAAATCACCAGTAGTATATATTTATTCTGATCACAATTGAACACCTTCCAGTTATCCATACCTACACAGTTTCTATGGTATCCACCAAAAGTTTTCATCTCGACTCTTATTTATTTCGCTTATTGAAACGATACAGTAAAAGAGACGTAAAGATATTGCAACGACGATGCCGCGAACTAATAAGATATAAGGGTTTCACAGCAAACAAAACGTTTATCTCCGTTGTAGCTTTTTTTGAAGACATTAGAAATAACTTACATGCGATTTATCCCTTGACTTCGCTCAACTAGTTCTAAGCGGTTTTTACCAAGCAAATGTAGTTTGTTTACTATAGGAGTGGTCCGTGTTGGTGCCACATCTAATAATGAAATGACGGAGCACGTTCACCATTCCACTCAATTGGAAAGTTGAATCAACCTTGATGGGTCAGTGAACAACTAAATTTCTGCATGAACACAAACCTCCGCTAGGCTTTTGCTAACTTACGCCATTTAAGTTGCTGGTGTGATATTCAAAGGACTATTCAGGATCAAGTGTACTGTTGCATGGGCATTGAAAGTGAAGTATATGAGAACAGTTCAAGTGTTCGACCACTGTTAACCTTTGTAGTATGTGCTGTGTGCGTTGTGCTCACATGCCAGTAATACACAATTTAGGCGTACAGTTGTAGACAAAAGAGGAAAGTCAGGTGATGATGTTGTATATCTTTACCAACTCCAATGGCTGAGACGTGAGTTATGCACGCCTGATCACCGTATGCTTCGATGTGCAGTGTTAGCTGATGTAGGTTTTGCATAGAAAACGGTCAAGGAAGTCAAACTGAAACATAACGCATCAGCCAATGAAGCCTCTGAGTGTCGGTCTGCGCCGTTTAAGGAAATATAGACTCTATGGTTAGCGTCGGCATGACTGCTCAAATCTGTATCCCTCCTTTGTCTCACTTTATGATTTTCGCCTATTCCTGATTATTTTCTCCCTTATTGCTCTACCTCTCATCTTGTTGTTCTTTACCCTAAGGTGCTGATATGACGCATGTCAACTTGAACCCTAACGGCATAATCCCATGTTTCACTAGGGAATTGAATGAGCGAATTGGTAAGGTGAACGGTGACTGGACAGTTCATTGGTTTCATTCTTACGTTCCTCTGGGTTTGTAAATATAAGCATAACACTAGGTAGGATAACAGAGAATTTCACGACTATTTACCAGTGAACAGAAGTCCATGTGCTATTCATAAAAACCACGGAAAAAGGACTCTCCATTTGGGTAAATAGATTAGTTTCGGTACTTCGTTGGGAATTGGATGACCTGATAGTCAAAATGTATTAAATGTTTACTAGAGAGAAGATTATTAGCGTATATGTAGCCAGGAGTCGGCTCAAATTGCGTGAAAATATATCTGTGATTTATACAGAAGAAAACTAGCAGGTTAACAGAAGAGGCGAGGCGGCGAAGAAAGGACTTTCTTCAGGTGAACGCAGAAAAGACTGAGGTGATGAAGACAACCAACCAACAACGAGCACCAGTCACTAATAAACGGGAAGAATTAAAAAAAGTTGTTTTTCACCATCCTAGCATGGCTAACTAGCTTACTCGTTACTAGCCGGTCCTAAAACCGGGTATACAGGGAAGCTTGGGCATAGCGCTACCAACCACACACAGTAAAACCAATCGACTCGTTAAAATAACTTCAAAGCACAAACAAAATATAAAAATTAAAATAAAAGGACTCTTCGCTGGGATCAGGGAGACGAAATGACATCGATTGGTGAAAACCTTCGGGAAGACAACTCGCCAATGTGTCTTCACCTCTCTCAATGAATGAGAAAGTAAACACGGGGACATGCAATGTCAGCACCACCAGCAAGGCAGCCCACATTGCAAACGAGATGAGAAGCTATCACATTGAAGTGCTTGGAATTTGCGAAAGCAGATGGTATGCAAGTGTACTCTCTCACCTGTCAACTGCAGAGTCCATAATCTACTCCGATATTGTCACCCACACGACAACCAACAGCACACTGAGTTATGGAGTGGCTATCATCATGTCCCCAACAACATCGATGGCTCTCTCTCTCATGCACTGGGAACCAATCTCCTCATGCAGGATCAGGATCATGACAGCAAGGTTCAACTCAAAAGGAAGGAAGGTCACAATCATACAATCATACTACGCTACGCACCTACAAATAATGCACAGCAAGAGAAAAAGGAGCAATTCTACAGACAACTCCAATCAACACTGCACAAGACCCCACCTCAGTTGGCAATATCGAAATTCTAATGGGTGGGATGACATGAATGCCAAACTGGGAGCACAAAACACACGAAGACAACTAACCATGGGTAGAGAAGCACTCCTATGTGAAATGAACGAGAACGCAGAACTGTCTCCAGAATTCTGTGCATTCAACAATTTGTTGATCACAGGCACTGTGTTCAAACACAAGGATATCCACAAAGTGAACAACACGGATTTCACCAGACACCAGGACACACTACACTAAAAATCAGATCGACTTCATCTCAATGTGAAGAAAGTGGAAATGCAGCCCACTAGACACAAAATCAGATCAAGAAGGGTAGCAGATGTAGGTTCACACCACTATCTAGTGCAACGAACCTGACTTCAAAATCAAGTTGAAAACCTTCAAGGAAGCTGGTGATAGACCACAGTTCAAGTTCAACACCCACAACAGAACAGAAACTGAAGGACAAAAATGCAAAGAAAATCTACACATCGGACAGTCATCAAGACAAAATCGGAGATCTCGAGCAACATCCCTGAAAAAACCTGTGTGGATGAACACTGGAAGTCTTTGAAAGAGATGTGGAAAGAAACCTGCACAGCCGTATTACGAAGGAAGAAGAAGAGATAAGACAAGGAATGCATCTCCACGGACACATGGAAGCTGATAGAGCAGGGACAGGAGGATGATGAAACAGAAGATAAACCAGTGCAAGGATGCACAACGACAACAGGAACTGAGTACAATGTATAAAACACTACACAGTGAAGAAGAGTCCACGCAAAGACAAAACACACTTCTACGACACATTCGCAAGTGAAGCAGAACAGCCTGCAGGTAAGAGAGACATGACAACATTCTATCAAATAACCAGCTTACTATCTGAAAGAGAAGAGATCAACACACATGAAACCAATAAAAGATGATGAAGGAAATATCATCACCAAAGGAGAGAAACAAACGAAACGATGGACTGACCACTTCGAAAACCTCTTGAATCCAACACCACCACCACCACCACCACCACCTGCACTTCGTCCACAAATACCACCAGTACACCAGCCACACAACTACCAGTCAACATAAATCCAAATCCTACAACAAAAGTCGAAGTCCTAAGCGCCATAAAGCTACTGAAATGTGGGAAAGCAGCATCACCACCACCAAGTGGAATCCCGCCACAAGCACTGAAAACAGACGCACAGACAACAGCCACAGACATGCTCACACCACTACTGCACAAGGTCTGGAAGGAAGGGAAGGTACCTGCCAACTGATTGGAAGAAGGGCTACCTACTTTCTCAAACTCCCATAGAGGGACGACCTAAGTCTTTGCAAGAACTGGCGCAGAAGCACGCTCCTGTCCACCCAAAGCAAGCAAAATATTAGGCCGCATCATCCTGGAGAGACTAAATGATGCACTGGATTCAAAACTACGACCGGAACAGGCTGGCTGGCTGGCTGGCTCGCTGGCTTCAGGAAGTACAAATCATGTGCCGACCAAATTGCTACGCTACTCTATCCACCATCATATAACAGAGCGTAGAATGGCAGTCAACTCAACTCTACCTCAACTTCATCGACTTTGGAAAGGACTTCGACAGCGTAGACTGACCGACAAGTAATTTGGCAGGCAGCCGCTTCAACACTACGGAATACCACTAGTCTTTATCAACCTCATTCAACAACTATATGAAGACGCCACATACCAGACAAGTAATTCACAATCGGAAGCTCAGTGATGCCTTCGAAGTGAAGACAGGAGTGAAACAAGGTTGCCTACTATCACCCATGATATTCTTGATTGTGTTGGTCGACTGGATCATGCAACAAACTGTGAGGGGCGAGAAGAAGGGGATACGCTGGCTGGACCGCGGAAAACACCCCAGAAGAAGATTTGGATTTCGCCGATGACTTGTTTTGATGTCACACAAATTCGAAGATCTACGGGCGAAAACTAACAAGTTGACAGAAGAGGTGAGGCAGCGAAGACGGGACTTCAAGTGAGTGTAGAGAAGACAGAGGTGATGAAGATACCCAACCAATAACACCAACAATAACAACAAGCTCCAATGACCATCAATAGGAGAATCCTAAAGGAAGAAGTCTCTTTCACCTACTCACCTACCTAGGTGGCACTGTTTCAACTACAGGCGACGGCATGGACGAGGACGTCAATACCAGGATCGGAAAAACAGCAAGACAGGCCTTTCTGCAATAACCTCAAACCAGTGTGGAGATCTTCTGCACTCCTCAGCATTAAGAGTCAACAACACCCGGATTTTCAACACCAATACCAGTCAAATCAGTGCTTCTGTATGGCTCACAGACTTGGAGCGTTACAAAAGGCATTTCCAACAAACTACAAACATTCATCAACAACTGCCCCCTACGCTGGCTCGATACTGACACTGAAGATCAGATCAGATGGCCAGAATAATCAGAATAAACAACAAGGAACTCTGACTGACTGGCAACGAACCAACCAGAAGCTATCGCTCAACAAATTTGCAGAAGGAAGTGGAGATGGATTGGATTGGGCATACACCGAGAAGGCCAACTGGGAACATCACGCGTCAGGCCAGGCACTCAAGTGGAATCCAGATGGGAAACAAGTTGGGCGTCCCAGGTGAGGGTGACATGGAGGAGATGGTTCGAGGAGGAAACGAGAGCTTGTGGGCTGTTGTGTAGCCAGGTCCAAAAGATTTCAGAGAACAGGGCGCATTGGAGACATGCTACTGAAGCCCTATGTCCCACTAGAAACTCAAGGGATAAAGAAGAAAAATAATAAAAGGTCTCTTTCATGTACCTTCCTAGCAGCATCGTCTCAACTACAGGCGGCACAGGCACAGATGAGGACGTCAAAGCCAGGATCGGAAAGACAAGACAAGTCTTCATTAATCTGAAACCAGAGTGGAGATCTACTGTACTGTACTGCATTCCGCATAAAGCGTGAGCGAGATCCGGATTTTTAACACCAATGTCAAGTCAGTGCATCCATGTGATGGTTGAGAGACTTGGTGGCGCGTTAAGAAAAGCACTTCCAACAAACTACAGACATTCATCAACAGCTGTGCCTACGCTCCCTCGATACTGAAGATCAGATCAGAAGGCCAAAAAGAACAAGCAAGGAGGAAGTCTGGCTGGCTAGCAACGAACCAACCAATAACCCATCGCCCAACAAACATGCAGAAGAAAGTGGAGATGGATTGGATTGGACATACACTGAGAAGACCATTCGGGGACATCACGAGCCAGACCCCCAAGTGGAACCCAAAGGGGAAACGACGAGTTGGGCGTTCGAGTTTGACGTAGGGGAGATCGTGTGAGGATGAAATGAAAACTTATTGGCAGTTGTGGAGTCAGGTTCAAAAGACTGCAGAGAACAGAGTGAAATGGTGACGTGCCACTGAAGCCCTATGTTCCACTAGGAACCCAAGGGATAAATAATAGTGCACTTCTCTCCCTATGAGAAAGTATGGTATGAGCCTTTAGTTGACGTTTGGTTTTGAATACGATGTGATGGGGTATTGTGTTCACCATAAGGATTGAAGGTTGTAGGCTTGATCCACCGCAATACAGTGAGTGGGCAGTGCTGAAGAGTCACAAACTAGGATGAAACAAGCCCTTCAGTGGTTCCAGGTTTTCAATAGGTTTCCAAATGGTGTCAGTTCATGATGGAATATCATCTTGTTGGGAACATTCCTGCTGATTCTCACGCATTTAACCATTGTATATGGTTAATCATTTTTTTTGTACAGTACGTATTCCGTGCCAGAAAAATTTTTGGACGGCATAGTTGCCCAGCGGCATTGTTGAGATTCTTTTATAATTTTGACATGACTTGTTGTTTGATAGTATCACGAATTTACCACAAATCTATCACAGATTTGTCACGTCAAATCATTTTTTAATATTGTTGAAACATAATCTTTGACTGTGCGTGACTCAAGGAATTTTGGGAAACTATAGAGTAGAACGCAGTAACTCATCTGGATCCCATTAGCCTGGTTACGTTGAATTGTCTCCTGCGTTCGGATGGAAATAATTTTTTTCGGTCGTGTGTTTTCGACGACTGTTAAGCCATTCCACTTCCCGAAAAACTTATATTTACTAGCTTTATAATGCACAGTAATTCTCACTATCACAGTAGGAAAATTCATTTAGCATATAACAAATCAAATTTTTAAGACATTTAGTAAAATAAAGAACTGTGAAAAACCAAAGACAGAAAGCTGGTGTAAATGTCAAGAAGATACATTTAGAAAACAAGACAAACTGGCAGAATAAACTTTATGATCTGGACTGCTTTTAACATTCTCTTAAGATCAACGATGTCAGTAAACAAAAGAAGGCTTTTAACGTCTGATAATAGAACAGAAGATAACAAAAGACCGCCTACAAACTTGTCTTCATAAAAAGTAACAAATATATGGGCGAAAGAAAAGACAACTTTAAAAACAGCTACATGTGTCTTGGTCGTATTGTGTTCACTGAGCTGAGCTACTTAGTCGTGGAGCTTTCATCGTCTTTCTAGACGACATCTTCAGCACTAACTTCAAAATCATACGAGCGTAACAAGCCACAAGTATCCTTCTGATATACTGTTTATTTATACTGGATGATGACTGAAGGTGAAATGGAAACTTGGACCGCAGCCGGATTCGAACTAGCGATCACTGGGTTCCCAGTCCGATGATAGCTGGTTCAAATCCAAATTTCCACTTGATCTTCAATCATCACTCAGTATAAATACTAGTCTGTCAAACCACGGCTATCTCAGATAGTCAAGTGATAATATTGTTCATTATTTCTGGAAAGACCCATCGACAAGTACTTGAGAAACACTGTTTAACGAAATCTCCACTCATAAAAAAACAATTTCATGCAATTAAACAAAAAGAAATACATTAGAGAAGACTACACCTATAGACCACCATAAAAAGAGAACAAACACAACCGGAATATGTAAGATGAGAATAAGATACAAGAACATACTTCGAGATTTCAGCGTACGAAATTTGAATCGCCTCTCGATCCACAGCGGGCAGCTTCCGAAATCCTGTCAGTCTACAATAGGGAAACACAATATTAACACATACTCCAAAATCGAACACACTAAACACAAATCACAATAAGTATATACATACCAATCACGAAAAATCAGCGTAGAACCTCGCAAACAAGCGAATCCATTCCAGTTGCCACACTTTACAGCACCATGCGAAGAACAGGTTGATAGAGAAAGTGTAATATCCAAGTACACAAAGTATATGCGAGGATAAAGAATACAAAAGGGCAGGTGACTGAAAATAATCAGGTTTTAGATGTCAAACAGTAAATACATCTGTGCCATTGCGATCGATTTAAACTTTGAGCAAGAGTTCACAAACACCGATTTCGCAAAAAGAACAGTTAGTCCTCGAATGCAAAGAACCGAAAACTACTCCACGCCAACCAGACTCCTTTTCACGATGACTGATGTCCCATCTGGGTGCCCTCAATTCTCACCGCAATACTAAACCCAAAACGCCAGAGAGAACGTAAATGCAGGCAGGAGTCAGAAAATTTTAGGTTGAAAATTCACTTAACCGGCCATTACAAACACAAGACAAAACCTCACACGTCAGGCGCGAAAAAAGGTTCACACCTCACACAGTCCCTTAAGCCAGCAACACGGACCCATAAAACACCAACCACACCAAGAAACAAACACTACAAACACAGTAACCACAAACAATCGTCACGAAATATTCAGCAAACCAAAAAATAACACATAACAGACATCCAAAAAACAAAACGCAAACAAGACAAAGCCTAAACCCAAAAACAAACCGCAAACCAGACTTCTCCTACGAATCGACCAAGCCACAAAAATAAAACACGTTAAATAAAAATCCAACCACCAACAAACAACCGACCACGAGGAGGCGCAACACACATTACAAACTACAACACTCACACATTATAATAACACACTCACAACACACAAACCACACCACAACACAACACAACACCACACCACACAACTTCCACACTCAGTCACCACCAAAACATAACAACACACTAAACCTCTCTCACACAGGTCTCACATACACCATCACACCCACACCAGTCATCAAAGTAAAAACACCTTCACAACACTTCGCACCTTCACCACCAACTGTCACCAACAAACTGCTCACTGACGAACACGTCACGTAGACCCAAAACAAACAATAACACCGAACAATGTCGCCTACATATCGGCCTCTGTGATCGATACTCGCAATACACAGAGTCTGAGTGTAGTCAAATCAATATAAGCCATCATCACTACTGCCGGTTCAGACACAAAAACAAGCAGCTCGGCTCAGGCTCAATACACATACAAAATTACAACACAACACACACCGTTATGACACACTCACACACAACACACATCACACAACACCAAACAGCACCACACCACACCCAAACACACCACACAACACCACATCACACCACAATCAAACACACCGCATCACACCACACCACACCACACCACAACACACCACACCACAATCAAACACACCACACCACACCACACCACACAACACAACACAACACAACACAACACCACACCACACCACACCACACAACACAACACAACACAACACCACACCACACCACACAACTTCCACACTCAGTCACCACCAAAACATAACAACACACTAAACCTCTCTCACACAGGTCTCACATACACCATCACACCCACACCAGTCATCAAAGTAAAAACACCTTCACAACACTTCGCACCTTCACCACCAACTGTCACCAACAAACTGCTCACTGACGAACACGTCACGTAGACCCAAAACAAACAATAACACCGAACAATGTCGCCTACATATCGGCCTCTGTGATCGATACTCGCAATACACAGAGTCTGAGTGTAGTCAAATCAATATAAGCCATCATCACGACTGCCGGTTCAGACACAAAAACAAGCAGCTCGGCTCAGGCTCAATACACATCCAAAATTACAACACAACACATACCATTATGACACACTCACACAAAACAACACAACACAAGACAACACCGCAACACATCACACCACAACACAACACAACAGAACACATCACAAGAAAACAGAACACATAGCAACACAAAACACAACACCACACCACACCACACGACACCACATCACACGACACTACAACACACCACACCGCAAAACACAAGACAACACACCACATCACAACACAACACACCACAACACACAACACAACACAAGAAAATACAACACACCACACACAAACAAAGCCATACCACAACACACCACAACACACCACAATCAAACACAGCACAACACAACACGACACAAAATACAACACAACACCACATCACACCACACCACACCACACCACACAACTTCCACACTCAGTCACCACCAAAACACATAACAACACACTAAACCTCTCTCACACAGGTCTCACATACACCATCACACCCACACCAGTCATCAAAGTAAAAACACCTTCACAACACTTCGCACCTTCACCACCAACTGTCACCAACAAACTGCTCACTGACGAACACGTCACGTAGACCCAAAACAAACAATAACACCGAACAATGTCGCCTACATATCGGCCTCTGTGATCGATACTCGCAATACACAGAGTCTGAGTGCAGTAAAATCAATATAAGCCATCATCACGACTGCCGGTTCAGACACAAAAGCAAGCAGCTCGGCTCAGGCTCAATACACATCCAAAATTACAACACAACACACACCGTTATGACACACTCACACACAACACAACACAACACACATCACACAACACCACACCACACCAACGACAACACACTACACCCAAACACACCACACAACACCACATCACACCACAATCAAACACACCGCATCACACCGCACCGCACCACACCACACCACACCACACCACACCACACCACACCACACCACACCACACCACACCACACCACACCACACCACACCACACCACACCACACAACTTCCACACTCAGTCACCACCAAAACAAAACAACACACTAAACCTCTCTCACACAGGTCTCACATACACCATCACACCCACACCAGTCATCAAAGTAAAAACACCTTCACAACACTTCGCACCTTCACCACCAACTGTCACCAACAAACTGCTCACTGACGAACACGTCACGTAGACACAAAACAAACAATAACACCGAACAATGTCGCCTACATATCGGCCTCTGTGATCGATACTCGCAATACACAGAGTCTGAGTGTAGTCAACTCAATATAAGCCATCATCACTACTGCCGGTTCAGACACAAAAGCAAGCAGCTCGGCTCAGGCTCAATACACATCCAAAATTACAACACAACACACACCGTTATGACACACTCACACATAACACAACACAACACCAAACTACACGACACTACAACACACCACACCCAAACGCACCACACCACACAACGGAACACGACACCACACAACACAACACAACACAACACCACACCACACCACACAACTTCCACACTCAGTCACCACCAAAACACAACAACACACTAAACCTCTCTCACACAGGTCTCACATACACCATCACACCCACACCAGTCATCAAAGTAAAAACACCTTCACAACACTTCGCACCTTCACCACCAACTGTCACCAACAAACTGCTCACTGACGAACACGTCACGTAGACACAAAACAAACAATAACACCGAACAATGTCGCCTACATATCGGCCTCTGTGATCGATACTCGCAATACACAGAGTCTGAGTGTAGTCAAATCAATATAAGCCATCATCACTACTGCCGGTTCAGACACAAAAACAAGCAGCTCGGCTCAGGCTCAATACACATACAAAATTACAACACAACACATACCATTATGACACACTCACACACAACACAACACAAGACAACACACATCACACAACACAAAACACCACCACACCACACCACACGACACCACATCACACGACACTACAACACACCACACCACAATCAAACACACCACATCACAACACAACACACCACAACACAACACAACACAAGAAAATACAACACACCACACCACAGCACACCACACCACACAACACAAACACAACACACCACACCACATCACACCACACCACACCACACCACACAACTTCCACACTCAGTCACCACCAAAACACATAACAACACACTAAACCTCTCTCACACAGGTCTCACATACACCATCACACCCACACCAGTCATCAAAGTAAAAACACCTTCACAACACTTCGCACCTTCACCACCAACTGTCACCAACAAACTGCTCACTGACGAACACGTCACGTAGACACAAAACAAACAATAACACCGAACAATGTCGCCTACATATCGGCCTCTGTGATCGATACTCGCAATACACAGAGTCTGAGTGTAGTCAACTCAATATAAGCCATCATCACTACTGCCGGTTCAGACACGAAAAAACAAGCAGCTCGGCTCAGGCTCAATACACATCCAAAATTACAACACAACACACACCGTTATGACACACTCACACATAACACAACACAACACCAAACTACACGACACTACAACACACCACACCCAAACGCACCACACCACACAACGGAACACGACACAACACAACACAACACCACACCACACCACACAACTTCCACACTCAGTCACCACCAAAACATAACAACACACTAAACCTCTCTCACACAGGTCTCACATACACCATCACACCCACACCAGTCATCAAAGTAAAAACACCTTCACAACACTTCGCACCTTCACCACCAACTGTCACCAACAAACTGCTCACTGACGAACACGTCACGTAGACCCAAAACAAACAATAACACCGAACAATGTCGCCTACATATCGGCCTCTGTGATCGATACTCGCAATACACAGAGTCTGAGTGTAGTCAAATCAATATAAGCCATCATCACTACTGCCGGTTCAGACACAAAACAAGCAGCTCGGCTCAGGCTCAATACACATCCAAAATTACAACACAACACACACCGTTATGACACACTCACACACAACACACATCACACAACACCAAACAGCACCACACCACACCCAAACACACCACACAACACCACATCACACCACACAACACCACATCACACCACAATCAAACACACCGCATCACACCGCACCACACCACACCACACCACACCACACCACACCACACCACACCACACCACACCACACCACACCACACCACACCACACCACACCACACCACACCACACCACACCACACAACTTCCACACTCAGTCACCACCAAAACATAACAACACACTAAACCTCTCTCACACAGGTCTCACATACACCATCACACCCACACCAGTCATCAAAGTAAAAACACCTTCACAACACTTCGCACCTTCACCACCAACTGTCACCAACAAACTGCTCACTGACGAACACGTCACGTAGACACAAAACAAACAATAACACCGAACAATGTCGCCTACATATCGGCCTCTGTGATCGATACTCGCAATACACAGAGTCTGAGTGTAGTCAAATCAATATAAGCCATCATCACTACTGCCGGTTCAGACACAAAAACAAGCAGCTCGGCTCAGGCTCAATACACATCCAAAATTACAACACAACACACACCGTTATGACACACTCACACACAACACAACACACACCACACAACACCAAACAGCACCACACCACACCCAAACACACCACACAACACCACATCACACCACAATCAAACACACCGCATCACACCACACCACAACACACCACAATCAAACACACCACACCACACCACACAACACAACACAACACAACACCACACCACACCACACCACACAACACAACACAACACCACACCACACCACACAACTTCCACACTCAGTCACCACCAAAACATAACAACACACTAAACCTCTCTCACACAGGTCTCACATACACCATCACACCCACACCAGTCATCAAAGTAAAAACACCTTCACAACACTTCGCACCTTCACCACCAACTGTCACCAACAAACTGCTCACTGACGAACACGTCACGTAGACCCAAAACAAACAATAACACCGAACAATGTCGCCTACATATCGGCCTCTGTGATCGATACTCGCAATACACAGAGTCTGAGTGTAGTCAAATCAATATAAGCCATCATCACTACTGCCGGTTCAGACACAAAAACAAGCAGCTCGGCTCAGGCTCAATACACATCCAAAATTACAACACAACACATACCATTATGACACACTCACACAAAACAACACAACACAAGACAACACCGCAACACATCACACCACAACACAACACAACAGAACACATCACAAGAAAACAGAACACATAGCAACACAAAACACAACACCACACCACACCACACGACACCACATCACACGACACTACAACACACCACACCGCAAAACACAAGACAACACACCACATCACAACACAACACACCACAACACACAACACAACACAAGAAAATACAACACACCACACACAAACAAAGCCATACCACAACACACCACAACACACCACAATCAAACACAGCACAACACAACACGACACAAAATACAACACAACACCACATCACACCACACCACACCACACCACACAACTTCCACACTCAGTCACCACCAAAACACATAACAACACACTAAACCTCTCTCACACAGGTCTCACATACACCATCACACCCACACCAGTCATCAAAGTAAAAACACCTTCACAACACTTCGCACCTTCACCACCAACTGTCACCAACAAACTGCTCACTGACGAACACGTCACGTAGACCCAAAACAAACAATAACACCGAACAATGTCGCCTACATATCGGCCTCTGTGATCGATACTCGCAATACACAGAGTCTGAGTGCAGTCAAATCAATATAAGCCATCATCACTACTGCCGGTTCAGACACAAAAACAAGCAGCTCGGCTCAGGCTCAATACACATCCAAAATAACAACACAACACACACCGTTATGACACACTCACACACCACACAACACCACATCACACCACAATCAAACACACCGCATCACGCCGCACCGCACCACACCACACCACACCACACCACACCACACCACACCACACAACTTCCACACTCAGTCACCACCAAAACAAAACAACACACTAAACCTCTCTCACACAGGTCTCACATACACCATCACACCCACACCAGTCATCAAAGTAAAAACACCTTCACAACACTTCGCACCTTCACCACCAACTGTCACCAACAAACTGCTCACTGACGAACACGTCACGTAGACCCAAAACAAACAATAACACCGAACAATGTCGCCTACATATCGGCCTCTGTGATCGATACTCGCAATACACAGAGTCTGAGTGTAGTCAAATCAATATAAGCCATCATCACTACTGCCGGTTCAGACACAAAAGCAAGCAGCTCGGCTCAGGCTCAATACACATCCAAAATTACAACACAACACACACCGTTATGACACACTCACACACAACACAACACAACACAACACACATCACACAACACCAAAGAGCACCACACCACACCACACCACACCACACCCAAACACACCACACAACACCACATCACACCACAATCAAACACACCGCATCACACCACACCACACCACACCACACCACACCACACCACAACACACCACACCACAATCAAACACACCACACCACACAACACAACACAACACAACACAACACCACACAACTTCCACACTCAGTCACCACCAAAACACATAACAACACACTAAACCTCTCTCACACAGGTCTCACATACACCATCACACCCACACCAGTCATCAAAGTAAAAACACCTTCACAACACTTCGCACCTTCACCACCAACTGTCACCAACAAACTGCTCACTGACGAACACGTCACGTAGACACAAAACAAACAATAACACCGAACAATGTCGCCTACATATCGGCCTCTGTGATCGATACTCGCAATACACAGAGTCTGAGTGTAGTCAAATCAATATAAGCCATCATCACTACTGCCGGTTCAGACACAAAAACAAGCAGCTCGGCTCAGGCTCAATACACATCCAAAATTACAACACAACACACACCGTTATGACACACTCACACACAACACAACACACACCACACAACACCAAACAGCACCACACCACACCCAAACACACCACACAACACCACATCACACCACAATCAAACACACCGCATCACACCACACCACACCACACCACAACACACCACAATCAAACACACCACACCACACCACACCACACCACACCACACCACACCACACCACACCACACCACACCACACCACACCACACCACACCACACCACACCACACCACACCACACCACACAACTTCCACACTCAGTCACCACCAAAACATAACAACACACTAAACCTCTCTCACACAGGTCTCACATACACCATCACACCCACACCAGTCATCAAAGTAAAAACACCTTCACAACACTTCGCACCTTCACCACCAACTGTCACCAACAAACTGCTCACTGACGAACACGTCACGTAGACCCAAAACAAACAATAACACCGAACAATGTCGCCTACATATCGGCCTCTGTGATCGATACTCGCAATACACAGAGTCTGAGTGTAGTCAAATCAATATAAGCCATCATCACGACTGCCGGTTCAGACACAAAAACAAGCAGCTCGGCTCAGGCTCAATACACATCCAAAATTACAACACAACACACACCGTTATGACACACTCACACATAACACAACACAACACCAAACTACACGACACTACAACACACCACACCCAAACGCACCACACCACACAACGGAACACGACACAACACCACACCACACCACACCACACAACTTCCACACTCAGTCACCACCAAAACATAACAACACACTAAACCTCTCTCACACAGGTCTCACATACACCATCACACCCACACCAGTCATGAAAGGAAAAACACTATCACAACACTTCGCACCTTCACCACGTATTGTCATTATCTCACGGATTGGTATTGAATAATGCTCGGAGAGTAAAATGTATGTTTGAAAGGAAGTTGGTTGCGGTTTTGGAAGATTTTATGGGGCGTCAATTAGCATTGGTTAATGTTTTTGGATTTCTTGCATGTTTTACGTAGTTATTTGCGCAGTATTTGACAACACGTATATTCATAGGTGGTTTTCTGGGCGGTTGTGATTATATTGGCTGAGGGAGATTGCATGGGTGTTTGGTACATACTATTTTCAGTCATGTGGTGGGATGTATTCTGAACGGATTATTCAGGGGTTTACAATGTTTTATAACTGAAGAAAATGGAAGGTGGACAGAAGTAACAGGTTTTATCTCGGACGTCAGACTTCTGATATCTAGCTTTAATTTATGAAGCCAAGATTTTGCCGGATAGTTTTACAAATATTTAGCGCCAAGTGAAAAGCTGACATTAGATGTAAGTTTTACTTTGACCAATTTCAGGGTTTTTAAAATAAGAAATTCCAACGTTCAGCAGGGAAGTCTGGTCCCTGAAGAATCTCGAAGCGAGCAGAACGTCGAAATTTCTTATTTTGAACACGCTGAGATTGGTCTAAATAAGACTTAAGTTTAGGGTAATGTTTTTTTAAATTTTATCAATGAAATAAAACATATGTGTGAATGAAAATGCAGTATATTGGAAGTTCCATAGACCTGGCTTCTACTTTTTTCCAAGTTAGAATGACGGTGAACTATAGTTTTAAGAGTGTGCTTAGTGTAATTCTAGACGGCTGTCTGTACATAGATGTGTAGTTTGCAGTTCGAAAACAATGAAATTAAAATGATAACTTACTGAGAAATATCTTCTGGGCAATCATTACTTTTTAGGAAGCAAGAGAGATGGCACATGAAGATAGGTTTCTTACCAGACTCACACACTGTATGACGTTCCTGTGATGAAATGAAATTATCATTAGAGTTTATAAAGGAAATTCATTGAGCACAAAAGTAGTAAAAGCCAAACACTACTTGGTAATATATAGATGTCAATCACTTAATGAATCTTGAAAAAGACAATTACTATTACACTCACTCAGTAAAAGTGACCAGTGACCAGTTGGTGATTTTAATCAGCATTTAATCCACCTACTTCTGGAGGAAACTCTCCAACTTCTGCATGAAAGCAAGCTTTACTGAAAAATCTCTTACAGAGCAAGGACAGACAATTAAACGTAGAAGTTTTCAAAAAGTTCAATCCAAGTTGTCACAACACAACAGCGTCCAAAGAAGGAGTCAACCACGTACCCTTAAGGGAGTAAGTCAATGGCTGGTAGGATTGAGGGCACTTAAGGTTGCATCCCCATTAGCGGATCTATTCGAAAAATAAATAAGGATGGTGATAGTGAACAATCTTGACAGACACCACTAGTTCCCATCGTATATATTACTTCAAATTACTCTTCTTGTATTTCTTCTGATTATTAAAATGTCATGAAATCGTAAAACGTACTCTCGCACATCATTAAAATGTCTCCAACTTATCATCCCACAAATAAATAACAAAATTTAGAAAAATATCATGGTAGATGGAAGTAGGCTCTTGAGTTCACAACAGTTCATCACATATCTATTACATAGATAGTTAGCAGCAACTGCAAATCTTTATGCTGCCTAAATAATCCTCGACCACTAAACCTACGGGTGCTTTTCTACTCATCCCCCTATGCAACAATATACCACAAACTAGACGATAACCTAAAAATAACTGATCGTTGTGTATTATTGCTTATCATACTGTTATAATTTACACTATTTAACTGAGATGGTTATTCAGTTTGAAAATACCGTACAAGAAGTAAAGTTTTTGAAACATCAAACTGAAAACTCCACATTGTATAAAAAAGTATTGTCTGGAATAAAGTGATTATTGTCAATGTTATGTTATTACTTGTCGTCAATTCACATGAAAATTTTCTGAAACCATTATATGGCTGTCTGAGTTCGAGTAGATAGCCTTAATTGGCGTAATATACTCTCTCCTTACTCTTCTCAAACCTCCCCTGATTAACTAGTTTACTAGTTACTAGCCGGTCCTAAAACCGGGTATACAGGGAAGCTTGGGCATAGCGCTACCAACCACACACAGTAAAACCAATCGACTCGTTAAAATAACTTCAAAGCACAAACAAAATATAAAAAATTAAAATAAAAGGACTCTTCGCTGGAATCAGGGAGACGAAATGACATCGATTGGTGAAAACCTTCGGGAAGACAACTCGCCAATGTGTCTTCACCTCTCTCGATGAATGAGAAAGTAAACACGGGGACATGCAATGTCAGCACCACCAGCAAGGCAGCCCACATTGCAAACGAGGTGAGAAGCTATCACATTGAAGTGCTTGGAATTTGCGAAAGCAGATGGTATGCAAGTGTACTCTCTCACCTGTCAACTGCAGAGTCCATAATCTACTCCGATATTGTCACCCACACGACAACCAACAGCACACTGAGTTATGGAGTGGCTATCATCATGTCCCCAACAACATCGATGGCTCTCTCTCTCTCATGCACTGGGAACCAATCTCCTCATGCAGGATCAGGATCATGACAGCAAGGTTCAACTCAAAAGGAAGGAAGGTCACAATCATACAATCATACTACGCTACGCACCTACAAATAATGCACAGCAAGAGAAAAAGGAGCAATTCTACAGACAACTCCAATCAACACTGCACAAGACCCCACCTCAGTTGGCAATATCGAAATTCTAATGGGTGGGATGACATGAATGCCAAACTGGGAGCACAAAACACACGAAGACAACTAACCATGGGTAGAGAAGCACTCCTATGTGAAATGAACGAGAACGCAGAACTGTCTCCAGAATTCTGTGCATTCAACAATTTGTTGATCACAGGCACTGTGTTCAAACACAAGGATATCCACAAAGTGAACAACACGGATTTCACCAGACACCAGGACACACTACACTAAAAATCAGATCGACTTCATCTCAATGTGAAGAAAGTGGAAATGCAGCCCACTAGACACAAAATCAGATCAAGAAGGGTAGCAGATGTAGGTTCACACCACTATCTAGTGCAACGAACCTGACTTCAAAATCAAGTTGAAAACCTTCAAGGAAGCTGGTGATAGACCACAGTTCAAGTTCAACACCCACAACAGAACAGAAACTGAAGGACAAAAATGCAAAGAAAATCTACACATCGGACAGTCATCAAGACAAAATCGGAGATCTCGAGCAACATCCCTGAAAAAACCTGTGTGGATGAACACTGGAAGTCTTTGAAAGAGATGTGGAAAGAAACCTGCACAGCCGTATTACGAAGGAAGAAGAAGAGATAAGACAAGGAATGCATCTCCACGGACACATGGAAGCTGATAGAGCAGGGACAGGAGGATGATGAAACAGAAGATAAACCAGTGCAAGGATGCACAACGACAACAGGAACTGAGTACAATGTATAAAACACTACACAGTGAAGAAGAGTCCACGCAAAGACAAAACACACTTCTACGACACATTCGCAAGTGAAGCAGAACAGCCTGCAGGTAAGAGAGACATGACAACATTCTATCAAATAACCAGCTTACTATCTGAAAGAGAAGAGATCAACACACATGAAACCAATAAAAGATGATGAAGGAAATATCATCACCAAAGGAGAGAAACAAACGAAACGATGGACTGACCACTTCGAAAACCTCTTGAATCCAACACCACCACCACCACCACCACCACCTGCACTTCGTCCACAAATACCACCAGTACACCAGCCACACAACTACCAGTCAACATAAATCCAAATCCTACAACAAAAGTCGAAGTCCTAAGCGCCATAAAGCTACTGAAATGTGGGAAAGCAGCATCACCACCACCAAGTGGAATCCCGCCACAAGCACTGAAAACAGACGCACAGACAACAGCCACAGACATGCTCACACCACTACTGCACAAGGTCTGGAAGGAAGGGAAGGTACCTGCCAACTGATTGGAAGAAGGGCTACCTACTTTCTCAAACTCCCATAGAGGGACGACCTAAGTCTTTGCAAGAACTGGCGCAGAAGCACGCTCCTGTCCACCCAAAGCAAGCAAAATATTAGGCCGCATCATCCTAGAGAGACTAAATGATGCACTGGATTCAAAACTACGACAGGAACTGGCTGGTTGGCTGGCTGGCTCGCTGGCTTCAGGAAGTACAAATCATGTGCCGACCAAATTGCTACGCTACTCTATCCACCATCATATAACAGAGCGTAGAATGGCAGTCAACTCAACCCTACCTCAACTTCATCGACTTTGGAAAGGACTTCGACAGCGTAGACTGACCGACAAGTAATTTGGCAGGCCGAAGCTTCAACACTACGGAATACCACTAGTCTTTATCAACCTCATTCAACAACTATATGAAGACGCCACATACCAGACAAGTAATTCACAATCGGAAGCTCAGTGATGCCTTCGAAGTGAAGACAGGAGTGAAACAAGGTTGTCTACTATCACCCATGATATTCTTGATTGTGTTCGACTTGATAATGCAACAAACTGTGAGGGGCGAGAAGAAGGGGATACGCTGGCTGGACCGCGGAAAACACCCCAGAAGAAGATTTGGATTTCGCCGATGACTTGTTTTGATGTCACACAAATTCGAAGATCTACGGGCGAAAACTAACAAGTTGACAGAAGAGGTGAGGCAGCGAAGACGGGACTTCAAGTCAATATAGAGAAGACAGAGGTGATGAAGATACCCAATCAACAACATCAACAGCAACAACAAACTCCAGTCACCATCAACGGGAGAAACTTGAAGGAAGTAGCCTCCTTCACCTATCTAGGAGGCACTGTTTCAACTACAGGCGGCACAGACGGGGATGTCAAAGTCAGAATCGGAAAAGCAAGACAGGCGTTCATTAGCCTGAAACCAATGTGGAGATCTTCTGCACTCAGCATTAAGAGTCAACAACATCCGGATTTTCAGCACCAATACCAGTCAAATCAGTGCTTCTGTATGGCTCACAGACTTGGAGCGTTACAAAAGGCATTTCCAACAAACTACACACAGTCATCAACAACTGCCCTCTACGCTGGCTTGTTACTGAAGATCAGATGGCGATAAAGAATAAGCATCAAGGAACTCTGGCTGACTGGCAACGAACCAACCAAGAAGCTATCGCTCAACAAATATGCATTGGAAGGAAGTGGAGATGGATTGGATTGGGCATACACTGAGAAGGCCGACTGGGGACATCACGCGACAGGCCAGGCACTCGAGTGGAACCCAGATGGGAAACGAGTTGGGCGTCCCAGGTGAGGGTGACATGGATGAGATCGTGCGAGGAGGAAATGAGAGCTTGTGGGCCTGTTGTGTAGCCAGGTCAAAAGACTTTAGAGAACAGAGCGCATTGGAGACGTGCTAGTGAAGCCCTATGTCCCATTAGGAACCCAAAGGACAAATAATAATAGTAATAAATAAATTACTCTTCTCAGTTAGATACCATCACAACACCTCTTGGTCAGCAAAGTGAAATGCTGCCTTCAAGTCAAGAAATGTGACAAACTTTGGAAGCCGGTAAGTATGTCTGTGTTCCAAATTTGTCAAACGGTGAAGGTCTGATCAATGCACTTTTGTCCAGGTCTGCCCGATTTTCTTGAGTTTGTTGTTCTCGAGCTGTAGTCAGTAACGGCTTACGGAGATTTGTCCTGTGAATTGACTTCAAGTAGTAGTGTCTGTCAGGGATATCCACTCATTGTATCCATTTAACTTCGTGATAGGCGTACTAATGGAAAAAACCTGAGATACATCTGACTTCACACAGATTGATCCGTTCCCTGGAGGCAATCGGGTTAACTTGGAGTATGCAGACAATATTGTCCTGCTGGGTGAAGACGAGGGAAAAATTCAGAGTCTTCTGAACGCGGTGAGTAGAAGTCTGAGTATATTTGGCATATGTTTCGCTGGCATCTGTCAAATGTAAGATGTTCCAGGACTGGTCTGTAAAGCCCTCCCAGCCTAACTACAGGGAGTGGGTTGGTTGAATAAGTCGACCACTTTACCTACTTGGGGAATTGCATTAGCTCAAAAGGGCTAGTCAGTTGCTGACGAAATCTCAGGTCGGATACATAAGGCTCGCTTGGCATTTGCTAACTTACGTCAACTATAGTGCCGATTGGCGTCATTTATGGCACCAGCGAGATATCCGACTACCTATTAAAAGACGGTTATGCTGAGCTGCAGTTCGTTTGGTGCTGTTGTACGGCTGTGAGACAGTCGCTAAAAGTAGAGGACATGAAGCGGTTACAGGGTTTTGATCCCAGACGTCTTCGTAGCATTGCTTAGGTATAAGGTGGAATCACCGTGTGAGCAATCTTGAGGTCAGAAGGAGGGTAATAGGCAAGAAAGGAAAAGTCGATTGGTGAGGTTGTGAACCACAATCGACTGACACAGCTTGGACATCTACTACGCATAATGAGCCACTGACTACGATGATGTGCAATGCCAGAGGAATTTGGATTAGGTTGGAAGTGGGTCCAGGGAGGCCAGACCAAGACATAGCACCAGTCATATAGTCTCTGACTGTTGGTTTGTCGTATGGGGAGATGTAGACTGCTTAGATGGGTTCTCTGAGACGACAGGAATCAGTGTTTGAGGACTCTAGGTCACATGGCTGAAAATTGGTCACAACGGTGCAGATGTACTCACTCCTTGACGTCTTTTAAAGCATGAATATTTGCGCTAACCGTTATCTTCAAACCCCCTATTCTCGCACGCTATTTTGTCCATACTTATCATTCTATCCACCTTTTATTTGTATATTGCTGTGTGAAGTGTGGTAACTTGAGCCGCTGTACTTGTATGCGAGATTCTACGTTGATTTTTTCCGTCTGTTTGTCTACCTGCCAGCCAGGTGACGGATAACATTGAGTCCGAGGTTACTGGACAATATGTTACTCAGACTTAAACCCTTGCAGTTTTCAAAGAAGGACTTCTCTCGTCTTTAAACTAGAATGACTAGTGATCCTTGTGCACTAGCTGGTACCTCAGCAACTTTACTGAGTAATTTTTTTACTTCCATCTGTTGGCATACTGTTAAGTCCTGATGCTTTGCATTGTTTCAAATTTGAAACACATTGTGAAAGGTTATCAGGGACCTGTTGTTTACGGTGACGGTTTCATCCTTTTCATGTCAATCTTTATGGACAAGCCCAAATAATTGCTGAGTATTACAATACGATAGACAGCCTCTTCTTCACTAACACTTTGCAGCCACCACTGCTTGTGGTCATTACAAAAACTTCAAGTTGGTTCGCTTTTAAAGTTGTTTTCGCTGCCAATTGTGACCAAAATGATTTCATTTGTATGAAGCTGCAGAAAGGCACTGACTTTTTACTAACTCTCGGTTGTTAGTAATAACTGCCTTTACGGCTATGTTTATAACCGGCTGAATATTATTCCAAGCTTTATATGAATGATAACTGCTGCCATGTTTAGACAAATGTCTAGGTACTTTCTAACTGTATAAACACTTGATGTTTTCACCTCTTAAGGGAAGATAAAGAAATTTCGCTACTTCTTGATTCTTGAACCCACCAAGGAGTAAAATGTGATAGGAGATCAATTACGTACCTCAAAAAGAGCAGGAATCCTCTTCGACGATGGCACATACCAGTATGATCCATCCGTGTTTACCACTGGCTTACATTCCAAGCAGGAGAATGTCTCTCCGTTTGTTCGAAGTTCATTTTGGCTAGCAATAAGTGATAATCTGAACGAAATTGAGAGACGATTATTATTGTCAGTTTGTAGGCATAGGACTTTGCAGATATCTTTATAACGCCTTTCCGGCTGTCAGCCTCTTTACTTGAGCGTTAACGTTGCAAACTTCACCCACAATAAATAACACATGACAAAGTTTGACAAGTCAAAATATTTGAGAAAATGCAGTTTTATTACAGTGGTGGAGGGAAAAACATTTTAAGATACCTAATTCTGTTCTGCAACTCCCAACGTTAAAACAATGCTGCGCGAATTGGCATTTCTGCTGCCATTTTCTCTTCTTGTGGCTTCCGAAGACGATTGATTGCAATTTCTCTACTTTTCGTCTTATTACCTTATATTTTAGTGTGCTGGCATGGGATGTATCAACTTAGATTGTGACGCAATAACGCCAGATTTCATGTTGATACTGAGTGACTGAGCTTCACTTATTTAAGCAGTAGTGTTTCTGACACTGATTCACAATGAATTATTTGTATGACCAAATGAGGTCACTTTTCAACGCAAGTTATTTTTCAAATCTGCTACAATACACTTGTTTAATGTCGCCATTGAAGACGAGCCAGTTATTCAGCTACATCAAAAGTGAGCTTGTAAACAGATGGATAATTATAAAAATTCTGCTGACATATACATCTAAAGAAATATACAACAACAACAAAGTTCACTATGCATTATAAGTTAGTGGTAGTTGAGTTAATCACTAAGACATATATTTAGAAAACCTAATGTATCTCAAAGTTAACTGAAATTAACGTTAACCAGTGTAAAATATACGAAGTGCATGTCATGCACAATGCTAAAATACACTTACATGCATTAATGGTTTCTGACAATGACTACATGTTAAATTACTGTCTGCTAGTTTCACACTGAATTTACGGGTAGGGACCTTTCCTGCCGGCATAGAAGAAGCACTTTCACCAGCGATCGTGGTTCTAATCTTTTCTTGATCCTCCCATCGAATTGAATCGAAGTGTTTAATCTCTGCGGTACATTCAATAGGCATCTTTGACCCCCAAAAACAACGATAATGAAACCATCTAGGAATTTTTCCATCAAAGTTAGGCGCTTGTACTAGTCTCGCAATACGCAGGGAATTTTGATCGATTTCAATTTTGCATTTAGTGCACCTGGATCGACTGCTCTTGGCATAATCCACTTGGAATTTATACTCCACCTGCATGTTTAGTTGTATATAATATCTTGGAGGAAAACTGATTTCTAAAAATGAAGCAGGTAAATATTTTATGCATACTTTCGAGAAGATTCGACAAAAACGGAATGTAAAATAGTATTTACTTCAAGAAGCCCGTTTTTTATACAAAATCATAAATGGTTCGTTTTATCTGGATTCTGGAGTATATGAACATCCGAAACCCGAGATTACGATATTCCTGCTCCTATAGGTGAACCAGGGTTTCATCAATCTAGTTCAGATCAGAGCTGATGCTCAACATTGTGACACCTTTCAGAATCAAGTCAGTCAATCAGTCAAAATCAACAAGTGAACTGGAATAACTGCGTAACGGTTGAAGTTGACACACCTTACATCAGCACATCAAAGTACAGACCAACAAGAAGATAGAGAAATGAGAGAGAAAACCACCCAAAGTAGGAGGAAATCATAAACGACGAAGAATGGATACAAAAGGAAAGAAATGCTATAGGACGACTAAGATGAAGGTAATGTGTTGATGCATCTGCGCCATCAATATCGATTCTTAGCCATATTAGGTAGAGTTGCCAACCAGTCATACAGACGCCAACCACAAAGTCTACGTCCTTTTAAATGTCTCAGACCACGAATCAGACTTCATAGGCTGATGCAGTGTTTCAGTATGACTGCCTTTACCATTTTTTCAGCCAAAAACTACATCAGCTGGCACTTCACAAAGGAGTACACGGTGGCTTGGCGTTTACATAACGTCTCAGCCACCTCAGACGATGAAGGCTCACATCACCAGCTGACTTATTCATTTACCAACAACTTCGAACCTGACTTCTAACTGATCGACATGGCGGTGTCAATACACATGGTCTACATTACGAAGGCAACAGTGTTCAAGTCTTTGAAGCCTTTTTATGATGTTTACTTTCAATAGCTGGTAAGACAGAGAGGACTGCTGCGCAGTGCACTCCATCCTTAATAGACAACTGGATGTCATAGCGGTGGCATAAACGGCATAAGTTGCCAAATATCGGTAGAGCCTTTTGCATCCGCGAGATTTAGCGACTCACTGACTCACCAGGACTGATTCGATCTCGAAAGTAGGTGAAGTGGTCAACGCGTTCGATCACTTTACTCCCAATAGTTAGAAAAGGCGTCAACGCAGACCAGATTTGAAGTAACAATTTGTAATTGGGTGTTGAGAAACGCATCGCAAACATTCTAAAATTGCCACTCAAGGTATACAGAAGAATGCATTTTGTCAGCATCTATAGTTATTGCGACTGTCATTTGCGAACTATTGGTCTTTTAAGGATTCTACTGTGACATAATCAATCAGCATTAAGTAGGATGAATAGAGGAGGACCTTTATGAGCAGGTCTATAGTAAAATTAGCCAATGATGGAGATTAGACGCACACCGCTCGACGTACACCAGTTACCCTATCATGGGTTCTAACATACCCAAGAGTTCTCGAATATTAAGTCCGAGATCCCTTTCAATGATAAATAACGTCGTAAGATCTCTCGATCGACGTAGTTTAGCGTTGGCTTCATGTCGATTAACACGGTGGATTACGTGCCGGTAAGTGTCTGAGTTCCAACACCTTGTAGTGCACCTTCCTGGCACCAAAATATAACTAGGGCTAAAATAAATAGTTTAAATTAAATTAACTAAATAAATCTCTAGCTTGCCTCCGGATGCTTAGGGTGTTTTAAGTTTTGTTTTAACGAGCATGCATCCGAGCAGGCTTGGACGCCATTTTTGCGCTCCATTGTGCTGATCACCACGCACGTACTCCGAGTCCCTAGTTCAGCCTTACAAGCCAGATAAGTTGATTAAACTTTTCCCTCATTCATTATTATTACATTTACCTTAAATACATAGCTCCTTTAAATACATTGCGTATCAGTTCTTTTGATTTGTGTTTTGTTACCAGTACTTACACGTTAGGTAAAGTACTGGTTAAGCAGGTACTAGAGCACATCAAATTAAGTAGGGTTGATCAAACGTTACGGAATTGTAACACGCATCCCTACAAAAATTGGTGAGCCCGAGTATCACTTCTTATTTTGTCTAGTACCTTTGTTCTCTTGCGTTGATTTGTCTGGCCTATTTTGTTTTTGGCACGTCTAGCGTTTTTTTTATTATTGCACTCCTCATTGGTTATTTTTGCATTGTAATTTTTTTTATTATCACTATCGTGCCTCGTTAATTCCCTGATCAATGGCGGATAACGACTCGACTGCGCAGATGGCCATAACCCTCCAGCTTCCCACCTTCTGGGCCCACAGACCATCTGCATGGTTCTCCCATGTGGAAGCTCAGTTTGCCTTGAGACACATTCAATCACAAGAAACTAAGTCCAACTTAGTCATCGTCAGCTTACCGGAAAATGTGATTGAAGACGTCTCAGATGTGCTAGATGACCCAGCACCGAATCTTTACGATCGCCTCAAAACCGCCCTCATCAAACGTGTTGCACTTACTGACCAGCAGAAAGTGCAAGAACTTTTCAGGGATGTGCATCTGGGTGATCGCAAGCCGACGCAACTGCTTCGTCAGATGAAGCAGCTGATTGCTGACTTCAACATTGATGAAGCATTTCTCAAGCAACTGTGGTTACAGAGGTTACCACAGTCGGTTCAAGGGATCCTCGCACCCTTCCATAAGTGTCCCTTAATAGAGCTGGCGGAAGCGGCTGACAGAGCTGTGGATGCTACGAAACCCAACACTAGTATCTCAGCTGCACTGTCTACTGCCACGGATTCGTCAAAAACCCACATCCTCCTCTGGCTGTTGAGCCAACAAGTTTCGATGTTATAGCTCACATCTCAAAATTGTATGAAGAGTTGTGCAGCATCAGGAACGAAATGCGGTCTGGTAGTTCTTACAAAGGTCGCACGTCTCGCTCGCGCAACAGGTCTGCCTCCCGTACCGATAGCAGACGTTCCAAATCGCGACAATCACAACCCAGGTTGTGCTGGTACCATAAACGTTATGGTGCCAATGCCAAAAAGTGCACTCGACCTTGCACCTTCGAGGCTAACCAGGCGGGAAACGTGTGAGCCAGCACGTGACGGCGACTAACGTCGCTGGCGAGCCACTTCCATGTCGCCTCTTCTTCGTCACTGATCGACATTCTGGGATACGCTTCCTAGTTGACACTGGGGCAGAAGCTAGCGTCATCCCACCTACGAAGGAAGAGCGTCTGCGGCCAATGTCTCTGCAACTTCGTGCCGCCAACGGTTCGCCCATCACAACCTATGGTCGGAGATTCCTCGATCTCAACCTTGGATTGCGTCGTCCCTTTCGTTGGGTTTTCATAGTGGCAGATGTGACCACCGGCATTATTGGTATGGATCTCTTGCAGCACTATCAGCTGCTGGTAGATGCTGGCAAGCATAAGTTGATAGATTCTACCACAACACTCTCTGTTTCCGGTATAGTCACAAAGACGCCGCCCCTCAGTCCCGTGTACTGCACGACGGACGCTTCTAGTCCCTATGCGTCTATCATTCAGTCCTTTCCGGATGTCTTTAAGCCAAGTCGTTGTGTCCCTTGTGTGACTTCGAACGTTTCTCATCACATAACGACGACTGGCCCGCCAGTGTTTGCGAAACCACGGCGATTATCCCCGGAGAAACTGCGTGCTGTAAAAGCCGAGTTCGAACACATGCTTGAAATGGGAATAATCAGACCATCCAACAGTCCATGGTCTTCACCCTTGCATGTGGTACCCAAGAACAATGGCATGGACTGGAGGCCTTGTGGTGACTACCGAAGGCTCAACGCTAAAACGATTCCAGATCGTTACCCAGTCCCTCACATTCACGACTTGACTGCATCTTTAAAAGGCTCGGTTATCTTCAGTAAGCTTGACTTGACGCGTGCATATCATCAGATCCCGGTTCATCCTGATGATGTTCCCAAGACAGCCGTCATTACACCGTTTGGTCTTTTTGAGTTCCTCCGTATGCCTTTTGGTCTTCGCAATGCAGCACAAACCTTCCAACGTTTTATTCACGATGTTTTACGTGGACTCGATTTCGCCTATGCCTACCTAGACGATATACTAATCGCTAGTCCAGACGAAGACACTCATTTTAACCACTTGAAACAGGTTTTCGCCAGACTGTCAGAGCATTCGATGACAGTCAACCTGGCCAAATGCCAATTGGCGTTCGTTCACTAAAATTTTTGGGACACGTTATCGACGAGCAAGGCATTCGCCCACTACCTGAAAAGGTACAGGCGATCCAAGACTTCCCAGTCCCAGCGTCACTTAAAGCTCTGCGTGTGTTTCTGGGTATGGTGAGCTATTATCGTCGCTTCGTTCCCCAATGTGCACACATTTTGACTGCACTGACCGACCTGCTGAAAAGTAAATGTAAAACTTTCAGCTTGACTCCGGAGGCACTAGAAGCATTTCGCAAGATCAAAACCGCAATAGCAGACGCCACGATGCTGGTGCATCAAGACGTAAACCTACCTCTTAGCATTGCGGTTGACGCCTCTAACACGGCCATTGGAGCTGTGTTGCAACAACTTTCGGATCACACTTGGATCCCAGTTGCATTCTTCTCTCGGAAGTTATCCACCTGCGAAATGCGGTACAGCACTTTCGGCAGGGAACTGCTCGCCATATATGCCTCAGTGAAACATTTTCGTCATTTTGTGGAAGGTCGTGACTTCATCATCTTTACCGACCATAAACCTCTGACGTATGCCTTACACACCACTACTGACAGATATTCACCGCGTGAATTACGTCACCTAGATTATATTTCGCAATTCACGTCGGACATCCGTCATATTTCTGGTGTGAATAACCCTGTCGCGGACGCACTGTCTCGCGTTTGCACCACTACTTTGCCTCGAGCAGTCGACTTACGGAAGATTGCCGAACTTCAGGATTCAGACGAGGAGATTGAAAAACTTCAACACTCATCCTCTCTGAAGATACAGCGTTACCGCTCCTGAACAGTGAAGTGTCAATATTGTGCGACACCTCCACAGGCACACCCAGACCGGTTGTTCCTTTATCCTTGCGTAAGCATGTTTTTGATGCTTTGCACAATCTTTCACATCCTGGCATCCGCGCCACTGACAAGCTCATATCTGCTAGGTTTGTTTGGCCTGGTATTAACCGTGATGTTCGAAACTGGACACGGTCATGTATTCAGTGCCAACGTTCCAAGGTGAATCGTCACAACATCCCACCACTTGGAACTTTCGCCAAACCTGACTCACGATTCGCTCATGTCCACTTAGACATTGTCGGCCCACTTCCACCCTCCGATGGATATAGTTACCTACTGACATGTGTCGATAGGTTTACTCGCTGGCCGTTAGCCATCCCACTGTCTAACATTACTGCCGAAACAGTAAGTCGGGTTTTCGTCGAAGGATGGGTTTCACAGTTTGGATGCCCTTCCACCGTGACAACCGACAGAGGCCAACAGTTCGAATCCGCTACCTTCCAGAAGCTGATGAATCTGTTGGGATGCAAACGCATCCGCACTACCGCATATCATCCAGCTTCCAATGGTTTGGTCGAGCGATTCCACCGACACCTTAAGAGCGCACTAATGGCAGTCGACAATATGAAATGGACTGAGTCTCTGCCGTTGGTTCTTCTCAGCATCCGTTCTACACTCAAGACTGATATACAGTGTACACCTGCTGAGTTAGTTTACGGTGGTAACTTACGTTTGCCGGGTGAGATGGTCGCTTCAGACTGCAGTGACCCAACTCCTACCGATATCCATGGCTATGCTCAAACTCTTAAGTTACACATGCGTCGCCTCCAACCCTCATCCACACGGATACAGTGTAGACGGGTGCAGCTGGATAAAAGACTCCAAGATTGCACTCACGTCTTTGTGCGTTGTGACGGTGTACGTAAGCCCTTACAGCCACCATACGACGGACCCTTCAAGGTTCTCAGTAGGAAAGAAAAGTTTTTCGTCATTGACAGATCTGGACGGCAGGATTCTATAAGTGTCGATCGTTTGAAGGCAGCTTATATAGAGGACGACCCGCCTTCCTCTACACCGACACAACTAGAAAAACCCTTGCCGCCGGACTCCCAAACAGACTCGTTTAGTCGCGCGTATCCTGAACCTTCTAAAAGAGCCACGTCTAGTAACACTGATCCAGTAACCTCTACACGTGCTGGGAGGCGTGTACATTGGCCCAAGCGATACGCCGAGTTCGTTAATTAGCCCCAGAGCAACTTCACACTTGGTGAATTCGGAGTTTCAACTACTTTGTCGTGGCATACACTTTCAATGCGTTTTCATACCTAAAGTTTTCAAAAGTCATGTTTACTACTTTGCAAACAGTTTTTTTTTAAAAAAAAAAAAAGAAAAACCAAAAATACAATTTAAATTCCGAAAACTTTTTTTGGTTGGTTATTATTTTTTTTTTTGTACTCCTCCCACTTCGAATTGTTTGGTTTTCCTTTTCTTAGCACTCTAATGTCCCATTTCTTTCTTCTTGCAGAACCTAGAAAATGCGTTGAAAATTGGATACAATTGGCCGCTGACGATGCTACTTGGATCGTTCTTCGGTTCTCTTTGTACCAATTTCCCCCTGTACACTCCCCGGTAGATTAAGAAGCAATAGGGAAAAGTAGACGGAGGCTTTGGGTCACCTTCCACCACTGCGAGAAGGGTTGCGTCTAGACGCAAAGTTATCTTACCTCGTAGGTGTGCATAGTTGCACTAGCTTCGGAGACCCACACGTCACCTACTCCATCACCAATATGGAAAGGTGTTGCGTGTCCGCCTCGCAGTCGCCTCCTAGGATCGAAGGTTGCCGGTATCCCAACAACCTTCTAGGAGGGGGATAACCTGTAGTGCACCTTCCTGGCACCAAAATATAACTAGGGCTAAAATAAATAGTTTAAATTAAATTAACTAAATAAATCTCTAGCTTGCCTCCGGATGCTTAGGGTGTTTTAAGTTTTGTTTTAACGAGCATGCATCCGAGCAGGCTTGGACGCCATTTTTGCGCTCCATTGTGCTGATCACCACGCACGTACTCCGAGTCCCTAGTTCAGCCTTACAAGCC